TCCGTATCCACCCCCCCCCCCCCCCCCCCTCCTTTTGTGTGTGTGTGTCTGGATAATAGGACATAAGTTACAAGAACGGGATAAGAAACGGAAGGAAGGAAGGAAGGAACAATTTTCTGCAGTGTATATTTCCCGGATGGAGGGATGGACACCGGTAGATGGATGGATGGATTTACGTCCTGTCTGTCTGTTCTATCTATTCTATCTATTCTATCTATTCTATCTATTCTATCTATTCTATCTATTCTATCTATTCTATCTATTCTATCTATTCTATCTATTCTATCTATTCTATCTATTCTATCTATTCTATCTATTCTATCTATTCTATCTATTCTATCTATTCTATCTATTCTATCTATTCTATCTATTCTATCTATTCTATCTATCTGCTAGTCTGCGAGCTCAAGATTCTGCGCTGCCCCCCCACTTCCCCCCTCGTTGGCTCTGGGGTGGATATCACAGGATGTCACAAACAGCAGCCCCAAACCCTTGATTCACCCGAGTGTTTTTTTGTTTTTTTTTTTTTGTTTTGGTTTGTTTTCCCCTTGTTTTCTTTTCTGCGCATGGTGGAAGGGAGTGGGACTTGGTACTGCTTGCTAGCCAGCTTGCTAGCCAGCTTGCTAGCTAGCAGCTTCTTCTCCCGAGGAGGTAGGAGGTAGGTAGCCGGAGGTTTGGTTCGAGGTCCACCATAGGAGAGACACTGTTGTCATGATGGTGGTTGCCATCCCGAGTTCGACCACGTTGGTGATGGGTGACTTGCACTATCCAGACCCTTATCAAAAACCAGAGTGACCCAGTGCATGCTTATCGTTTCTTTGTTGTTGTATTATTAACATCTGGCGAGCTATAGTGTAGCAAGCTAACCACCCTAGGACATCCCAAGGGGCAAGGAGACGTGCAAAGCGGAGGGTTTGGTATACAGACAGTCCTTTAAATCAATCTTCCAAGCTCCATACTATGGTATAATTAAAACACAGAGTCTACAGAGCCCCCAGGTTTCTCTTGACCGGCTTCCGCTCTCCCAGAAACCATAACTAGCTAGACAAGATCCTCACAGCTCTCAGGTAGCCACCATATACTCCCTCTTCCTCGCTTCGATCTCCTCGGACATCGCTGCCCTGGCAGCTCGCCGATTCCGATTCTGCACATAAGCCAACAGCCTCAACGTCCCGGCCGGAGTCATCCCCTCAATCCGTCTCGCCTGACCCACGCTTTCCGGCCTCGTCGCCCCAAGCAAAGCCTTCTCATGCATCGACAGCCCAAAGATGCTATCGTAATCTAGATCCAGCGGCAGCATCAGGTGCTCATCCTGTTGGAAGACGCGCATGGCTGCTTTCTGCTGCTCCACATACGGAGCATAGACCGCTTCGATACTTACCCTCGCTTGAACTCGGAGGGAGAAGTTGGAAATGGAGGGGATCAAGGGGAGCATGTCGGCGACGGTGACGCCCGCCAGACGCAGCACTTCGAACGCGGATCGCCGCGTGGAGTCGTTGGCGACTCGGAACCCGTCTCTGATCCACGTTGGCGCACTGGAGCTTTGGGCCTGGAGAGCGGCTTTCAAATCACACATCTGGGATGATTCGTCCAAGAAGGCAGACCAGCGCTTGTCGCCCACGATACCGGCCTCGCGGCCTTTGGCTGTGAGCCGCGTGTCGGCGTTGTCTGCTCGAGCGCTCATTCGATACTCGCTGCGTGAAGTGAACATTCGATATGGCTCCGAGACGCCCTTGGTGATGAGGTCGTCGATCATGATGCCAATGTATCCATCGCTTCGGGAGAGCGTCATGGGAGGTTTTGATTGCGCTGCTAAGCCGGCATTAACTCCCGCGATGATTCCCTGGGCCGCGGCTTCCTCGTAGCCTGTTGTGCCGTTGATCTGTCCTGCCAGGTAAAGCCCACGTATGGCTTTTGTCTCGAGAGTCGATTTCAGACTTCGTGGGTCGACGTAGTCGTATTCGACTCCGTAACCTGGCTGCAACATCGTTACATTCTCCAAGCCCCTGATTGTCTTGAGCAGTTGCTCCTGAGCCCCCGCGGGGATAGTCATTGAGATTCCGTTTGGATAGATGACATTGCTATCAAAGCCCTCTGGCTCTAACCAGATGATATGCTTGTCCTTATCCGAAAATCGGATGACTTTGGATTCAAGAGATGGGCAGTACCTAGGGCCCTGCACAGTTTCTCTGATGTGTATCGAATTCCCAAGATTTGCTCTCACAATATCATGGGAAGCTTCGTTCGTGTACGTTGCATGGCACAGCAATTGTTCCACCACCGATACTTTCTCGTTCAAATAACTGAACGGGGTGGGCGGATCATCACCAGCCTGCGTATCCAGAATGCTGAAGTCAATGGATCTCTTGTCCAATCTCGGAGGTGTTCCAGTCTTTAACCTCCCCAGCTTAAACCCCGTGTCCTTCAAAGATTTGCTCAGTCCAAACGTCGCAGCTTCACCCATCCGCCCTGCTGGATGGCACTCCAAGCCGATATGTATCTCCCCGCCCAGAAATGTCCCTGTTGTAATGACTACCTGATGCGTATGTATAATCTCTCCCGATTCAAGTCGTACCCCGGTAATCTTTCCAGACGGCGTCCGGCCCTCCTCATGCGCGACAATGATATCCGCCACACTCCCCGGCACGATGGACAGATTCGGATATGTCTCCAGTTCCTCCCTCATATGCTTCTGATACAGCTTGCGATCAATCTGCGCGCGCGGTCCCCAAACAGCCGGCCCTTTCTTTCGATTCAGTACTTTAAACTGCACACCCGCTCTGTCGATGACCCTTCCAGCGACACCGTCTAAGGCGTCTACCTCTCTTAACATCGTGCCCTTTCCAATCCCCCCAAAACTGGGATTGCAGGAACAAACCCCAATGTTGTCCAGCTGCGGAGTAACGAGCGCAGTTCGAGCTCCAGACCGGGCAGCGCCTGCGCAGGCTTCGGAGCCGGCGTGGCCTCCTCCTATCACTACTACATCGTAGCCTCTTTGGTCCGGTCAGCGATTTCTCCGGATTGAATCGTGGAGCATGCTTGGAAAGCGAACCTATGCTCTTGGACGACTGATGCGAATAATCGTTTGTGTCGCCGGGGCCGGACGAGGCGACTCGTGAGCACAGGCCGAATTCTTACCAACCGTTGATTCATGATGACATATTCGAGGATGCGTTGTGTTGAGGTGGTTAAGTCAACCCGAATTGACGCATGTCAATATTACGGAAGTTTGGCGCGAGCGCATCGAGCCACCCTAAGTAAACCTATCCAAGGATCTACGTGTAACAAGGATATCAACGACATCTCGACACCGAACTTGATTTATGAGCTTCAAATTATCACATGGATGGTCATTAAATGCAAAGCTAGATTTGAAGAAATCGACTTTGAATCATGCAAGTTTTTAAAATCTAGTAAAGACTCAACACCGGATCCAGCTAAAGAAGTCGATGACTTCATGGGGTGATACGGCTTGAAGTTACTGAGACGAGTAGTGCTGATCTGGTCCGATCAAATCGCTGATTCCTACGGGATATCGAGACAAACACAAGTGAATAGAACGAGATGGATTCCTGTAGACATTACAACGCTATTGAATTAAAGTATCAGGTCGACTGGTGATTGTATATGCCCCGATTCGATCTCTCTAGCCTAGTGCAAGTATGTAGACTGGACCTAGACCTTTTTTTTTCCCCCATTTCCCGTTCTCTTTATAATCAGCCCGATTCTCCCCCGGTAATCATTAGTCAATTCGAGCGCTTGATGACAAAAGAAATTTGAGGTTCGCAGAACGTGCAGTGGTGCCAAAAATAGCCAAGACAAAACAGAAAATTCCAACGACCACCCAACCATAATAGCGGTAGCCAGACACCGTCTACAAACGCTAGATCCTCCCCTCGGCATTTTCGCCAACCCATCGTAAAATCCGAAACCAGGAAACAAAGAAACCTAGCTCCAAGCGCCACCACCCATAACTCAGGGCATTATACAATCCTAATCATGATCCCATAACATCGTGATACCCACCGTTTATTAAGGGGCCACCAGTATAGTGAAAAGCTGTCATAGATGGAGCAGGTTATCCGGTATTGGTTCCAGGGCTCGCATCCGAGTCCAGTTTCAAGATCTTTCGCAGGCTGTCCTCCATCCCCTGGATTCTGGGATCTGGATTTACAGGTAAAATGCCGATTGGCGAAGCAGAAGCCTGGTAAGGTGTCCGAGATGTGAATTGTGTCGCATAGTTGTTTCCTCCATACGCATTAGACGGAGCATTGCGGGAAGGTACAGGCGAGTGGCCGTAAGACTGGCTGCGATCAGGCATTTTCATAGGCGTTCTCGAGTTCGTGACTTCTTGGCGCAAACCTGATGATCGCCCTCCTGCTCGAGGGCCATCATTCGAGGCATTCGGGTCGGGAGCATGGTCGTTATAGTATGGCCCTCCTGGAAGGCCAGCACTCCTTGGACCCCCTCCTGGAGCAGAGGGCACTTCGTAGGCATTGAAGTTCTGAACCAGCGGTGAAGTGGGATTTGCAACCAATGGAGCAGACTGATTTGAGAAGAGATACGCTTTCAAAGCTTCGGAGCGTTCCAAAGACAACTGCGAACCATGAGAGACTCCTTCAATGGGCACACCAGATTGATCTCTAGATCGTGCGGCATTGATTCTCTCGGAATATGGCGTAGAAAATGCTGGCCCCAAGGGCGTGCCGGAAGCTCGATCACCATCCATCTCCATCACAAAGATGCCATTTGAAGACATTCTTTTGGAGGCTGTCTGGGAGTTTTGCTGCGAGCGGGTTGGTAGAGTTTGAGCGCTGCGAGATGACTCCAGAGGGGGAGGGAAGGGTCCATTGGCGGCTGCGAATGCCTTGTTAGAGCTTGCACTGCGAGCTCTCGCCTTTTCCTCTCTATCGGCCTTGAAGAAGACATCAAGAGGCGACTCCTCCCGAGCTTGTTCCCGGGGAGGGAATGTGCGTGGAGGAGTAGAGGATGCAGTAGGTAGCGCTGCCCCTGTCAGGGACTTGAGACCTTTGAAACCAGGCGAATCTGGTACGGATTTCGAGTAGAAGCTTGGTATCGGCAGAGCTGATGGGGCTGGCGAGGCATGGAATGTCGAGCCTGCATATGCTGTGGGTGTATTCACGGGCTTCGAAGACGACTGAGCCCCATACTGAGCGCCTGTCAAAGGCGGCGTAGTATTCCGACCCTTTCTAACTGCTCCGGGAGATGTCATAACATTCTTGGGGCGGTTCTTATTTCGAGATCTCTGTTTCGATCCGATTTCGGGGGCTGTCGAAGTGTTCTGAGAAGAGGAGGGTCGGCTTTCTTTCCTAGGAGTACGGGGAGGGGTTGATGGTCGCGCAGGCGGGAGAGTAAGATCCGAGTTCATGTCGGCATGGGTATTTTGCGCATGGGCTTGGAGATTTAGATGATGTGGGCTCTGCGGGTTCCGGGGATTCTGATGAGCCTGTGACGAGGCTGTCGCACAAGGCATCACCGCACTTCGAGTTTGGCGGCGATGGCGCGTGGGAGGCAGGTCTGAAGACGACATTTCGTGTTTGGCCTATGGATAAGCGGCCGTGGGAAAGCGCGATGAAAAGGACTAAAGCAAAATGATAATAGTAGGTCCAGCGACGGAAGGGGAGGGGGAAGAGAATGACGAATAGAGTGAGGAGTGAGAAGATGTTCTGAAGCTTAAAGGGTGGCCAGTCGTCGAGTGGAGTCAGTAGTTGAAATTATTCTGCTCATTGTTTGTGTCGTGTCGTGTAGTGCGTGCGTCCTCTGGTCGGTATCTTGAAGAGGTTGATACTATAGATGGAGGCGGAGGAAGAGGGAGATGAAGAGGAGGGAGGCGTGGAGGGGAAAGGGTGGGGCGGAGTCGGCACGACTTGACCTTCCGGCCCGATTTAGTACATCACCTAGTCGGCTGCAACCTTCGCCATTTAATTCTCCAAGTAATTGCTTATTTTAGGCACCTACACGCTGCTTTCAGTTACGACCGGAACGACTTCGAACTCAGAGCAGGGTGATCTAGAGCCTCCTCTCCAACCTTCCCCCCCAAAATAAGCCAGCCATCCAGCTTCGAGTAGCTTGTTTGGTTCAGGAATCTCAACTCCAAACCAACAGCACCTCCCCCCGCCAACGATAAACGGCGACGGCATAGCTACCCCACCAACACTCGACAACTACATAACAAGATCTCTCCCGACAACAAGAACAGGACAAATTCCCAGCATGGCGGATGTGGATATGACCGATGCTCCCTCTGGATCTGTCGCTCCTACGAAGAAGAGCGCGGGCAAGGCCAAGGCCGGGGCTGAAGGAGGGGCAGGTGGCAAGAAGCGTTTTGAGGTTAAGAAGGTGAGTGAGACTATAGCTCTCTCGATATCTGAATCATGGTGGATTGATAGATACATAGTGGTCTGCTGTTGCTCTCTGGGCCTGGGATATCGTCGTCGACAACTGTGCCATCTGCAGAAACCATATCATGGATCTCTGTGAGTTCTTGTTCGAACCACCGGCAATTTCTATTGCTAACAAGTTCTAGGTATTGAATGTCAGGCCAATCAAGCTTCTGCTACCAGCGAGGAGTGCACGGTCGCCTGGGGTATCTGCAACGTAAATTGTCCAATACTCAGGTCATTGTCCATCCCTACTTGAAGCTGACATCCCATAGCATGCCTTTCACTTTCACTGTATTTCCCGTTGGCTGAAGACGCGCCAAGTTTGCCCACTGGACAACCGAGACTGGGAGTTCCAAAAGTACGGTCGTTAAGTTGCTTCGGTTTGGAATGGATGATACCACGATCACGAATACGGATGATGAGACGGCGTATCGCGGCGGGTAGGGGAGAGAACAGAGATACCACCCGCGAACATTGCTTTGATACGATGCATAAGGAGCGCATGGAGGACCGGCGTTCATATAGGCTGGATCTCAAAATGCAAGAAGACCTCTGGCGAATCTAAGGATAGCATTGTGAACTTTGATATTACCATCCTCAAACGTCTGTGCCTTGTTTGTGTTGGTTGCCCGCTCCTCCTCCCCCTCGAACCCCCAGGAATTCTCCTGCTCAGATCAACCCACAATCTCTCCATCCACAACTATGCCCTGGGGAACAGCATGCTTTCCTCCCACTGGCAACCACTTGACAGGGTGCCTCTTGAAGAAAGGCCAAGGTGGAACGACGACGAGGAAAGTAACAGCGCTTCCAAGCAACCCAATCTGGAGTGCTCCTTTGATGTCCTGTTTAGCGTATCCGGCGTAGAAGGCAAGCTTGATTCAATTAGCACCGGCTAGAGAGGATAGAATTTTGGTGATTCATACTGCTCCAGATATGGAGAGGAGAGCTGTTGTCAGGAACTCTGCAAGACGTTGCCCTTGAAAGTCTAGAACCGAGTTAGGTTACAGCTATTCATGTGTAGTAAGTGGCCTTTGTACCCTGTCTTTGATTAGATCTGAGAGACATCAGTGGAGGGCATATACATACGATTTGACCCTCGGCAAGCTCTCTCACATTCTCTAAGAATTGATCGGCCATGGTGTGTTATTGGTATGCAAAAATGGCGACGTTTTTTGGTAGAATGAGTGCCACTAGTAAAGGATCTGGCCTTGTGCCCAACTGCCTCACGAGGCTGACTAAGATGGGTCTCAGGAGCCTCAATTTGGGTGGGTCTATCCGTAACTCGGTAAGTTTGTGCACGTACCTTTAATTGGTTCGGTAGTGTGCCATGAACCAAACCTTTGGCTCCAACTTATTTGCCGCTTTGATTTCATGCTGCCCACTTGACTTGCCCACCCGCACACACCCTCCCACTCATACTACCGGGCACCTCACCACCACAGGTTTGATTACTTCAATCTAATCAACCAAACCTTCCAAAACTATTTACCAAGTACAACAAAGTGATTCGCGAGCCCAAACAGAGCATCTATATCGAAACCGAAGGGCTCCGGCCATCTATTCGCACAAAGATCAGCTGAGAGGGTGCGTTTCGGACTCATACCACGTACGATACACGACACACAACCAAGTTCTGCTGAACGGCTTAACTGCTCTTAACTCGTCCCACGAAATCACAGCCTTACTACGCAACTAAAGAAACGATTCCTCAATCGCGAGGCGATTCAACATTCAAGTTGGCGGGGTGAGTGTTAATCTGTGTCCGGTCTGACTCTATGAATTATGCTAACTATAATTAGCATCTACATTCTCTACGAGTTTGATCACCCACTCCTTGGCCCTAATACCTGGGCTTCGGGGTCTTTCAAGCCACCAGTAAGATTGTCTATGTACATGGTCCCTTATACCACAGACTGACCACTGTTTCCAGTAACTGGCCCTTCGAGTACGTCCATATACACTTTGACCGAACAAAATCTCTACTTGTTAGGGGGGAAGCAAGCTGGCAGCCAAAGAAAACCAAAAAGCTGTGCAGGGGCAACCTGTGCAACAAAATACTTTCAAATTGACGCCATCACGCGGTGGGCGCTCGTTGCGACCCGCCTTAGAGCGAATTGTTGGGGTTTGAGTTGAAGATTTGAGCGGAAGCGATCCGAAAGTACCTAGAAGCTCTCTAGACAAATATGTCTGACCATGAGAGCAACTCCCAGAGCTCCAACAACTCGGGCTATAGTACACCAGTGCCAGAGCTTGACGATCACAGACACCAGAACGCCTCGGTACAGAAGTCACTGTCCAGACGTGGTACTGCCGATACGATGCACAGCAACTTTCGTCGCAACCTAGGTCCAGATCTTACTCTTGTCGACCAAGGACTCTTGCCGACAATTGCACGAGACTTCGAAGAGGCGGTGGAGGATGGTGATTTGAGAGGCATATCCCCATTGGGAAGAAATGTCCGTGACAGAAGTCGCCGTGGAACAGTGACTACCCTTGATCCGAGATCAGTCTCTCCACCAAGCTCTGTGAAGGCTTTTGCTGAAGCTCGACGACGTGAGGATTGCGAACTGCAGCGAACAGCATCGCATGACAGCCGCAAGAGCCGCCGCAGTCTTCGAAGCAGAAGATATACCAATGATAACGATGCTACCAACAGCATCGCTGGGACTTGCCGAACTGCCGAAGAGGATGTATGCTTTCCTTTGCATCCTGAGGGAAATAAGAACACTCTTCACATCGACTTTGAAATGCTTGAGGACTTCATTGCCGACGAAGAGAACCGAGACAGAACCCCACCCCAAGGCCAACCACAAGCCCGTATCTTTCACGACCTTACACACAAGCATGCGGTCCCAACAATTGTTACCTCAGACGGTGATATCATGGACATGCCATCCAGGATATCCTTGGCGTCAGGCGGAAAGAGTATGACGAGTGAATTCAACGAGAAACATGAGGAGCCCCAGCGCCTGGAGAACCGTTTCGAGTTTTTCTCAACTATGGGCGAATCTACAATCCATGCTGCCGATTTTGGGGATCTTGTGCTGCCAGGAGAAGACGTCAGAAGTCTTTTCACACTGCCACCATCATCAGATGACTCAGATGGTGTCTGGTGGTTGAACATGAACAGCCCAACTAAAGAGGAAATCACGGCTATCTGCCGTGCATTCGGTATTCATCCGTTGACCATTGAAGATATCAATACTCAGGAAGCACGTGAGAAGATAGAGCTCTTCCCATCTTATTACTTCGCTTGTTTCCGCTCTTTCCACGTTGAGGAAGTTGACGGAGGCCAAGAGTACGAACCTTTCAACACTTATGTTGTTGTGTTCCGTCAAGGCACTCTTAGCTTCAGTTTTGTCCCTAACCCTCACGCTGCTCAAGTTCGTCAACGAATCACGAAGCTCAAGGATTTCATGTCTCTCAGCTCTGATTGGATATGTTATGCTCTCATGTAAGTCATCGAAATAACACTGAACAATTCATATGCTAACAGGAACACAGAGATGATATTGTTGATGGATTTGCTCCTGTCATCAACAGCATTGAAAGAGAGACTGATGTCATTGAGGATGAAGTCTTTATTTCGCGAAACGATGACATGCATACCTTTCTCCGTCGGATTGGGATGATTCGCAAGAATGTCATGGGCTTAATGAAGCTTCTCGGTGGCAAGGCAGACGTCCTGAGAGGCTTCACCAAACGCTGCAATGCCGACTACAGGGTTACACCTAAACTGGACATCGGCCTCTACCTCGGTGACATTCAAGATCACGTTGTTACTATGATGACCAGTCTGGCCCACTTTGAAAAGATGCTCTCACGCTCCCACAGCAATTACCTCGCACAGCTTTCAATTGAGAACCTCCTTCAAGGCAACGACTCTAATAAGGTCCTGAGTAAGATCACTCTATTGGCATCCATCCTTGTTCCCTTGAACTTGGTTTGTGGTTTGTTCGGTATGAACGTTGCGGTTCCCTGGAAGAACAGTGAGAGCTTAGGCCCATTCTTTGGCATTCTGGGGTTCCTCGTGTTTTTCTCGATCTTTGCACTTATTCTTGCAAAGAGACTCAGGTATATCTAGAGTCAAGGGGGTCGACCAGCACACAATTGTTAAGCTATAATATCTGTGCTCCGCTTTGGTAGCGTGTTATGGTCATAAGCTGGTCTCTTCTCGATACTTGACAATGGGTCGGTGGATTCTTACGCTCAGGACTTCCCTGTAGATTAATAAATAGTGGATGGTGATTGACTTGCTTTTTAGACGTAGGCAAAGTGAAGCTGATTTCACATGGCGCTTGGAACTGAGGTATAACAATATGACATGTCATTCCGATTGCTAAGTAAATTGCACATGCTTTCGCCCACGGATCGAGACCATATTGGGTTGAGACCAACCTCTCAGCATGAGTAAATGTAGTCTCTGACTTGCCGAACCTCTACACGTCTCTCCCCTCCCCGCGCTCGCCTTCCTCAGTCTTGCCATTCTTCTCATTGACCGCCTCCTGGCCCTTCATTTTGAGCTCATCTAAAAGCCTATATTTCCTCCTACTCTTCTTCACTGCACTGCTCTTCCTCTTCTGCTTCGTCTCCCTCACAACTGCCACCCTGCTCTGCTTCCCCTTCTCGAGCTCTTCTACCCGCTCAGCCAGCATCTCTCGAGCAATTTTGCGGTTCTGGGTGCGGGAGCGCGTGGCTTGGACTTTCAGGACGAGGCCCGTAGGGAGGTGCTTCAGTTGGACAGCGGAGGATGTTTTGTTCTGTGGCCGAGCGGTTAGCATATGAATCATTCATGATGGCTTTAAACCTACGATCTTCTGCCCACCTGGACCACTGCCTTTCAGAAACACCTCTGTAAACTCACTTTCGTCCACCGGCTGCGGGCGATCAGGCATTTTTTTTGCCCATGTCGCCGGTGATGAGGTGATTCGACGTGGATTTGGCAGGCATCGCAAGAGGGTCTCAAGGACCGGTCTCCTTGTAAGAAACGATAGTCGTCCGAGTATCATTGCACATGTTGTTAAGGAAACAGCGGGTTAACAGAAGTATATCGCGATTCGATCGTGCTCGATGGAATGATGGAATTGTATTGCGTCGTACTGTAGTCACTGCGCCAGAAGCTCCAACATCAATAACCCCTGTCCCTACAACCGGTCATCTCCCCCTTTCTTGCTTTACACCGACGCCTCCAACAACTCTCTCTACCCTACCCTCCCAACCGGGCGATCAGCAAGATGGCGATGTTCGCATCAACATTCCGCTGGCTGCAGAGGAAGCGATACCAATATGAAGTAATTACGTTCATACTATCTCCCCCCTTTAACAGCAAGCTCAACAGACAAAACAAGCAAAACTCCGCTGATGCTTCGATGCAGGTTACGTTTTCTCTGTACATGTTGACGCCTACCGAAAAATTCATCTTCAGTGAGCCTACGCTTTCTTCCTTAAGATAAACGACCCCGTCCCCGAACCTCCACAGTGAAGGCGACCCGCGGCCTCGTTGATTGCAACGCTCTACCAAGCATAGGCTTGAGATACAGAAGCTGACAAGCACGGGTTCAGACTCCTTCCTCTTCCTCTTCTTCAGCATGATTATAATCGCCATGACGCTGTACCTCCCGCAGCACATTGCCTTCCTGACCAATCGCGCCTGGTTCTACTACAATGGCGACGAGAGCGCCAAGACAGCTGTGCAATCTGTGATGGAGAATAAGACAAGCAAGGTTATGTTCGACAAGATCAAGGAGACCGCGGTTGCGGCGGGGGCGGGCTCGTCGATTCTAGTGGCGGGCTCGGAGTTGTGATTGGTTTGGATGGGCATGATATGAGGCGTGAGGGAGTGATGGGCTTCGATAGATGTAGCTGAAGGGATTGCGACCGCCTTCTTCGGGGAAGGTAAGGATGTATACTTGGGAGGGTCGTGACGGCTCTTAACAAATCAACCGAGAAGCAAGGGAATAGAGATGAAGACGTGCAGCGACACGCGCAGTTTGGGCAAACAAGATTCTGTAAGCGTTTGGGGGGCCCGGATGGGTACGGTAGAGGCAAAACAGGTGTGCTTGTTACGACACATAACTCTTAATCCGGCCGTGTATCACAGACGTAAATAACAAACTCCTGTTCCGTGCCTTCTGATTCCCTCCCGAAATTTCCATGTCTGGTTCCCCTCCCATTCATCCCATAGAGCTCTGGGCCCGATTATCCCTCGCAGTCATCAGATGCTTCATAGTATTGTACATCAACTCTCCAATACCCGCAACCCCTTTACCATCCATGTATGTTAAGACACCCAGCTTGTAGTCCGGCCAAATTAACTTTATCCCTCCATCCTGCTTAAGCTGCTTCAGAGAGTGCTGTGTTACCGGCCCAGCATGTCGGCGCCCAATCTCCTCCCCGGCGTTATCCTCGAGCTCCCTGACATAGGAAATGGCAAAGAGACACAGCAGTGGTGAGTACGAGAAACTGAATAAATTCTGCAGTGCGAACGTCGCATCGATTGCTGAGATATGCTGACTTATCGCTTGCTTCACATTAAGTTGTAGCAAACATCCTAATGCGTTTGGATCAGCAGTATTGAAAGCCCGAGACCGCCACACGCAGTTACAGACATCCATCAGGAACCCATTGAAGTGATTCACATAGTCTTTCGGATATGGCTGATGCTCTGAATTGTTTGGTTTCGATAACATGGCGAGTTCGAAGGCGCGTTTGTAATGGGCGAGCGCAGCACAGAGGCGGCTGGTGGTGCTGAGGGAGGGGGTGAAGAGGAGGGTATAGACTACTTCTGCCGGGGGGATGGCAATACGGAGGGTATGTTTCAGGGCGGGGTGAACGATTAGTGCGGCACTCGATTCATAGAAGGACAAAATGCTCGAGAGGGCGGAGACTGCGGTGGTGGATTGGAGAATGGTGAGGACGAGGTTGCTGGCGTGGTTCGTGAGGGCTGTGAAGAAATTTGCGGTGCTTGCGTCCGCAGAGCGCTGGGGTTTAGAAAGGAGGGTCACCATCCACTGATCAATAAGTTCTGTGTAGAATGAGAGGAGGGTGAGTTGAGAGTCGGTGGTGCCGTCGCCGAGAAGAGCCTCTTCAAGGGGCAGGAATGTGGAATCATATAGGTCTGAACTTTGTCAATACGCTTTTTTCCAGAACCAGGGGCAGACTGACCTTCAAATGGCCCGATTGGGGAGTATGTGAGAAGACCAAGGATCACTTCACGGTCCGATATACCATTCCAAGATGGAACCATAGCTTTGAGGTATGTCAGACATGAAGGTGGTAATGCCTAGCGCCCAGTCTTAGGTTGTTAATCAAGTAGAGGGAATTTGGCAATACCTTGGTTTGGCAAGTATAATTGAGTACGGTATCAAGCATTACCGTGATCTCTTTCCCGCCCAAATCTGTCCGCAGGTGGTCGTCGAAAAAAGCTAGCAGCCAGCTATCGACCCGCCTCGAGTAGACGTCGGTCGACTTGAGCTGCATGAATTTTTGTAGCAAAGGATCTTTTAGGACAGTGACTAGCTGGTTGGGTGGCTCAATCTTTTCAAGCTTCTGGACGAGTTGATGGGCATCCTCGATCTCTTCTAGTGTTACAGAAGTCTTGGTTGTCAGCGGAATTCTCTAAAGAGAATGGCAAATGAAACCGTACCTCGAGGGCATGGGATGTGTGAACGCTGGGCAGCACAAATGATAGGGTTCTCTTCGTTCCGTTCTTGCTGGCCACTCTGAACGTTACTTTCTCCGCCGGCAAGCCATCTGGTGAATTTTGCAGATGGAGCTCCTGGATATCACTCAAGCGTTGCCGCCACTCTGTATTGGGATGCTATACATTTGTCAACTAAAGAATGAATGAGCCTATGAATACGGCGTACTGTGAATACTGCGGCTCGTCCAGACGTGACTTCGCCTACGACGATGTCTGGGTAGTAGTCCTTGAATACTTTCATCAGGCCAACAAGAGGTGGCTCATTCCCGGCTTGCCGGGTGAGTTCCATCCTTCGATGAAATCAGCTCCGATTCTATTGCAATGGGGTCTAACATTAGTCCTACAAAACCTGTATCCTGAAAGGCCTGACATGCTTGCGCCGGGTGATGAGTGAAAGCAGATGACAGAGCTGCGCTCTGATTTGAGTCAGTGGGTGCAGCAGTGAAAGTAATGGTCTGGAGATTGTAGTGGTGAAATACCTGAGAGCAGAGGTGTCGATTAAGTTGAATAGTACACTGTATAGCTTCGACAGTAGTCTCTGATTCTCGAGGACGTCGTAGACCATAATCAACCATTTTAACAGCACAGCCTGGGTAGAGTAAGAAGGTTTCATTCGGCCATGACCTAAGCTTCCAACGAGCTTGATGACGATGCTATCTGTCACTTTACCAGCGGGGTAGAGGTTGCGGACCAGGCTTCCGAGGCTGCTTTGGTCGAGCTGGTTGGGACGTGTAATAATATCAACCAGCTGCTCCAAAGACCTGCTGGGGAGACCATCAGAATAAGCTTTTGAGCAGATCTTATTAACAAGAATTGATATCGTGGCAGAGCGCTGTTTCGCTTTTTTGTTTGCTTCTGTAACTCGCACGTCAGTTTGTATTCGACGCGCTCGGCGACGCGTTCGAAACTCACCCTTTTGTACAGCGACGATGAGCTCGGATATATTATCCTGGGGGACCAACAAATTCGCCATGATCCAATTCAGAAAATCAGTGCAGATAGATTATATGGATTGTAGCCAAATTACTTTTGACCTTAGAAGGTCAATGCAAATGATTTTTGACCTCCCTGAATCTGACGAACCGTTGAAGGAACTTCGATATCCCGCTCGCGATATCCAAGTGCTTAGCGGAAAGTCTATTCAGTAAATAATCTTTAGCAAGATATTAAAATTGTTTCTTACTGTTGGGCGGGGTGTCACGTGTTAACAAGACCATGCGGGACGCGATTATAAGCCTTGGCGTGAGAGCTCTAGCATATACTACGTCGCAGGCGTAAGTATTACCCCTCGAGGGTATGGAAAACAGGGGGTTTAAAGTGGAAACTAGACTTTTGAGGCACCCTCGAGGGGTAATACTTAGGCCTGTACCGTGGTATAGTAGCGTCAAAACGGTTTACTAGGATCACACTGAAGGTATAAAGTCAAGAAGAGGATGTTTTGGAACTCAAAGGACAGCATAAGTTAAGTTTCTTAAGCATTAGCCCCTTGCTAAGTAATGTATTCTCGTGATTTTACATGCGTGCTTAAATTCATTTTTTAAGATAAGTATATTGGGTTTGCAATAGCTGCTGTTGTACTTGCAACCGATATGATTGCTTACCTCGAAGACGCCGAATTCGACGACTTTGAAGATGCTACACAGATATTCTGCGGCTAAACCATTCAAATTTGGTTTACGAATTCGCGGAATCGACCTTGCGAAGCTGGGAATAGCTTCATTTTTGAATTTCTGCCGATGCGCTATGGATCAAGATTAGCTCACACGCTTTCCCTTCGCTGATTTGTATGATCGGACCTGTGCCGAACCATCTGGCCCTGTGCCTCAAACGTAACTTCGAAAGTAGGTGTTATCCAATTGGGTTAGGTGTATGGTCGATGTTGTCAGATTTTATGGCCGGTATACGTAGTACTACGTAGTTGAAGACCGGTAAAGTCTATATTAAAGATATTTATTTTCTCATGAAACTTTAGACTAAAGTCAAGGGCGTTAGCTAGAATATAAAACATCCCGAAATAATGGAGCGGGCATACACTTGGATGAGAAATAAAATAACCAGCTCGCGTTCTTCATTATTTGTTAAAGGGGCACTTAACTCAACTTATTTTGAGCTTTATTGGATATAAAATTACTCGGTGATAGGCTTGACGCAGTAAACTTTTCATTGGTCATATCTACGAAGAACGCCCCTGACATATTTGCATGAACCAACCAATGCAGCGCAAAACAAGGGGAAGTGAAGCCTCGAGAGGTGATTAGGGTAGGTAGTCTAGAAGAAGAAACAGGAATTCGGCGTCATCATGTATCTAGAAACAATCAAAATGTTGCATTTCCGTAGGGTACACCGAAGCCTAGTGTGGGCGGCGACGTTGCCTGATGGCCATAGGTGACGGATCAAGATTGTGACTAAAGATTCGGGATGTTGTTTTCAAGCAACGAAAGATATTCAGCTTTGCTTGCACTCAGCGGCATCTTGCTTGGGTTTCGCGGGGTCGTCCTAGATTTGTGTTAGCATCCTCAGGGCGACCAGTCCATCAGTGAGTCCTTACATCCTCGTCCGACTCATCATCATCGTCGTGATCCTCACTGATGTCGTCCTCATCATCGTCCTCATCCTCAAAGTCACCCTCCTCCATATCATCCAACTCCTCGAACTGAAGAGCTTCTCCAGTAAACCAATCGATAGCACGGGGAATTAACTTCTCCTTAATGTCCTCTCCCAATTGGTAGTCCAGTTCCAACCGCTCCTCGATGTCACTGGCGGCATCATCGTCGTCGTCGTCAGTTGGGGCCTTCGGTGGCGAGAAGAAGTTGAAGAAGGACTCGGTGGGCACCGTCTTCTTGACAACCCGGGTTTGCTTAGTGTCTCAGGGTATGTTAGTTATTATGCATGACAGACATGTTGGGAAATTTTTACTTTTGTTGCGCTGCTTCTTGCTCTCGATTCTCACGGTCAAGTCTTTGCCAGCCTTCCAGTCGATTTTGTCGCCCTCGGCATGATCGTAGATAAAATCTCCTCCGTAGCCACTCTCATTTTGATAAAAGTAGGTCTTTGTGATAAGCTTGTTGGAGAAGAACTCATTTTCGGCGAACTCGAAGATCAAACGGAAGCCGGGCTTGTCAAGATACTCCATGCGGACGTCGGTTAGATCCTTGAGAGCAGCCTCATCTCTGTCGGTAATCATCTCAGCGAGAGAAACTTGATTCTTCATTGCAGACAGCCAAAACTCGGGAATGCCCTTAACGTCGGATGTATCCTCTGACTTCTCAACAGGCTCGTTCTGCTCCTCGTCATCTTCCTCTCCGGCTTGGATCTCGGCCTCCGTTGGCTCAGCAGCACCATTGACGATGGTGGCTCGCTTTTGGTAGAGGGGAGTAAATTTGGCGAAGTATTTCTTCTCTAGCTCCAACACCTCTTCCTGGAACTCGGCCTCGAGCTTTGAGTGCTCCTTCTGCACGCCCTTAAGGCCTGCAACGCGACGGCGCACAGGAGCAGGGAGGGACTCGACGTAGCCTGAAGAACGACCGACGAGGGAACCGAGTTTGCCTTGAATCATTTGAACGAGCTTGGGATTTTGGGCGAAGATTGAGGCGGCTGCGTTACGGTCAAACTCCTCTGCCAAAGAAATTAGTGATCGTGAATCAAATTTCGATGAGGGGCAAAGACGCGCGTACCCTCTTTGATTGTGCCTACACCAGGCTGCTGGGCGTGAGATGAAATGGGAGCATTGTTGGAGGGCGTATTTTGAGGCGTGCTGGTTAAAAGTCAGCATGGACGTTCTCTCTCCCTTGTTATTGTTGGGCGGGGATGGGAGATGGGATTTGGAATTAAGAGAGGCAGCGGTGGAGGGGAATGGAGGAGTGATTACGGGGCGGTTTGGGTCTGCTTCTTAGGAATCTCAGACATATTGGCAGACGCAGGGTGGAATTTCGAGGAAGTGAAGAGTCAAGTGTGTGCGAAAATCGCTGGACGATATGATGGTGGTTGGGAACAAGAAACGATGGGGAAAACGAGAAAACTGATGAGCCAGCGGTATCGTAGCTAGCGTTGGCGGGGTCGAATCAGAACTGGAACAGGGTCAGCGCCGATAGGAGCCGCAGCCGCATCTCCAGAAATTATTCACCACCACTAGACCCCAAAACAAAAACCTCTGGCTCACCTTACTCAGGTAATTTTACCTTTGTTTTACACTAATTGACAAGGCCATGGTGCTATCCTGCAGCCGACATACTTTGGGCGCACGCCACGCGTGTGAATCGATATAATGGACATAAATCATCCGCGGAGGAGCAGCTCTCGAGCAAACCGTCCCATGAATGAAAATGAGCGCGGCACAATGTACAGGAGGGATTCGAATCTTTCGACGACGAGCTTTATGGACGAGGTGGAAATGGCACAGGATGAGATGTTCGCAGGCCCCATGGGGGAGAGTGTTCCTACCAGTGTCTCGTCCTTCGCCCATCGCCGAGGCCGAGCAGACTCGACCGCGAGCTTCACATACTATCAGGCACGGGGCCAGAACGAGGACGAGGACGAGGACGGGCCTTTGGCGCCTTCTGACGAAAGCGCCATTATAGATTACGAATCCGAGCTACACTTCGACGAGGACGACTCGACAGACTTGGAGGCAGATGAATTCTCGAATATGAGAAGGTCTTCGTCTGGGGCACACTCCAGATCTTCATTACATGACCGCCTGCTGAGGAGCGATAGCGCAAGAACAGACGGAAGTGATCTTGGAAAAGGTTATCGGATAAGCCAAAAGGTTTATATCGTAACTGAGGATCTCACGATTGTTGTGGCCGGGTTCCGAACATCGACCGTTGGATTCGCCATATATGCAACCATCTGTATCCTCACGTTTGGAATTGGATACCTCCTACTGCGCTGGCTTCCTCGTTGGCAGGTGCGTCTCGTCGGTTCGCCAAGCCCTTTACGCGACTGTATATGGGTCGTTATTGAAGTAAGTAATTATACAGTTTATCATTCGTGTCCCCCATCTTCCCCATCTCCCCCATCGAAGAGGCGAGTCGGGGCAAAATGCTTTCTCAGATTGTGGATCATGCTGAAATAGCGTAGAATCAATGGGGAGAATTCGTGGTCCAGGATGTCGAGTCCAAGGAATATGGCCGGCCGCTTTCGACAATCTTCAGCGATCCTCTAAGCAAATATGTCATATCTTATGACGAGGACGACGACCCTATCATCGAAAATCTTCGGATGCTTGACTACAGATATATGCGGTTCTCGTTCAACCCCCTGAAAGACAGATTTATGCTTTGCAACAGCTGGAAAGATCCAGCATGGACCGATGTCAAGGCCATCCGGGCTGGCATAGACGGTGACGAGAAGGAGAGCCGTGAACTCGTCTTCGGAAAGAACCTGATCGAGATCAAGCAAAAGACAATTCCTCAACTCTTGATGGATGAGGCTTTTCACCCTTTCTATGTCTTCCAGATAGCCAGTCTACTCCTTTGGTCTGTCGACGAGTACTATTACTATGCTGCCTGCATTTTTGCCATATCGCTTGTCAGCATAACGACAACGCTGATCGAAACACGCTCGACGATGAAAAGACTCAGAGAGATTTCCAAGTTTGAATGTGACATCCGTGTGCTGCGAAATGGTTTCTGGCGATATGTGCCGTCGAGTGAGCTTGTGCCTGGGGATATCTACGAAGTCACGGATCCTGCTTTAGCACAATTCCCATGTGACAGTATTCTCCTTGCTGGCGACTGCATAGTCAACGAAAGCATGCTGACAGGCGAATCTGTTCCCGTGTCGAAAGTCCCAGCAAGTGATGAAAGCCTGGCGACTCTCAACCTAGCGGCTACGTCCATTGCTCCGGAGCTTGCAAGGAACTTCCTCTTTTGTGGAACCAAGATCATTCGTGCGAGACGTCCGCAGGACGATAAAGACGATGAGGCCGTAGGACTTGCTATGACTGTACGTACTGGCTTCAACACGACCAAGGGAGCACTTGTTCGATCGATGCTCTTCCCTAAGCCCTCTGGCTTCAGTTTCTACAGGGATTCGTTTCGCTACATTTCCGTAATGGGTGGAATCGCCACACTAGGTTTCGTGGCTTCGTTCATCAATTTTGTTCACCTGAAGCTGGCATGGCACTTGATCATCGTTAGAGCACTTGACCTGATCACAATCGTCGTGCCTCCTGCGCTTCCAGCTACTCTTACAATCGGGACCAACTTTGCTCTTTCTCGCTTAAGGAAGAAGCAGATCTTCTGCATCAGCCCTCAGAGGGTGAACGTTGGTGGCAAGCTTGACATTGTCTGCTTTGACAAAACGGGAACCCTGACAGAGGATGGCTTAGACGTACTTGGACTAAGGGTGGTGCAACAACCTGCAAATAGGTTTAGTGAGATTCTCTCAGACGCCCTGTCTTTGCTTCCAGGCGCCGCCTACGAGAGAGATCCCACTGTTGAGTACGATTCTCGTAAGGCTGCACTTTACACCATGGCGACCTGTCATTCCCTACGGGTCGTGGATGGTGAGCTTGTTGGGGATCCTCTTGATCTGAAGATGTTTGACTTCACTGGGTGGTCTTTCGAGGAGGGCGAGCAGAACAGCGGTGATGCTGAAGACGAGGAACAGGGGGGCTTGGCGCCATCTATTGCAAGACCGCCTCCTGGAATGGAATACGACATCGACGATAACGAAAATACGCAAGACACGGCGGTAAGTTGTTACAGCCAAAGTCTGCCTTGTCTTTTTACCCTCAATCAGTGTACTGACTTGTTTCACAGAGAGCGCCTATAGAACTTGGTGTACTAAAAACTTTTGATTTTGTGTCTCAACTCCGACGAGCAAGTGTTATTGTCCGTAAGTTTGGAACGCCTGGCTGCGATATTTACGTCAAAGGTGCTCCAGAATGTATGAAGGATATCTGTAAGCCCGAGAACTGTGAGTATTCCTTCCCCATAAGCCTTTATCTTGTTATTTACTATTAGAATAGTTCCGAGTGATTATGAGGATCTTCTTGCATACTACACCCATCGAGGCTTCCGTGTTATAGCTGTCGCCACTAGGCACATCAAGAAGCTCAATTGGTTGAAGGTCCAAAAAATGAAGCGGGAGGAAGCGGAGTCCGACCTAGACTTCATTGGTTTCATCATATTCGAGAACAAACTAAAAGACAGCACAGAGAGTGTCCTCAATGAGCTTACAGAAGCCGGAATCAGAAAAGTTATGTGCACTGGAGACAATATATTGACAGCTATCAGCGTTGCGCGAGAGTGCAATTTGATTGACAAGACTGCGCATTGTTTTGTGCCACATTTCGCCGAAGGTATTGACTTACAATGGTTCTTAATCTTTTCAGATCGGGGGGTCCTTTCTCCTGTATAAGGTTGAATGGGTCTTGTTTCAGAATATTCGCTAACAGTGTTTTCTAGGAGACTTTTCAGATCCCAAAGCACGCCTCAAATGGGAGAGTATTGACAACAACATTTTCACACTGGACGAAAGAAGTCTTATTGTAGGTCACTGCGGAGACTACACGTGTGCTGAACTAACCACTACAGCCACTACCACCTCCTGCGGATGGCGATGCATCGCTTCCTTACGACATTTCCAATCTTCGAAATTACTCGCTAGCAGTAAGTGGCGATGTATTCCGCTGGGTAATCGATTTTGCTCCGCCTGAAGTCCTGCAAAGGGTTTGTATTCTATAATCTCGATATTCAAATTTGTAGCTAATATGCCAGTAGATGCTTGTATGCGGGCAAGTCTTCGCTAGAATGTCACCCGATGAAAAACACGAGCTTGTTGAGAAGCTCCAGAGCATAGATTACTGCTGTGGATTTTGCGGTGATGGAGCAAACGATTGTGGAGCTCTTACAGCAGCAGATGTTGGAATTTCACTTTCTGAGGCCGAAGCATCAGTGGCTGCTCCATTCACAAGTCGTGTTTTCGACATTAGTTGCGTTCCTGAAGTTATACGGTGGGATCCTCATTAGCCTTCTACGACGACATCTAGCTAACATCTTGGCTCCAGTGAGGGACGAGCTGCATTGGTTACCAGCTTCAGTTGCTTTAAGTATATGAGTCTTTACTCGGCTATTCAGTTTACTTCCGTCAGCTTTCTCTATGCTTCTGCATCGAATCTTGGAGACTTTCAAGTAGGTTTAGGTTCCCCGACCTATTGGTCATATCATGAATAACAGAAGTAGTTTCTCTTTATTGACCTACTACTCATTCTCCCGATCGCTATCTTCAGTAAGTCGCCCGCATCAACCTTTCAGGGTGTTCAGTATTAAACATGAAGCAGTGGGCTGGACCGGACCATTCCCAGTCCTGTGCCAGAAGCGGCCAACAGCGAACCTTGTGTCTCGTAAAGTCTTGACCCCGCTAATTGGTCAAATCGCCATCTGCATCTTGATTCAGGCGGTTGGATTTTATGCTGTCCGCAAGCAACCTTGGTAAGTTTCCAATGTTTTTTTTATGTAGCTACAGAAAGATTTTAACATTTTACCAGGTATATCCCACCACATCTCAATCGACAAAAGTCGAACGTGGAAAACTCGGAGAATACCACCCTCTTCCTGATCTCCTGCTTTGAGTACACTCTCTCAGCAATTGTGATGAGTGTCGGACCTCCATTCCGCCAATCCATTTCGAACAATTGCAAGTCTATTTTCCCACAGCCTATGTACTTAGCTAATACATATTAGTGCCGTTCGTTGTGACCATTGTCGTCGCGCTGCTCTTTTCGTCGTACCTAGTCTTTGACCCATCAGAAGCTGTGGCGGAGTTCATGCAGTTGACAAAAATGGACTGGGACTTCAAGACTTTCATCTTGATCCTCGGGATCGGATACATCTTGTTGGCATGGACCACGGAGAACTATGTGTTTCCCCGGCTTGCGAAGTACCTGGGAGCATTGAAAACATTCGTTTCGGGCAAGCCCAAGGCACGCAAGAAGTACAAGACCGTGCTGGAACAAATGCGAGCACACCAATAATTGCAACTGGGTGTGGTCGCAGTATTACAGTCGTAAAATACACGATGTAACATACACGATGTAAAATACACGATGTAAAATACACGATGCAAAATACACGATAACCACTAAGATCAATTTCATTAGGTGCCAATGACGCAGTGGCCTTGGCTAGTAAATATTTATTAAGCTCGGAGAATATAGAAAGAGCTACCTACGGTAAGCCACAGCGGTGCTTTGCGATGATAAAGAACAACACCGTGCTCTGAACCCGGGTCGAAACCGTTAACGTTACCGTTACCGTTACCGTTACCAGCTGTCTCTGGCCCAGGCTTCTCATCCATATTGCAATCGTTCCAGACAATCGTGACCTCAACAATCCTGTGATTGGTACCTCAATTTCGCAAGAATGAACTCCGGTATACCTCAGCGCGAACGTCGCAATGTAGCTTTCTAGCTCCCTTACTAACAGCCTCCAGACTCAATCCTCGACACTCTACTCGATGGCGGCTACCTACCCAACGCCGTGATCCGCGCGGGAATCCGGCGTCAACTTGCCGACCGGATCAGACTCATCCAAAGCACCTCTCTCGAGGAAGCCTACAAGCGCAAAATGAGCTACGTAGAGCTCCTTCGAAGCAGACCAATTGCTATCGAGACCGCTGCTGCCAACGAGCAGCACTATGAAGTCGGTACTGGGGTTCTGGCCGCTTGCTTGGGACCTAGGATGAAGTACTCATGCTGTTTGTACCCTAAGGGCGGTGAGACGCTGGCGCAGGCTGAGGTCGCTATGTTGGAGACTTATGTCAAGAAGGCGCAATTAGTGGATGGCATGAGTATTTTGGATCTTGGGTGGGTTGATGCTCGTCAGGATAGGATTGGAGCATTACTAATGGATGTGAAGGTGCGGGTGGGGCTCTGGAGCGTTGTACTTTGCTGAAGTCTTGCCGAACTCCTATATCACGGCTTTCTCAAATTCGAGAACGCAGAAGATTTATATTGATTCCAAGGCTAAGGAGAAGGGTCTCATGAACTTGAAGGTCATCACTGGGAATGTGGTTGATTATGAGTTTGAGAATGAGAGCTTTGATCGTGTTGTTTCTATCGAGGTGAGTACTGCTCACTTGTCCATCAGGGGGTCTGCATGTTCTGACGAGAGGTAGCTTTTCGAGCATATGAAGAACTACGAGCTTCTCATGGCCAAGGTCTCAAGAGCTCTGAAGCCAGCGGGAAAGCTATTCGTTCACATTTTCGCCCATAAGACCAGCCCCTATGACTTTGAAGACGGCTGGATGAGCACTCATTTCTTCTCGGGAGGAACGATGCCTTCTGCAGACCTCCTTCACTTCTTTCAAAGGGACTTGAAATTGGAGACTCAGTGGTGGGTATCAGGCAAGCACTATGCCAGGACTTGCGAGGTTTGAATTCTGGCCATTCGACCCCCAATTCGAACGCTGATCTGTGACTAGGACTGGCTGGCTACCATGACTGCCAACAAAAAGCAGATCTGGCCTCACTTGACTGAGACCTACGGAGAGAAGGACACTGCCATGTGGTACTACCGATGGCAGATCTTCTACATGGCGTGCGCAGAGCTCTTTGCGTATGAGGGCGGAGATACCTGGGGCATAAGCCATTACTTGTTCGAAAAGCCCGCCTCAATCTAAAATAACGTTTGTACATAGACCATGGCGGTGCAATAGAATTCCAGTTGATTGATCCTCAAAATTGCTACCCCTTCCGTATTTACAGCGATCGCCCGTCTCCAGCGATGAGTCCTTTCCCAGCCGTCGAGATGTTGATCCGTCCAGTACCGCAATCGACCCTAATTTTCGCTCGCTCTTCAATGGTCCCACGGGTGCTTCCAGCCGAGCAAGGCGGGTCCTGCTTGATTATCAGCAGGGTCAGTGGGAGAGAATGGCTAGCAGGAAGCGTTACCATCTTTCTTTGCGCGGTACATCAACTATGGACAGATATTGTGAGCAATCGCGCATCAAGGTCGCTGCAGTATGAGAGACCTACAAAGAACCACATCGAGGCACCTAGCGTTGTCTGATATCGAGCAAGTCAGTATCAGTATACCGACACGAGTATTCCGGGGAAAACCACTATCCTTACAGCAGCGAATCTGTAGAGCGGCCTCACGGGAGGGACTTGGACTGGATGTGTGGCGGGGCCAGGGCCAGCCATGTTTTGTTTGACGAGTCGGATATGGAGAGAAGAAAGGTGGAAACGGAATTGATAGAGGACTGGTGCTGGTTGATATCTTGCAAATAGATGCCAATTGAGGGGATGCAGTTGGGTCCGGTACAGCACAGGAGGTTGTGGAGAGGGTGATATGAGGCTGAAGTATAACAAATAATGCGGCTCGTGCCCCACAGCGTGGTAAGTAGTGTAGAATATTCCCTCCACGGAATCATCATCCCTCCACCATCCAACTCACCACCTCACCACCTCACCATCTCTTCTACCTTCCTTCTCATTATCTTCCCCTACGATACGAGCGCAATGCTAGACCTCGATCTCAATTCTCCGAATCACGGCTGATACATTTCTCTCGAATACCTCTTTCCTCCTTCCTTCCTTTCCTCTCCTCCTTTTCTTACAAACAACCCAGCCGACGCGTCAGAGAATCAACTCCGACTTTTTTTACCGGCCACTGGAAACAGCGCGCTGCATTCCAGTCGTGTCTTTGCGCATAGAAAACATTGTTCTCCTACGGTATACCACCAGTTGGCCCAGCTCTGAGACAATTCGATACCTGCTCTGCAAATATGTCGACGCCGGTCCCTACAACCAGTCCTCCGCAATGCAATAGCACATCTTCTACAGCATTCGCCCAGCAGCACCTGCGAGACCCCAGGTCGTTCGTTGGCTGTTCGAAGTTCACAGAGTATGAAGTTCTTGGAAAACTGGGTGAGGGAACATTCGGAGAGGTACTGCGCGCAAGGTCGAAGAAAACTGGCTCGGTCGTCGCATTGAAGAAGATCCTCATGCACAACGAGAAAGATGGTTTCCCGATCACGGCCCTCCGAGAGATTAAGCTCCTCAAGCTGCTATCCCATCCGAACATTTTGAAGCTGGAGGAAATGGCTGTGGAGCAACACAACAAGACGGCCGACAAGAGGAAACGAGCTGTCATGTACATGGTCATGCCATATATGGACCACGATCTGTCTGGCCTCCTTGAGAACCCCAAGGTGAAGTTGCAGGAACCTCATATCAAGTGCTACATGCTCCAGCTCTTGGAGGGGGTACGATATCTACACAATGAGAGGATACTACATCGGGATATGAAGGCTGCGAACCTCCTGATCAATAACCAAGGCATTCTCCAGATTGCAGATTTTGGGCTGGCACGACATTATGATGAGGCTGTACCTGTCGCTGGTCAGGGAGGGGGCGTAGCAAACCGGGATTATACAACTCTTGTGGTTACTCGTTGGTACAGACCTCCGGAGTTGTTGCTACACTTACGAAAGTACACAACTGCCATTGATTTATGGGGAGTTGGGTGAGTCGCATCCATTGCTTCGCCGGGTCAACTATTAACACCAGTCAGCTGCGTCTTTGGGGAAATGCTTATCGGCAAACCTATCCTTTCCGGAGACAGCGATGCCAACCAACTCAAGATCATTTTCGACTTGATGGGTACACCCACTGATGAGAATATGCCGGAATTCAGATCTCTGCCAGGGGCCGAAGGGATGAGCTTTGCACCACATGCCTCGACCTTGGCACAGCGCTTCCGAGCGTAAGTAAACAAATCCAATTATGCCGAGCCCGCACTAATTTATCGTAGTTATGGATCAGGCGCTATTTCATTGCTGAATGAGCTACTTAAACTCGACTGGAAGAAGAGAATTAACGCCATCGATGCCTTGAAGCACCCATACTTCCGCAACGTACCTCTTCCCGCACAGCCAGGCGACCTACCGACGTTTGAAGATTCCCATGAGCTCGATCGAAGAAAGTTCCGCAGCCTGAAAGCTGCTCCACCCCCAGCGCCAAAAGGTGGAACAGTTGGCATGGGTCCCGTAGCGGGTGTTTGGGGAGGCGAGGCAGGTCCAAACGGACAGTATGCTAGTGGCGACTCTCATAATGGTTACCGTCATCACAACGGCAGCCGCCATCCTCCTCCAGGCGGCTACAATCGCAATGGTGTACCTCCTCCTCCTCCGCAGGAAGAGCGGAGGCCCGCATGGCAAAGACCTCGAGATGACCGGGAACGTCCAGATACCAGGTTGCCTGCCAGACCGCCATATTCCCAAGCTGACTACAGATATGATGGAGGCAGAGATGGAGGCAGAGATGGGGAGCGTCCTGATGGATATAGATCCCGATCTCGTGACATCGACCGTCCACCCCGCAGCAGAAACGGACCATCAAACATCGACACCTACATTCCAAGCTACAGAGCCGAGGAAGGACGGCGAGAGGATCGGCCTCCTAGGGAAGACAGACCCAGAGACCGGAGACACGATGAACGAAGGCACGATCGCGTCCGCGAAGAGGGCAGACTTGACTACGACGAGCGCAGTCGCGGTGGACGAACGCGCAGCCGTAGTCGGAGCCCCACTCGAGAAAGAGAAAGAGACCGGGGAGCGAGAGAAAGAGAGCCAATACCACCAATGGATAGGGACAGAGATCGGGAACGGGAACGTGACGTCTATCGCAGATGACAACAAGCGCTACGGTATTTGAAACTAATACTTTGATAAGTGGATGGACTCTGAGATGAAGCGATACCCTGATTTGTGCGGGCTTGGCAGCAGGCGTAAGGATAGCATGGACTTGTGGTACAGTTGCGCTGGCTTGTTTACATATAGGAGCACCAAGGGCGGCGGCTTTGGCGCTATTAGTTGGCGGGGCGTTTCAGGGCCAGCGATGAAGATAGGGCAATCCAATAACCTATGCCGAATAGTCGATTAATCATTTATTTACGACTATTTATCTCGACCACAACAGTACGGGTTTGTGGGTGGGTGGGAGTGGGTAGGGGGTATGTGGGGGAGGCGAAACCGACGAACATAGGACGAAGTATGTTTGAACAGTCAGTACCTCCCGATGTATGACTTGGTTCACAGTTCTAGGAATATTTCTTTCATTCGTAGTTGCTCGATGCCCTATCGTCTAGCTTCGTAAACCCATTACATGAGAGGTCATTCCATATCAGACTCCAGAGAGAGGTAATCACCGCTTTATCTTGTTCCTACAATTCGAGTGGAGATTCCATACCGAGCGGGTCTCGAGTCATGCCCGATGCCTGCCCTTGCACGTACTTTGTCCCAAATAAAAGTGAAGCCCTTTCAATCCTCTCCTGTTGGTTTGTACATGATTGTTGTGACATACTTTGTGCCAAATCAGCATCATCGCTTCTAATTACGTAGGGTGAGCTTACCTTTCTCTTGTATCTGGTGGTAGCTGATACCGCTAGGATGTTGTTCTTGATGCTGCTGGTCGCCAAGTGGTTGAGTACAGTGTGGTTTGGCATGGTCAGAACACTATTATCGTCCTTCATTGGCGTAGCGGCATTTAAGATTGGCTTGCCCAGGAAACCAGGAAGACTGGGAGGTGTCGGCAGCTTTTCGATCGCAGCAGCCGCATATTGGTAAGCCGTAGAGTCTTCTGCCTTGTCCAGGTCGACGAGATATTGTGGAATCTGTGAAGAGAAAAGTCCTGATGGTAAGACCAGCTTTGTCTTGGGAGGCTTCGGTGCTTTCGAGTCCTCTCCTTCTTCCTCGTCCGCCTCGGGCTCTATTTTGGGAGGACTCTTTGCGTGGGTATCAGGAAGACCTTCAACACCGTGGACAGGTGCACCGGGTGCTTGTATAATTGTAGGAACATCTTGAGGTATGTCGTCGGCACTGACTTCAATATAGTTTACCAGGTTGTTGCCAAAGTCGACTGTTGTCGGGAGGGCCTTGGAACACTGCATAACGCCATCGACAATAAATCTGATATGGTGGGTTCCAGGACGAACATGAACGATAGCTCTCAGAAGGTCAGGTTGACCCTCGCTGATATATATTAGCACTTCCCGGCATGATGCTTGAGATGTCTACTTACACAGGATTAAGACGATATTTCTTGTTCCATTGGAAGATCGTCCCAGTCACGTAGGCCTTCTCACCTGCTCCAGTCGTCTTCCATTCGAAGGTAGTCGGTACCGAAGCCTTGTCCTTGTCGATTCGCAACTCCTCCGCATCTTCTTCGTCAACCGTAGTGGTACTCAGTGCCGACGACCGCCGACGTAGAGTGTCGTCGTCCAAAGACTCAATATCTAAGACGGGCGCATCCATATCTGTCGGGGCTATTATGGGCGAGCCTGGCGTGTGGACCTCCTCCTCGATGGGGAGGGGTAGCCGCGGAGGGCGAGTGAGGTGGTAGGACATGTCTTGTGTTGCTGGCGGCCCAGAGGGGTCTAAAGAGTGCGAATATGGTCGTGAAGCAGGGGAGTCGGGATTCGGCGCAGGTATAGGGACATTGACTGGCTTGCTGGGTTGGTCTCGGTCTCGGTCTCGATCTCGAGTCTCTGGTTTGGACTCGTCTTTTGATTGTTGAACACCCATATGGTGGTTCGGCGGTTTGTTGCTGTGAATCGAGGAAGTATAAGTTGTGCTGCTTTGATTCGAGGGCCTTTGCGGTGATGCAGCAGCATGCGGTTGCGGTTGCGGTTGCGGCTGCGGCTGCGGCTGCGACTGCGACTGTGACTGTGACACGGACTTTTGATATCGATGTGTAGTCCCGAGAGCTTGGGCTGTGGACAAATCGGCGGGCGCCCGTTGGGCCTGGATCAGATGTCGAGGGTCGCGGCGCTGTGAGGAGGATGAGGTACGGGAAGAGTCACGGGGAGTAGGCGAAGATGAAGACGAGGACGAGGCGGGATGCGTCTTCGAGGTGCTTGGGCTATTCCCCATGATCGATGGAAAGGAGTGGCAGGGTTGTTGGTGCGACGTTGATATGAAAGCGACGGGTTGAGATGGGATGGGATGATGATGGCGGGGTCAACAAGTGATGCGGTGCGGGTGCGATTATGTCATGTACTACTGAATTAATGAGTAATGGTAGTTGAACTTACAGTACTGATGATAAGTCCGTGTGAATTTTACATATAACGGCAGACAACTAACACGACCCACGATTTGACTGTATGGATACAAACAAAAATGAACTGGCTCTCGATTCTTCGCGCCTCACTCTACTACCTCTTCGTACCTTTCACAACCCTCTTCTGGTCAATAGTGGCCTGTCTCGCGCCAGTTCTACACCTTGTAAATTACGTACTGTCGGCCTGCTTACTCCCAGTGAAGTTTCTCGCAAAGTTCGAAGTCAGTGCCAACCTTGCTCTCTCTATTGCATTGGTACCTAAGTAGCTAACCATTCCCCCAAGACCCTCTACATCTACCTCGGTGTTGCTGCGCTTGTTGGTCTTGTCACTGGCTCCGTCCTCTACGCATTGTCGAGCGTGCTGGTGTCCATGTTCAGCTTGAAACCGGTTGCAGAGGAGAGGGGCCGTTCCGCAGCCTCAGTCCGAGCTGCCCGGGAGCAGAAAAAGTTGCACAAGCTGGAGAATGCCTGGCAGAGTTCGACCTTTAAGAGCGAGGATCTCAATGCCCGGAGTGAACCATCCCTGGAAAAGTATGCGGAGTGGCTGGAAAAGACCGACCAGGGTTTGCTGGGCCAGACTATCTTGGAGGAGGACGATTCAGATGGTTTTTGAGTTGCTCAAGACGATCCAGAACAAAGGTCCAAATCGAGTTGGGCACGTTTAAGCTCCGGATGAAAAGTCCTCGCGCAAAAAAGATTTTCTGACCTTGAACCTCATTCAGTCCCTCCAATCGATGAGGACCTCATCGGTCCTGAACCGCTGGGTGACGGTACTGTCGTTGAGCGCAGTTCTGAACCCGGTCTCGTAAGCCACCAGACCAGCGTGGGCGATCATGATCCCATTGTCTATACAGAAACGCTCATCCGTGGCGAAAACGCTGCCTCCCCTGTCCTTTGCCATCGAACCCATCATTTCTTGCAGTCGTTCGTTGCAACCCACACCTCCAACAATCAGCACCTCGTTGCTTCCTACATGTGCCATTGCTCTCTCTGTGATCTCCACCAGCATCGCGTAGATAGTCTCTTGCAGACTGAAGCACAGATCCGCGGTGGTTATTCGCTCGCCAGTAACAGGATCTCGTTGATCCGAATTTGCCTTGAGCTCTGCGGCCAGTATATCGATGTGAGACAGGATGCCGGAAAAGGAGCAATCCATTCCTTTGACTAGATACGGTATGTCCAGAAGTACCTTGCCATTCTTCGCCAATTGCTCGATGTTGTATCCAGGAGCGGGATCGTTGCTGATCGCAAGGGTACGTGCGAACCGGTCCAGGCAATTTCCAACTGCAATATCAAGTGCCTCTCCAAAGATTCGATACCGCTGCTCTGCGTAGGCAATAACCTGAGTATTTCCCCCGCTGACGTAAAGAACGACGGGATTCTGAGCCCCTGTGATCTCGCGGCCCATCTCGATGTGGCCTACACAGTGGTTGACACCAATGAGTTCCTTCCCCCATAACAAGGAAAGCATGCGCGCCGCGACCGCTACGCTTTGAAGCGGAGCGCCCATACCCGGGCCTTTGGTGTAGCAAATGCAATCAAGCTGCTGGATAGTTACCCCGGCCTGGCTCATAGCCTGCTTGACCAGCTTGACAAACCATGATCGATGGTGTTTTGCAGTGTCTTTGGGGAGGAAGCCCTCGCCAGGCGGGGCGTTAAATGTATGCCGAATATTGGACAGAATCTGGGCCGGCTTGCCGTTGGGAAGATGGGAGATGACTCCGACTCCGAGTTTGTTGGCGCTGCCCTCGAGGCCGATGGCGATCATGGTGGGCGTAGATGGTAGTGGGATGGGGATGGGAGCTAGGAAGGTAATGGGAGCTGGGAGGGGGTTTGAGAGGGGTCTTGGGTTTTCTTGCTTATAGTTGAGGTTGACCCCGCCAATGACAATCGATAGCGATAAGAGATGATAGGTTTCTAACCTACCAGTACCTTCCTCCAAAATATAGTTCCTCACCTTCCTCTTGCTATGTTTGGTAGTATCTTTCGGTCAAATATGAGCGTCTTGATGTATTTCTTGGATAATTTTAATTTCGTACCTGCCTTTGTGTACCTAGGCAGGTACTTGGTAGAAAGGCGAAAATGCGTGGGTTTTTATCTCGGATGCGGCTCGCTTATTTATTAGCCTAGCGTGCGACCCTGTTGTTCTCGGCTTTTTCTCCAAGTACAGTAGCTCTTCACTTTATACAACCACTTCTCACAAACCTCCTTTTTTCGTCCGCAGCCAGACCGCCAATCTAGTCAGTAAGATATGGAGAGCGACGAGTTCCAAGCCAAGACGGCGTCCTTCTTCGCCTGGCTTGGGAGAATCGGTGTGCATCACTCTCCAAAGGTTGCGCTCGTTGACTTGAGGTCAGCAGGTCGAGGACGAGGACTTGGTGAGTACAGTGCGTGACTTGTCGATGCGCCATATTCCGCTCGATCAGAAGCATCATAGCCCCCATCTTCCTCTCCCCTGGCCTACCTAGCCGCCGCGAACGGATCTCTTGCTGACGGTTTCAGTCGCACAGTCAGACATCGGGGAGGACGAGGTTCTTTTTACCATTCCGCGCGACGCAGTTTTGAACACTACTACGGCCCTCGGAAGCGCTGATAATCCTGCTATTCTCGAGATGCCTTGCTGGCTGGTACGCCACTCCTACCAAACCTTTTGCGATCTATCGAATTGACACTTTGACCGCAGGCCCTTACCGCTATCATACTCACCGAAGGCCAACAAGAAGACTCTAAATGGGCACCGTACCTTGCGCTGCTGCCTTCGCGGCTTGACAGTCTCGTTTTCTGGTCCGAGTCAGAGCTCTTGGAATTGCAAGCCAGCACCGTTGTGAATAAGATTGGAAGAGCCAGTGCTGAACAGTTGTTTTTGGAGCACATCTCCCCTCTGGGACTGAGCAATACGAATACCGAAATGTGCCACAAGGTCGCGTCTGTAGTCATGGCGTACGCCTTTGATATTCCCGAGAAAAAGGGACACGACGACCCCGAAAGTCCCGAAGATGGTGATGACTTGGTTTCAGATAACGAAGAAGAAGAGAACACTATCTTGTCTATGATTCCTCTGGCGGATATGCTCGTAAGTTAAATCTGATGTGAGCCGAGTGCTTGCAAAAAGACTGTTGTTTCGAGCATTTGTTATCCTTACCTGAGCATTGTCGCTGATACCTCGTTAATTAGAATGCCGATGCAGATGGAAATAATGCGAGGCTTTGTTGCGACAACGAGGAACTAGAAATGAGAAGCATCAAACCTATTTCGAAAGGAGAAGAGATTCTCAATGATTATGGCCAACTTCCCCGATCCGACCTCTTGCGCCGATACGGATATATCTCGGACAAGTATGCTGCCTATGATGTAGCCGAATTATCAACTCAGTCCTTACTTGCAAGTCTTTCCACGGAGCAACCCCTTCTTGCGGGTGGAACTTTGCAGCCTCTGAGTCGCGAAAAACTGGAGCAGAGAGTTGAGCTGGCCCAGCGAGAAGGAGTCTACGAAGATTCGTATGACCTTACTCATCCAGGACCTGACGACCCGAGTATTCCAGATGAGCTTTTGGCGCTGCTTTATATTCTTTTGTTGGACAATGAGAATCTCGCCGCTATCGAAACCTCTCACGCTTCATTGCCTAGTCGGTCCAAACTGGCGACTAGCCTCGTAGGTCAGATTCTGACGAAGATCCTAGAATCGAGAAAACAAGAGTATGCGACTACTATTGAGGCCGACCAAGCGATACTCCAAGCAGACAATCTTCCCTCTCGGAAAAGGATGGCAGTCGAAGTACGCCTCGGTGAGAAGTTGGTGCTGGAGAAAGCTATCCAAGAAGCGCAGTCGTTAACTGGAGACAATAAGCGGATGAGATTCAAGCAAGAGACTCCGACCAACTCCGCATTCAAGCACACTAAAGGCAAGAGAAAACCAGAGGAGGATGGATCTGGAAGGAAGAAAATACGACTTAGGTGAAAGGCGAAAAGGGTGCTGAGAGAAGAAGGGAGAGATATGGTGGTATGTATTTTCTTTTGGCATTCCGTCCTCGGCTCGTGTGAGTTCCTTTTGGAATGTACTAAAATTACAATAGGCTACCAGTTCTCTCCGTGCCCTCCGAGGGTCACCCTTCTTCGATCCGACCCGCTGGACTAGCCCAGTCCCGTGTGTAGCGCCCCCACGCCAAAGAGCAAAAGGCCCATCTGTAAGTGATGCCCTGTAAAGAGTTCTGATGTACATAAATATCGACAGATATGAAAGCTCTGTCGTTGTGAAGGGATGAAAGAAATATGGTACTTCAAGTGCGTGCCTGCGGCTGCGGCTGTGATGGAGGCTGCGACTGCGCTTGCGGAGCAGCTGCAATCGCTGTTCGATTTATTGGGCTGGAGCCATTGGCCCGGGCCTGCGGAATCGACTTCTCGTCTCGACGAGCGCCATTTTGGAGCAGATTGCCTGGGATCGGGATTGAGGCACGGAATTTGAGCGCATCTGTGCTGTAAGGGTCTACTTCGTATACGGGTTGTTCATTTTCGTCATCCGAATCGTACTTCCACCGATCCGAAACCACGGGATCCATTCCTTGGGCCATGGGTGCCATGCCTCTACGGTCAATCCATTGCCGGCCATTTCTACCGATTCGTCTTCGATAAGATTGTTGTCTCCGAGGTTCATCCTCCTCCGGTGGAGTGGCGTACCGCAAACGTACGACCTCTGGCTTCTCTTGCGTGGGAAAGGGGCGATCGGAGTCATTCCCGGATCCAGATCTCTCAGACGTTGGAGGAGTCAGATTTTCATATTGTGCCATTGCAGGACGGAAACTAGCTTCGAAGCCTTGACCTTCAACGGGAGACAACGGCTCTCGTGTTAAGTCGATATGGTGTATGTTCCATTTGCGGTGTGCTTGCGCTTTATCTTCAAGTTCTGCCCGTAGGGCATTTTCTTTTCGCTCTTGCAAATCACTAAGTAAGACGAGATCCGCCTCTAGAGGCCTGCCATCGGGTCTACCAGGCATGCGCAATGGCTGACCTGATTGACGTTGCACCTGATTGAAGTCACTGATCTTTCTCTTCTGGGGCTGCCGTTTGGTTAGCGAGGCTAAGGACCTGACATAGATGTCACTTACCCTTTGATTGATGAGGTCTTCATCGTCAGTCTTGATGCCGAGTTTTATTTTCTGCTCCTTGACGTCGACCCGAAGTTCGAAAATTTCTTTATCCATTCTCAAGCTTTTCAATTTGAGAATCTCTCTTTCAAGGCTCAACTCTACGAGCTTCTTTCCATCTTCCAACTCTTTTCGGAGATCAGATATCTTTTTCGCATTGGGACTTTCGCGTGCGGTTGCCCTGGTCTTCCTTTTCTCCCGTGCATCACGATATCTGAAGCAGACATACGGATCACTCTCATCTTTCTTCTGATCAGTTTCTTCTTTGGCGAGTGGCTGAAGTGGTTGATTCCCAGAGGCCTCTCTACGGGTTTTCCAGTGGGCGTAGATATCCTGAGCAAAGACACCAATCCGTGAATCCAGTGACTTTCGGGCCACGGCTCGGTCTATGTCACCTTTCATGTGTACGTATGACAGTACGGTACCATCTAGCCAGCCAGCCGGCGCGCTAGCTTTCTGCCTTGCCTCGAAGAATTCCATGATTTGCTCAAAAACGTCTTCCGAACACTGCTTGGCAGGACTTTTGCTGCGGTTATATGCTTTAAGGAAGAGGTCATCCTCAGTATTCATGTCATATTGACATGCAGTGCATTCCTCTACAGTCTCAGAGAAGCGAATGTATGTGAAAGGCCTCACAAAGACTAACGGATACAGAGAGTCATAATCAATGTTGGCTGCTTCAGCAGTAGGGGGTGCCGGGATTTCCTCGGCCTCCTTGGCACTCGCATTGGTTGCAGACCTTAACGCAGCTTGGAGATGGAATTCCTGGGAGAATATCAGCAGTGAGTTCCCACAGGCGAAGAAGGGGCACGGACCTCGGCCTCCCCAGATTCAACCCCATTTGCCGTTCCAGTCCCGACATTATATTGACTTAACAGAGCCTGGTATTCTGCGGAATCAATCTCATCCTCTGTAAGGACAGGCTGTCCAGTATTCCTGGCAAGCTTCCTCACTCTAACGGCGCGATCAAGACGAGGGGGTGCCATTGTTTGCGTGATAACGTGACGTCGATCTCGAGGGCAGATCGCGATTTTTTCGCGCTGAAAATTTGTTTGTGGAAAGGATTGGTCATGGTGAGATGCAGCGCAAAATCTCAGAACATTTTGCCGCGTTGAAGGTGAGCTTTTGATGCGTAGATATTCACCGAATAATCCGATGTCGTCGTGAAAACTCTGCGGTGTAAGCGGCCGCTTTGGTATCGGCGGACACATCATTGGAGCAGACCAGAGGAAATGGTCGGTGCGCTACCACTTTACCGTATGCGGCTTAGCTCGCATTACCCGAATATCAAGAAGGGCAGAAAGGGGCCATTGAAGGCTGATTTGATATTCATGTTTCCGTTTTCTAATCTAATTTACTAATAACCTCATATTTTGTATTCAATGAGCCGGAGTTCCAATTAATATTTTAGGTCTCGACTCTATCGATGAGAAGTCACCGACGAGAATTCGGGGTATAACAGGATGCTTCAGAAATTCACTTTTTAAATGACATGACTATGAACAACTACCAGTATTACAATTAGTTTTGTACTTACAGAAACTGTACTTCCCAACATATTCGTTCGTATTGTGAAGATCAACTCGGGGATCCCAGTCTATTCAATTCAACAACGTGCAGGCAGGTACTTCAATTAAATTGCGGATCTCCTTAGTTGCAAAAGAACAGGAAACTATACGATAACTAGAATCTTCAAACGAGATGTTTAGCCTTCAAGTCTGGATCACTAACTGGTGAGTGGCAAATGGTCATCAGTAGAAGGAACATACATGATCTAGGCCACCCAGCGTCGCGGATCACATGACGAAATCAGGCTCCTGGCCCAGAAAGGAGAATACTGATGAGATTAAAGACGCGCGATCAAAATTGATGAGATCTATTAGCTGGCGCATATTCGCGCACGGCTAGCCACAATGCATATTTATATTTGGTATGCGGTGCACATGAAAATATCGGTAGGAGAGGATCATTTGAGCTTTTCTTATTGCATAGGTCTTGATACCGAGCTACATCCACAGCTAAGCAGGCTCAATTGCGCCCCCCACCTCCAAAAATTTCGATGTCCAACTACGGATATTGTACCCACATCGCCGCATGATAACAGGGTTATCACTTATCGAGTAGTGCGGACTATGCATTCGTAAAGATACTTTCGTTGGTTATGCTTCTGGTTCTTAGACTGACCAAGATAGAGACTTCCTCTCCAAAGCTGAATGGTGGGTCCTTCGCAACTTGTGTGAGGAAACATCTTGGCCTTGGATATAAGAAGCATCTGGAATCCAACACCTATGATATTCAATATATACTGCCAATTGGCATTCTTGTATGTGCGTATTGCCTTTACGTTGATCTCACAGGGGCAGAGCGACGCCTTTTCCGTAATGGAAATGAGGACCGAGAAGATGAGTGGAGAAGGGAAGAGAAGAAAAGAGAAAGAGCGGAAGACTCAAGAGCGATAAGATTCACTGTAGCATAGCAACGATAGTACAGAGAACCACTCAGAAATGACAGCGGCGTAGAAATGCCCCTCTCAAGGTCCCATTGTATTGAAAAGACAACGAACGTGACTAACTCTTCTCCTGAATGCGACAGAGAGTTAGCCAATAAGAATGAACAAACTGACCAACATGGAGAGGCAGAGTGGAACACGCATAATAGAGCAGAGATGTAGAAATGGTCATGGTAAAGCGGTACACAGTACGTGGCCGTGAATTCCTTACGATTCTCCCACTAGAGGACTTGAGATTCAGCTGGTACAAAAGCACTTCTCAATAGCGGTGAGCAGTGGTGATACCAGATAACCATGTATATATATATATGATTCAAGTTCAGAAATCACGCTCAAATTGTTGTATTGTAGGAAAGACAACATCCAGGTCACGAAGGTGCGGTGACCAGGATGGGGTCCAGGAGCTGCTGACTAACATTTCCACCCTTGAGGTATTTGGGGAGACGTAACAAAACGACCTTGTTATCAACCTCGACTACCCCACACCCCGCACCGCATCACATCGCACCCGCACCAAATTCAAGATGGGTAACGCCAGCAGTGCTATGCTGGAGACCATTGTTCAGGGGTCCAACTGTATGCTATGCACTGCTTTTCCCTGCCCGACAAAAACTCCCCACTGATTCGGCCAGTTGACCGAGATGAGGTCGAGAGAATACGAAAGAGGTTCATGAAGTTGGATAAGGTGCGCACAGATTACAGCTCTACACAATGTTAGCTAGCTAGGCATCTGATGAGAGGCTGATTGATATCTGGATAAAGGATAACTCCGGCACAATCGAGCGCGAGGAGTTTCTTAGCCTTCCCCAGATATCCTCGAACCCGCTCGCAACCAGGTCTGCCCCTATTCTCTAAGTGCCCATAAAGGGATCAGGTGCTGATACACAGCAGGATGATCGCTATCTTCGACGAAGACGGAGGCGGCGATGTCGACTTCCAAGAATTCGTGTCGGGTCTCAGCGCATTCAGCACCAAAGGCAATAAGGAGCAGAAGCTGCGTTTTGCATTCAAGGTCTACGACATCGACCGCGATGGCTTCATTTCCAACGGCGAGCTCTTCATCGTGCTAAAGATGATGGTGGGTAGCAACTTGAAGGACCAGCAGTTACAGCAGATTGTGGACAAGACGATCATGGAGGCGGATCTGGATCGTGATGGCAAGATCAGCTTTGATGAGTTTGCGCGCATGGTGGAGAACACAGATGTCAGCATGAGCATGACTTTAGGTGAGTTGGACAATATTATGCTGCGTTTGAAGAGCCGGTTCCGGAGTGGTCTGCAGAGGTTTATGTCCGGTGCTGACCTAGTACAGATCAATTTTGAGCTGGATATCGGATTGCGTTCAGAAGCCATGGATGATATCACGGGGGTATTGATTGGGTTCTAGGACATAGGCGGAGTTTGTGTGTTCGAGAGGGACAAATGGTTGGTAGTGTGAAGATTTCTCTTTATAACAAGGATACCACGGCGTTCATCTTCCCATCTTCTCCTCTTTATATGCGTGCTCCCTTCCTTCGCTTTCCATAACCCGAAGTGAGTAGAAGGTCCATTTTCTCTCCTTCTCCTCCATGAATATTCCTATTTGCACCTAGGAATGCATCAACCTGTCCGCTAGTCTAGACTTTTCGGAACAGCTCGTTCCAAGAACATGGTTTTAAGGAGTTCCGTGATGAGAGATCTGGCTGAAGATCTGATCTGCAGAATCCATCTGGGTCTAGATGTTGCGAAGGTCAGGGGAGGTTACATATTCCATGCAGCAAATAATTGAAACCTTATTTGGATTTACGGAAGGAGTACCTAAATGAAGTAATCTATTGAATTTTGGGGCTGATCGCCATCGCCCTCGCCCTCGCCATCGCCCTCGCTCTCGCCCTTGCCCTCGCCCCACGGGGGGCCCTGTGCAGATCCTCCAGCCAGGGGTGCCAGTCATGCAGCCAATATCCGCAGGTAATCAATGGTAAGGTATATTTTGACGTCGACTCGGTCAGTCTCATGGATCAGGGCTTGAGCTCTGTTTCCGAGAGCGAGAGAAATACGGAGAGAGCGGCGATATCTGTAAGTCAAGTCGGTCAGTCATTCCTCCATCTTGGGCAACTCATATCCAGGATGATTAATTTCCGTATGATTCACAACAGGCATGTTATGGCGCAGAGAAGTGCATCTTCAGCCTCATCCTCATCGTCATCCTCATCGACTATGATCACCTCGATTGATGCATACATGCATAGGTACATACAATACGAGAGTACTATGATTTTGGACGGCAGAGCAATCGGCTTTTTCAGCAAGTCAATTACACGCTCGGCTCGGTCCGCACATTCCTCACATCCCAAGCATATTATTGCAGTCGCTGGGCGGCCTAGTGCAGAATGATGGATCGACCTCCAAAACGGAATGGCTGGCAGTCTCAACCTCCTGAAGCAAGGGCAACCCCAAACGCATCATACCATCCAGCGAGAAGAGAGGAGAGAGGAGCTGAAAAGAGAATCTTTTGGTTCGGAATAGCTTGCAAGTCCCAGCGCAGCAGCCAGTCCGTCGATCTATCAGCCCGACCACGCCTGAAAGCGAACTCTAAATCCAATACAATCAATAGAAAGAAGTTTGGTTCGGTCTCCCAGGTCCCAATTGCTTGCGCTGCCTCGGCAAACTACAATACATACAGAATCTATACACATACACATACCCATACATCCATATATCCATATCCATATGTATATGTGTGTTTGTGTGTGTGTATACATGTATGTTTGTATATATATATATATATATGTATATGTATTTATATATATATATATATACACACATATATATATTCATATATATACTCACATATATATATATATATATATATATATATATATTTATATATATTATGCAAACGATACAAATATAACACTCACACCTTTAAAAATTTCCGACGCTTACGACAGAAGAGCCGTGGCGTGGCGTCGTGGCGTGGCACTACACTCAGTCACTCAATCTTTCACGCATTCACTCATTATCTCACTCAACTCACGTACCCACGGCTTTTGCTGGCTGCAGAAGCTCAAAGAAATAAATAGCACGCGGCAATTGAACATCACATTGCGCTGCGCATCGCGTCGCATCGCATCGCATCGCAGGATCATCGTCTCGAGCCGTCATCCGGGCCCGACACCAGATCAAAGCCGGGTTGTCCCTGCATGCCACTTCAGGTACAATTACCGACGAGGGTTTGAGTCCCCCAAAACCTGCGCAACCCGAGGTCAGAAGTTGTCGGGTGTTTTTGCAGCGGCCGGGAAAAACCAAAATCTTGCTGTTGCGCTGATTCACTACGGGAACAGGATAGGTTCGGACAGGACAGCATAGGACAGCATAGGACAGCATAGGACAGCATAGGACAGCATAGGACAGCATAGGACAGCACCCAGCTGACCTGACTTCGCTCAAATTTCGCACGATCAATACACCAAAATCCAATCTAGCCTTCCATCAAACAAGTCTCAAAAATTCAGGACGATTCTTTTTAATCCCAATCTCGACCGCGAAAGAAATAGCGACGGCTACATTGATATCGATATCAGAAGTCAACATCTTCCAGCCACCAGCCACCAACCAGCCTCTACCAGCTTCTTGTGGCTGCAGTCAAAAATAAAGAGCCCTTGATCTACTCGGGCTCTCAGCCGGACTGTCGGATATCACCTTACAACTAGAGACGGCAAATCCAATCAACTGCCGGCTCGTCCTCGTCCTCCGCGTCCTTCTAATTCCTCCTCGGACATTGCTGCTTTCCGTTGCTTTGCTGCAGCACGAGCCAATATAGTTACAGACCAACAGACCAACAGACCAACAGACCAACAAACCAACATATCAACAAACCAACAGACCAACAGACCAACATACGTACACTCAGACCACGGTGGCCCGCTCCCCTCCCGAATTCACTCTTACTCGCAAAATTTTCCGAGCCCGCACGGCCTCCACATAACGCTCGAGTTATTAGTGTTTATCGACGCTCCACTCCCAATTTTCAAAGTAGGGTACCTGCGGAGCGGAGAGAAGAGTAGTCTGGAGTCAAGCCCCAACCCCAGCCGCGAGTTTCTTGACGTTCGCTCGTCGTGATTGACTTTTCTTAATTCTATAATAACTCTATCCCAACCTCACGATCCCACCCCTCGAGGACTCTGCGCACATACATAAGCGTGGAAATCACTCGACATCATCTCGGAGTCAGGCATTCCAATTTCATGCCCCCCTCCTCGGTGAGCCGCGGTCGACTCGGTGAGCCGCGGTCGAGCTGGGACTGCCATTGTCCTTCTCTTACGGCACCGGCCACCGACCATCAACTGTGCTTCGCGTCGAGTCCGAGTCCGAGTCGTTCCTCTATAGACTGATAAATCTCCAAAGCTGAGACAACTCCTCCTCGCCACCTGGTTACAGCAGATCTCCGTGGCCGGCCTCTATTCTAGAAGAGCAACTCTCCAACGACGTGCGTGCGCGCCTCCCCCCGTAAACAGGCTCTCTGTATTATTCAACCCTTAGCCCAACGTAGCGGAAAGAAAAGCTGCTGCTGCCGCTGCTCGCAACCAAACGTTTTTGCTCTAGGCCGGAACAATTCTTTGACACTGGTGCCGTTTACCTTACGGAGAAGACCTCCCGCAAGGACCTGGCTTGTTCCAGCGTCAAGGATTGACCCAGCAGCGGGTAACGGAGAGTTGACAACACGGCGCGCCAGTACCCGCCGTTTTGTTCATATTTTGTCTTCTCTCCACCAAAGTCTCTCTTTGGTCATTCGAGCTGTGAGACTCTTTCTTTCGTTGGTGCCCTTGTTATCCTTCCTTCGCCACGAACCGGCCCTGCTGTGATCGTATCCGCTCGACTGCTGTCAATTAGCCCTTGGGACTCGAAGGGACGGCACCCGTACGAAGGAAAAACCACCCTTTCTTCTCTCGACTCACTCGGAAATTTTCGGTAGGCACCTCTAACCGATCGCTTGCCTTTCATTTTCTGCCGAGCCAAAACCATTGACCAAGATTTAGCATACTCGGGTCGCTACCGTCCGGTACCTCGAGGTTCCCCCCCTCCACCCCTCCCCCCCCCCCCCTCTCTCCCCCCACCAGAACGAACGTCGAGCGCGTCGCAGTCTTCTCCTTTCGGGTCGCATGAAATAGACAAGTGCTAAACCACCATACCATCAAGCTGGCACTCCTACAGTCAACGCCAGTTTCTCTGCCGGCGGCGGCGCATCGACTAGATTCGTTGTTAGGAGGCGCGATAGCCTTCGAGCGGGGTATGGACGACAACAGTCGCCGCAGAAGGCAAAATGAACCGCCGTACCAAGGCTCGGATCCGAGATTCAATGCAGACCATAGCCAGGGGCGCGGATTCGCGCCTTCCTCCTCCTCAGAGAGATTCCGGCCTGCGCCACTAAATACTTCGCCTTCCGCGGCTCGAGGGGCAGGAGGGGCGGCATACTCGGGTTACTATCAAGAGCCAGCTTCATCATTCCCTACTGCACTACCATCAAACACCCTCCAGTACCAGCCTAGCTACCCCCAAGATCAGAGGCAGCACCAACAGAACTTTGCCGGTTTTGCTACGGATATCATGTTTGCGCAGACACCCCAGAACAATGTGTACGACTCGACTTCTCAGTTCCAGGCGCGACAGCCCGCCGGAATGCAGATACTCTCTGACGTTGCGACACCATACTTTGCGGGCGAGTCGAGCAGCGCGCCCGCTCCTCCACCCCTGCAGCACCACCCCTCGTCGAATTCTTCCGCTGTGTATCAACAGCATCAGCAGAGCCCCGCTGATCGGACGGCGCCACTTATCCCGTCCGGCTACTCCAACAATATCGGCTTGGGCGGCATGGCTCAGAATGCGAGCGAGATCATGGAAGAGGACGACTTTCAAGCACAAGGTCCTGGGATGGAAGCTGCCTACACCGCGTATCAAACGGCCTTGAAGGAAATATTCCAAAATATCATCAACGGGGACCTTGTCGGGGCAAGTCAATCCCTTCTTGATGTATCGGAATGGCTTTTGGGACACGTTGGGGATCTGGGTATGCCCTCGTTTCTTCTGTTTGATCCTACCCACTAATAGATTGTTGATAAGGCCTTACTGTAGACGAAAGTTCGCTTCACCCCGACCGGATCCGCCTCTGGGGCGAGTTCAATAACGCATGGCTCGGCATCTTTCAGAAGCAGAAGGATATGCTTGAAGCCGGCCAACAGTTGCAGCGTGGCCAGAGCTTGATGACACAAGATTTCATCTCGAAGATGGCGAAGGATTTGATCAGGATGTGCGACGCGATCGAGAAGCATGGCCTCGTCGACTACCAATACGGTGTGGCGGAGGAGCAAATCATCGACAGTGGGTTTTCATTTCCCGTGGACTGCTTCATGTACCTTGCTGACAGGGCTCTAGTTCTCAGTGACTGTCTTGACCTACAAGTGTCGATAGAAGGCGCCGGGGGAAATCCGGGTCGAGCTCCGTCTTAATCTTTTTCAACTCCACTCTTGTTTCTTCTTCTATTCCATTTCCCCGGCTGTTCGGATACCATGTAAAACTTTGATGCGCTCGTCATGACTTTAGCGCCTCCTGTTTAATGTTCTCATGTTCTCATTGCGATGACTTTCACGCGGGTGGGGAGGGGGGGGGGGTGGGGAGGGGGGGTGGTTATGTGCAGGTGTTGGTGTTTTCGCGTCGTGCTATTTTCTTGGGGGTTAAACAAAGAGGCCGGCTCGGGGTTATTGGTTTGGCTTTGGAGATACGGACTTAGGAGGACGGATAGGATCACATTTAAAGGCGGGCTTTCACAAGCATCATGGAGGTTGGGATGGTCTGGAGCATTTTGGGCTTTTGCGAGCAGGAGTTGGCTTGTGATTTCAGTATACACTACCGTGTCACGAGTAGGGGTTGCGATGATTGTAACTATAGAAGCAAGGATTATACCCAGTCACGCCAGGGCATGGGATGAAAATATCCTGTTGTAGAGAAATACTGATTGAATAATTTCTTGACAAGAGGTTTTTACTTAGGGGACTGCCTGAGCTTGTGCCACTTCCGCTTGTGTGAGCCGCAAGTCAACAAGCAAATAAACGGGACTAACGACAGATTCGGAAAATGCATGCACCGCTGGATCTGAAGAGGCGAGACTAAGGACTAAGTCTGTACGTATTGACGGGTTTCAGTCCGGATCACTAGGTTGCTGGGAATGAGTACTGGCTGGCGATAATACCAACTTACCTCACATGCTCATACCACGGGGCCCGGTAGTTGTCACTTTGAGGTGTTTTGTATCCGATTTGGGTTACGGAGCGAAGGCGTGAGATCTGTGGCGGTCCGCGGATCGATCTGTATCTGTTCCCGTTTCCGTTTCGCGAGTCGCGTCGTGACACGACCTACTGCAGAAACGTGCGAGGGGACCATGCTGCAAATCTGTTGGATCCCCGAATCCCGATCCACGGACTCGGGTTCTCAGCGCGCATGGGCTTTGATTGGGGCGAGTGTGGACTCTGACTGTATACAGCAAGACAGTAAGGGGGTGTTCACTGTTTTGGTCCAGCGCGGAAAAATGTAAGGTTTTTTTTTTTTTTTTTTTTTCCACGAAACCAAATCGCCCCAAATTCGGTTTTTCGGAATTACTCCGTAGTGGTTTTCGCAATATCGGTTGGTATGATGATGAACAGCTCGTAAGATTGGTATGTAGCTGTTAGGTCCGATTTTGGTCGAGGTTATTGCAAGGTGGGGAGGAAAGTAGTTCCGTTCTCGATTTCGGAGCTTAGCGTTTTATTCCGATTCATGCTCATGCGAACCTGGTTTTATGTCGATTTTCGAAGTTTGGCTATGCGATAGCTAATTTCGCAAAATTAAATACAAATGTTCGAGTCATTAAGACCAAGGCTATCAGGATATCTAGAGGGTGGTTGGCTAACAAGGTCAAGGCTGCTCTACCGGTACTCATCAGAAGGGTGAGAAAGTGGTCGGCCAACAAAACCTTTCGATTCGAGTGAGGTGGCAAAAAGGTTCTTTGCAAAACCTAAAGTCAGAGGTTTTTGAAAACTCATCTCGCGAAAACCTCTTGGCAAAAACCAGTTTTCACGGAACCAGCGCCGGAGCATGCGGGCGCAGCAGCAACGGGGAAGTAGGATGCGTCAATAAGTAGCACTACTAGTAACTAGTTCTTGCGAATAGTAAAAGCTTGACCTAATCCTCATGCCCCATTGCCCCATGAAGGGTGGAGAAAGATGTTTGGGCGACGAAGGACTCCGGATGTACGTAGTAGTCTCGGCACAAAGTTCATAATCTTCAGCTGATGAACATCCGAAAAGTACAATACGCTGCCTGTACATGTAACTGCCGGTCGAATTTGCCCATCGCTTTGTATGCGATCTTGTGTTCGCTGGTAAGCGAGTATCCAATCCCGAAATCTCGTAGCAGCTCTCAATAAGCCGATTATTTCCTGTGCCTCAACCCACTATTTGAGTGGGCCGCTCAGCCAAATTCACCTGCTGCTATATGCAAGAAAATTTTCAATGATGCTTAAAAGTCAACTCCAAAAGATACGCTATTCGCCCAACCCGTTGAACAGTCTTTATATAACGAACACGATCAAAGCATATATGTTTCCTTCACTATACCGATACCGTAGCTTCTTTAATTCGAAAGTTGTAGTTGCAACGAGCGCGCTATTTACACATATCGTTAAAGTAGCATACGTATCTTATATAAGTTTTCTCGCTATTCGGACACTTAAGCTTTTATCGCTCGTAAGTAGCTTAATTGAATACTGCGTCTTTAAAAGCTTTCAGATTGTGAAATACATTGCCTTGCTGAATTGAAACTTGTTTCTTTTAAAAAGCTTTAAAAAATAGATTTGTATCTACATTATCGAAGCCGAAGTCGCTGAACGTAGCGTATAAAAATTCTAATAACGTATCCAAAGCAGCGTCGATGGTAAGGATTTCCGCTATTATAGCTAAAGAAATCGCGATAATAATACTAAAGTTACACTTATATAAACTTCAAGTACAAGCGGCATTACTAAAAAATTTCTTGCATAAAGCAGCGGATAGATTTAGCTGGGCGGCCCACTTAAATAATGAATTAAGGCATGCGGAAAACAGCTCCACAATGTTCGAGGCATGGGAAATAATCGACCCTCTCAATGTAAGGAAAGCCAGCCCAATCTAAATATGCACAACATTTATCAAGACAAGTTTGGGAATTCATGCAAAAGTTGCATAGGTCGTATGCTGTGTCTCCATGATACGGTATAATACAAGTCAAATTTCTCTACCTCTTGACCCACGCCGGCATCTTTCTAGCCTTGACATGACCAGGCTTCTTTCTCTCGACTCTCCTTGGATCGCGGGTCATGCAGCCGGCTACATTAGGTCAGTACCGTTCATGGTAAAATGGAAGAGTCGGCACGGTTTTGCCCCGGAGAATTCTTACCTCTCCTCAATGCTGGCTTCAATGCGGGCTCCTGAGCAAGAAGCGCCTTGCCAACAGCTAACGTCAGAGCCTCTGCCTGACCTGTTGTCCCACCGCCTTCTACTAGAGCCCACACGTTATATTTATCCATCCTGTCCGTTGCCTTCAAGGCCCAAATAGCACTCTCCCTATCATGAATCCTCCCAAATGTCTCGGCAAGAGTCTTCCCGTTTACCAATACCTCCCCAGTACCTTCTACAACCCAAGCTCTCGCTGTTGAAGACTTCCTCCTCCCGGAGCCAAGCGTCCTGCCCAGGCTGTCCACCAGCGGAAGCTCTGTGTTACTCTTGAAAGGGTCGATGTCTCGCTTGTACTCGTTGATGGCCTGCTTGACCTCTGGGCGTTGAAGGGCAGGGTGTATCGCATTCAGACGTTGCAGTAACTCGATGATCTTGTGATACTTTGCAGGTTTGACGGACTCTCCTGCTATATTCCGGTATTCCATTAAGGTACGCCAGGCTACCCGGGGCGCTGTACCGGGTTTTACCGTGGGGAAAGAAGAGTTTCTGTCGACGAGGTTTTGGAGAACGAGAAGATCGTCAGTGAACGTTGGTTGGGCGGTGAAGTAGGACGGCGAAGTGGGCACAAGGCGAGCGAAGAACGGGGCTTCATCTCCTTCTCCATCACGTCTGCCTTCATCCTTGAACTTGATCTCGGGAGCTGCAATTCCCGCCTGAAGCCTGGATGAAGTTTGGAATTGTCGTCTCGCGGCTGTGTGGACTGCCTGTCGTATCGGGGAAGAAGAGGTAGTGTTGCGTGATGACAAGGCCGTCCGAAGGCCTTCACGAAGACCAGCTGGCAGGCATACCACCCTCATTATCGAGGTGATTTGTTGTATTGATGTTGTCATGATGCCCGGGGAAGAAAAACATACACCTTAGCTATGCCTCCACGTGATCCGCCAGGCTAGCCAGACGAGGACTAGCTTTTAGCGGCACAAGTTTTTCATCATGTCAATCTTTCTTTAAGCTCCCCTCACCTCCCCCACCACAACCCTCCATCCTCACCTCACATCACCATATCACCACATCACCGCAATCATGTCCCCATTCGGAAAGCTCTACACCTACCCGGGTAACCCCCGCTCCACCGCTATCCGCGCTGTGGCCAAGGCCAACAACGTCGAGCTCGAGATCGTTGAGACGGAGCCTTCGAAGGGTGTCTCCGACGAGTACCTCAAGATCAACAAGCTCGGAAAGGTTCCAACCTTTGTCGGAGCCGATGGATACACTCTCCACGAGTGCATTGCCATTGCCATCTACAGTACGTACTACTCTATCCTACTCTACTTCTGTAGCGCTTCGCACTTGCTGCCTGAATTCTGCCTTTCGCCGCTGTGATGAGAGAATATTTTCAGTTATCCCTGACTTACCACCCAAAATCGTGGGGACTCAATATTAATTAGACTCTGAGCACCTTCATGCTTCCTCGATTTATATGCGTGCAACAACAACAGCAAGATCGTTGGCTAAGAATTTCCAGTCACTTCCCAGAACGAGAAGACTACCCTCCTTGGAAAGACCAAGCAAGACTATGCTGCCATCCTGAAGTGGATGTCATTCTTCAACTCCGAGGTTGTTACATCTCTTGCTGGCTGGTTCCGTCCTCTCATCGGTCGTGATCCATACAACAAGAAGTTGGTCGATGATTCATCTAAGGCTACTCTCAAGGCCGTCTCAATCGTCGAGGAGCACCTCCAAGATAACACTTACCTTGCCGGTGAGCGTATTACTCTTGCTGACCTCTTTGCCGCCGGTGTAATCTCCCGTGGCTTCCAATACTTCTTCGACAAGAAGTTCCGCTCCGAGAACCCAAACATTACCCGTTGGTACGAGACCGTTTACAACCAGCCAATCTACTCTGCCGTTGTTGATGAGCTCTCCTTCATCGATGAAGCCATCAAGAACCAAGCCCCCAAGAAGCCAGAGCAGGCGAAGAAGGAGACCGCTCCCAAGGCTGCCCCCAAGCCGAAGGCCAAAGACGTTGAAGATGATGAGGAGGAGGAGGCCCCCGCTGCACCAAAGCCCAAGCACCCTCTGGAGGCCCTCCCAAAGCCAACTCTGGTCCTCGACGAATGGAAGCGTCAATATTCCAACAATGACACCCCTGAGGCTCTCAAGTGGTTCTGGGAGAACTTCAAGGCCGACGAGTACTCGCTCTGGAAGCTCGATTATAAGTACAATGATGAGCTTACTCAAGTCTTCATGAGCTCGAACCTGATCGGCGGGTTTTTCGCACGTCTTGAGGGTTCCCGCAAGTACATCTTCGGTTGTGCTTCCGTCTACGGTGTCAAGGACGACTCTATCATCAAGGGTGCCTTCGTCATCCGTGGTCAAGACGCTCTCCCAGCTTTTGATGTCGCCCCTGACTATGAGAGTTACGAGTTCACCAAGCTTGACCCAAGCAAGGCTGAGGACAAGGAGTTTGTCAATGAGCAATGGACCTGGGAGAAGCCAATCGTTGAGGGTGGCAAGGAGTACCCATGGGCAGATGGAAAAGTATTCAAGTAAACTCAACAGCACCTCAGATCTTCCCTTCGTCACTTTGATTTCTAGCGTTGGGGCTGGGATGCATGAGACATGTAATTAATGATCGCGCATGACGACGGAAGGGTGGGAATCTCACGGGACCTGTGTGTAGCATCTTTCTAAATGCAGTACTCATGATCATCCATGACCGGGATCGAACGCTAGTGCCGCTATATTCAACTCATGTATAGCACCGTCCCAAGTCGCAGTCATTTCGAGACCTCAAGACATAAAGAGCCTTTGGAAACTCACCATCCCGACCCAAGCGTCCATCAATTATCCATCTTGCTACGTAATTGCCTCAATCAATCTGTATGGGGTGCCCACCTGCACGAGTAAGCAGATGAAACTTAGACCTAGAGTGATTTCAAGTACTTACGGTCGCCATCGCTTGCATTGCGAGCAGCGACGTGTGCACCAGACAAGGGAGATTGAATATGTGGGGCTTTGACAACCTGCGCGGAGGGCAGATCAGGTAGGTAAGCCTTGAAGGGACGAGCTCTCATGTGAGCGGCAACATTGGAATGCATGCTCAAGCTGTTGATATAATCATGAACTTGTGGCAAAATCCCACCTTTCTCAAACCTGTCACCGAAGAATTCTGGAATCGTAATGAGATTGAACGGCTCGCTTCTTCCCTTCTCTGGCGAATCGTCCACCAACACCGTGTTTGTATGGTTCCATCTTTCGCCGAACTGAAAGCCAGGGTGTGAAGAAGCAATCTTCGGGTCGTTCCATAGGCTTGTCAATCTTTTGTAACACATAGTACGCGTGTCGAAGTCCGCAGTGGTGAGGTTGAACTTGTCACGCGCCCAGATAGCCACTACTTTGCGTCTCAAGTCGTCGCTCAAGATTTGGTTGCACATAAGCTGCACGTTGGATGGCCTCGCAGACGACCAAATCACCACGGTAAACTGGATCATGGGAGAGTCAGTGTTTGCCATATGTAAATGTTTCGGGGAAGTATTTGAAGATGTCCCAAGATCAGACCGGAAGGAAAAGAGAAAGGTTATGATCCTCCAATATCTTACTGTTTCGATGCAGTATCTCAGGAACCGCTCGGTGTTGGGGCGCGCAATGAACGCGGAGGGCTGCCGCTTGTTCGGTCGAAATAGTAGTGTTCCGTTCAGGTCGATGACCAGAAGGAGGTGCTGCGCGTCTGTCAACGGTTGAAGGGGCTCGAGACTTGCGGCCAAGTAGGCGGGTGTTGGGTCTGGCACGCCTCCTGACGCTTTCGATGGAGGGGTTATATCATTTCTCTTGTAGGTTCTCTTGACAAGAGAAATGTGGGCAGGGCCTGAGGCTTGGGCAGTTCCCGGTGCTGAGCTCGAAGGTGTGTTCATCTTTGAACCCTTCCCTATCCCCTTCCCTATCCCCTTCCCTATCCCCTTTCCCTTTCCCTTTCCCTTTCTCTTTGCCTTCTGCTTTACCACCAGTTCTTGTGGAGGACTGGGTGCTCGGGGTAGCCCTGGATGTACCGTTGAAGCTCTGAAGAGCTCTGCAGGAGTGGGTTTGTGTGATATATGCTCACTGGTAGACACTGTATTGATGGTGGTTTTTTGCAGTGAACCGGCGATATCTTCAATACCATCTGCAGCGCTCTTCGTTTGGCTTGGTGGTGTTTTGGGTTCGAAGGAATTTGCTTGAGGGTTTATCGCCATGGGGGCGTGCTGAATAGATCGCAGATTTTTGGCAAGAGAGCCATGGATCTTTCCATTGGAAAACGATCGGAAAGCTTTCATCAGAGGAAAGGCTAACATGAGGTTACATTCACTGAAGGTGAGAACCTGTAGGTCGGCTTTCGCGACTTAGTACCAGTGTTCACCGCTTCTGTCTCGGCTTGATACAGGTTAGCGGGCGGCCGCTTTTTCTACCTAGTATTATCTATACATCACTCAGGCATCTGCATTTAACGACTTATCAACAAAATGGTGACGAAACGCAAAGCACCAGAGCCGGGCTTACAGAGGCGTGTCAGGCCTAGACGTGAGTTGAGCGAGGAGCCCGAACAGATTGAGGCCGAACTCGCCGAGGAATTTGATGAAGATGACGAGGACGAGGAGGAGCACCACAACTCTGGAGCCGGTGATGCGGCTGACAATGTAAGCTTGCTTCTATGTGAATTGCGTACAAGTCTAAAATTTGTCGGTAGTACTATTCCGAAGATTCAGATGCAGCGTCCAGGGGAGATGTCGCCTCCATATCCTTCGGCGCATTAGCAAAAGCGCAAGCATCTCTCGAACCTGGTAAAAAGAAGCGGCTCGCAACTTCCGAGGCGGATACATGGGAGAACAATGAAGCCAAGGAACGAAAGGCTGGCCGTCAAGATCACCGCGACTTCAACCGGTCGAGCAAGCATGCACCTACAGAGATATCTAGCAAGAAAGCCGTATCCCGGAAACGTGAAGTCATACCCACAGTCAAACGAGCATATCGAGACCCTAGATTCGAGGCCGTAGTGGGACCAGTCGACGATTCCAAAGTCAACAGGGCGTATTCCTTCCTGGAGGACTATCGAGAGGACGAAATGAAGGAACTGAGGGCAGCAATTAAGAGCACGAAGGACGAGAATGCGAAGGAGAATTTGAAGCGGGCGTTGCTGAGTATGGAGAGCAGGAAAAAGGCACAAGCGAGGAAGAATAAGGAGCGAGAGATTCTGGACAGGCATCGTAAGCAGGAGAAGGAGCTTGTGAAGCAAGGTAAACAGCCTTTCTATCTAAAGAAGGCGGAGCAGAAGAAGCGAGTATTGCTGGATATGTTTGGTGAGCTTAAAGGCGGACGGCTGGATCATGTCATCGAGCGGAGAAGGAAGAAGTTGGAGGGCAAGGAGAAGAAGAAAATGCCATTTGCGAGGAGGAACGTCGAGTAGACGAAAAAACCGTCACAGGAATGAGATTGCGGTGATAACCATTTTTTCCCATACGTCTGTCTACAAAAGGTTTGCTGTCTTCATGCTATTTTCAAACAGCTCTCGGCATCTTACACGACTCCCTAGCCTTGCACAAAGCAGGAATGCCCCGCTCAGCTTCCTGTGCAAGCTGTATGTCTCCTCTGGTGGTGGAGCCAGCCTCTCTCTAATCATCAACGGGATTAATCCTTTCACTCTCTCTGTGATAGTTTGGTCCTTGAAATCATACACCTCCGGGGATGAATCTAGGAATGGTTCGGCAAGTGTTAATATAGATGCGATGTGTGCATCAAGCATAGCTTTAGACTCCTGCCCTGTCAGATAGCCAAGATCAATAGACAAAGCTTCAACTTCCTTCTTATCTGATCTCGATGCCGCCGCTAGGAGCTGGGTGTATCTCGTAATGAAAAACTCGGGATATTCTCTGGATGCTCCAAAGTCAAGGAGCTCGAGCTTGTTTGTTTTTGAATTGTACAAGAAGTTGGTCCAATTGGGATCTGTTTGCATGAACCTGAATTCAGTAATTTCGCGTAAGCAAAGTCGAAGGATCTGAGTACCGATCCAGTCCTTCTGGTCCTGGGTGAAGCTCTGAGCCCTCGTCACCCCAATCCCGTCCATAAACTCCGTAGTCAAAACTTGCTTTCCTGAAGCCTCGGAGTACACCTTCGGGACAAGGAAGACCTCTTCATCGTCGGCTAGCAGCCGTTTAAACCGACGTCCGGATTCTGCTTCCCTAACATAATCACATTCCCAGGCCAACTCAATTCGAGCGTTAGCTATAGTCTTGTCTAGGAACAGTCCTTTCGGCAATAGACGAGAAGCAGTGAGGAGAAGGCCCAGATTGTTGAGGTCCGAGTCGATGGATTCTGCCACACCAGGATATTGAATTTTTACAGCAACCCGCGCCCCATTCGATTTCAGCACAGCACTGTGGACCTGGCCGATTGAGGCCGCGGCTATTGGCTTTTCCTCAAAACTGGAAAATAATTCTTTCCAATCGAGGCCCAGGTTGGTGGTGAGCACCTTATCGCGCTGTGAGGGGGGCATGTAGTCCGCTCTGTCTTGAACTCTCTGCAGAACTTGCTGGATAGGAGCCGGAAGCATTTTTGAGTCCTGGAAGCTTATTACCTGACCTAGCTTCAAGGCTGCCCCTCTCATGCGCGACAGCTTGGACACAAGTCTCTCCATGTTAGCTTCACTGAGCATGTAGGACCCTTCTCCACCGCCGCCACCTACTCGTCGAAGGCTCTCGCTGATTGCCCCTCCGAACATACCAGCAGCTAGGCCACCATAGTTCAACAGTCTGCCTAGCCTTGAAGATGGTACTTTCGATTCTCTTAGCTCATGTGGAGTCAGGTTTGGGGTATCAAGCGACTCCGCTGCATTCGATCGAGCTAGCTGCTCAACATCTTGGTCCATTTGGCCTATCTGCCCTGCAGCTTTAATGCCATTTCCCGCGGCACTGCTCGCCTGTCGGGCATTGGAATCATCTTTGAGCTTCTGGTTTTCCAATGTTACGGGGTGAATACCTGGAGCCGGAATATCAAGGTTGGTTTTTTTGGAGAGAATTCCAGCCGTATGAGTGTCTCCACCAAGCATTCGAGCGACTCGTGGACTGAGAAACAGATCTGTATTGACTCCTTCGGGAGGATATTCTTCGCCAGCATTTGAAGAGGTATTGTAGTACGAGTCAGAGTTCAGTTGGCCCAGAGGGAGTTGGGGACTGCCTTCCTGGGTAGTTGAAGTATGCCTGGGTAATTCAACCTTGGGTAAAGAGGGATTGTGTTTCGACTTTCTATAGAAGCTGTCTTCGCCATGATCATCCTCCAGAGGCCCCTTGGTAGAGCTATCCATAGCATCTGCGGTGCTCGAGGGTATTTGAGTCACATAGGTTGTATTTGCTCCTGGACCTTCAGGCATGAGAATGGAGGAGCCGTCAGAAGAGACCGGCGTGATTCCCTCGTTGTGTAATGGCTCCTTTCCCAGCTCATCCACAGGCCTTGTCGGTAGAGTATCGTGATCAATAGCTGGCTTGCTCAAGGCCGTATCTTCCTGTGGAATTGTGCCATCAGGGAGAGGGTATCGACTGGCAGACTTCTGCTTGATTTCCAACTGGCCTTCCGGAGCCGCATCAACGGCAGAGTTCGCCGCATATTTCTCATGGACATTATCTTGCTCGGTATCGCTTCGAGTACCGGTTCTGGGAGATACAGTGGTTGTCTGCTTCCCGGGCAGCGCAGCCTGTTCGCCCTTGCTGGAAGTACTGTCTGGGCTCTGCGAAGCCCACTCTGGCGCATCCTCGTTGAGCCTTGAGGCCAAGAATGAGGCAGCTTTCACTGTTTCCGTAACGCGATCTGTCTGGCTTCGTGCTGCTCTGGCTAACGTCGACGTCCGGTTGTAGACATCGAGCTGTCTAGATCGCAATGCAACATGCTTCTGAGCGACACCGCGGGACGCGCTGAAGAGTGCAGCGATGTCAAGAAGCCGCTTGCCCGCCATCTTATCGGAATGGAGATGGCGCGGAGCCTGCTCAGCGATCTATTGAGGCATTGGTACTGGCATTGGCGTTGTTTTGCCGTGGGACTTGAGCTCGACCACGGATGCACGAGATAAAAGTTGGCGGTTCGTAAAGCGCCATGAGCACCACCATGACGCAGCTGTTTCTGTACTTTTTTCTTTGTTGACTCATGCTCCCACTCCCAGACCCCAGACACTGACTGGCCCACAGAAAGGCCATGGGATATCTTCTGGCACAGTATTTAATCTGAACTCACAGATGCGACTGGCTCTACGCCTTCTGTATTATTTCTCTATCTATCCGGAGCAGGTAGGTGTGCCTTTCTTCTCAACCATCGCCTAACAGCAGATTGCACCCAACAGCCGAGAAACATCCCCATAAGAGAGAAGGCCGTTAATTGACCCATGCAAGCTTCTTGAAATAAGTAATTCAACGCAATCTGAAAGCCTAAGTTTTCATCTTTTGGTAGGTATGGCTTGCCCAAAATCCACATTCGATCCTCCCAGAGCTATCCCCAGCTTCTACTCTGCCATCCTACCCGAAGGAGTCCATTTTGCCCGTAATCCCGATTTTTTCCGCACAGTATGAGGCGTTTGAAATCCGAAAGCGGATGATGAGCCCGCGTTGTTACCCCCAACTTTGCTCCAGAGACGTTGAGCAGCAGGTGTCAACTGCCCTGAGCCAACTCGGGGGCTACTAGGAAACTTCGGTACAGGGGTCGATTCTACCTTGCCCGTAAATCCGGTTTTCGTTGACGTCCGTTTATTTTGTGAGTTTTTGTCTACCATTCGGTGGAGTAGATCTTCCCTTCTGCTTTGATCCTTAATCACGAAGGGATTCTTCACGGTGTCCCCTTTACCGAGATCGATGATTGGAACAGTGACCTGCAGCTCGTCATCTGGCTCATCATCGACAAATGCATACCCGTTGACTCGAGGCGTTGCGTTTCCACCAGAAACTGACTCCATGTCTGCTGCTCGTCTTCGTCCAGAAATTGCATCTCTGACAGCAGACAGAGATGGCGAGTTTGGCAGGTTGAATCCTTCTTGGGCGAGTATCGTCGTCGGTATACGAGTATTGCTATACACAACACCTTTTGGGGCAGCTCTGGACTCTTTCTGTGATTTTTGTGCTACCGTTTCGATTGAGTCCTCTACACCCTCTAAGCGAAACATCAACCCATTATCAGGCTTTGAATTCCATGAATCTGGCCTCGCGGGTTTTTCTGCCACGTCTCGGATGGCCAGACGATCTTTCGATCCCCCGTCATCATTTAAAGAGGCCCGCGACATTAACAGCTTCGTCTCGATCTCCCTCTGCTTCAGCATCATCTTCGAGGGCAATTTGTTATTACCAGACAACATCCAGGCGAATTTCTCCGCACGTTTCGAGTTTTGCTTGTCCAAGAGTTTGTAGAAACTTTCATTGTCTTCGCTCGTGTATAGGGATTGAAACTTGTCGAGACTCATATTGATGTCGACTTCGGGGATTGCTGTTGCCTGAGTTGAAGTCGTCATGTCGGAGGCAACAGACATCGGAGTATCGCCAACATATGTCTTGGGGGTATCCAAAGCACGTATTGGAGTTCGCAATGATGTGCCCCGCCTTCCTTTCTGTCTGCCCGTGGTCAGAGCCTGTTTGAGTTTGCGACCCGCTGTCGAAATCCAGGCGGCATCTTTCGAGTCAAGAGCGTCCAGATACTCTTGCTGGGTTTCGGTCTCGAGCAGACCAGGGAAGAAGTCGCGAGCGATAATCTCAGAGATAGCATCTGTGTATGATTCTTCGTCGATCACATTCCTGGGTCTTTTTATGCGCTTCGGCGGGGGTGGCATCAGGTCGCTGTCCGTAGAGCGGCGCACAAGAGCTGATGACGGCGCCGATTCCATGGCTGCATTCAAATGGGATACCGAGAATTTGAGCGATGGGTCCATAAAGTCTTGAGGCGGGATCGAAGGGAACGGCGAGGTGATGAAGTGGAAAGCTGGACATGGGGAAAACGAGCCGCAGCCGCAGCCGCAGCCGCAGCCGCAGCCGCCATCCCCGTCATGGAACAACTAACCTTATTTTGGACTAACCCTGCTTTTGACAGAGACCCGAGAAAGCTTGGACTTGAACCTTGCCTCGCCCTCCGATTTGACTTCTTTTCGCGGTCACTTACACCCTCCTACACTATCACATACAACGTCAAAAATGGAGATTTGAAGAAACCAGGACTGGAGTGGACTGGACTGCATTGCACTGCACTGCGCTGCACTGAAGCGAACTCTGAAATTCTTAGGAAGGCTCAACTACCTCCCTACCTATCTACTTTCAAGCTCCCCCCAAACTCGAATGCTACCTACGCAGGCTTGCAATAAGAACGCAGGCTTGCAATAAGAGGGCTACCTGCACAGGTCCAGTTCTACGTCTAGGTCTAGGTCTAGCTATACTCACTTACCTAGCTACCTACCTGGTACTCCTGTGTGTGCATCAACCGACTCGATTCAAACAATCGAACGTCCCATTTTCAATTCTCTCCCCCCTCCCCCCTTTCTCCTCCTCTTGCCATGGCTTCTCCAGAGGAACAGGCAGTTGCCTTCAAGAATGATGGAAACAAGGCCTTTGCTGCCCACGACTGGCCAACTGCTATCGAATTGTACACCAAAGCCATAGAGCTCAACGACAAAGAGCCAACCTACTTCTCCAATAGGGCCCAGGTACAATTTCTCGTCCTCGCATATAGGTACACAGATTATTGCGTGACTGACCATAGAGAAGGCAAACATCAAGTCCGAGGCATACGGCTACGCCATTGCCGACGCTACGAAGGCAATTGAACTCAATCCTAACTTAGTCAAGGTTAGTTTTTCCCTGGGCTGGAGTGCTCCCGATCTCGAGCTCCACGAGCTGACATGATATCAGGCTTACTATCGAAGAGCCGTTGCCTACACAGCCATTCTCAAGTCGAAGGAAGCTCTTAGGGACTTCAAGACAGTCGTCAGAAAGGCTCCGAACGACAAAGATGCGAAGCTCAAATTGGCAGAATGCGAAAAGATTGTCAAGAGAGTCGCCTTTCTCGCAGCTATTGACCCTGGGGAGGAACCGTCTGCAGCCGAAGGCTTGGATTTAGAATCGATTGTGGTCGAGGCAGACTATGATGGAGCACGCTTGGAGACAGAGATGACCGCCGAATTCATAAACGACATGTTAGAACGATTCAAAACTGGGAAGAGGCTTCACAAGAAATACGTATACCAAATCATACTGGCGGTTAAGAAAATTGTTTATGATGAAGCAACCATGGTCGAGATGGAGATCGAGGAAGATGCAAAACTCACTGTCTGCGGAGATACCCACGGTCAGTTGCAGCCCCAAGAGTCGAGGGTGAGTAACTAACAGCGACGTTACAGGTCAATTTTTCGATTTGATGGAACTGTTTCGACTGAACGGTTTCCCAACCGAAAAGCATTACTATCTCTTCAATGGAGACTTTGTGGACCGGGGCTCTTGGTCTACTGAGATTGCTCTTCTTTTATATGCATACAAGTGGCTGCGCCCATCTTCATTCTTCATAAATCGCGGTAACCATGAGACTGACGACATGAACCGGGTGTATGGATTTGAGGGTGAATGCAAGGCGAAATACAATGGTAAGTTCATATCTCTGTCGCGCGACTACTTTTCTCATCCGAATTAGATCGGATTTTCAGACTCTTTTCCGAAAGTTTCTCAGCATTGCCGCTTGCAACTCTTGTTGGCAAGAAGTATCTCGTGCTCCATGGTGGCCTGTTCTCTGACGACAAGGTTACTCTTGATGATATCCGAAAGCTTAATAGGCACAATCAACGCCAGCCCGGCCAAGCAGGTTTGATGATGGAGATGCTATGGACAGATCCACAAACGGAGCCTGGCCGTGGACCTAGCAAGCGGGGTGTTGGTATGCAATTCGGACCAGATGTCACCAAGAGATTCTGCGAGAACAACGGGTTGAGCGCCATCATTCGCAGTCATGAAGTAAGAATGGAAGGGTACGAGGAAGAGCATGACGGAAAGTGCATTACAGGTGAGCTTTGTTAATCTGATTTTTGGAATGCCAATCCTAATCTATTCAAAGTCTTCTCCGCGCCCAGGTACTGCGACAGTACCGAAAACAAGGGTGCGTACATCAACATCGGTCCCGATTACAAACTCGAATTCCACAAATTCAATGCCGTTCCACACCCGAATGTCAAGCCAATGGTTCGTCTCTCTTCAAACATCCAATTGCCAGGTGCACTGACTACCTCCCCTAGGCGTACGCACACAGCAGTCTCATGTCAGCGATATAGGCTTCATTCCCTGCCATTTCTTTGATAACACAGTGTGACACTCGTTGTATGTATTTGATGCATATGGAGGCTCCGCCAGCATTGCTTCAAGGCGTTGGGGATACCAGAAAGCGGCTAGCAATAATTAAACAACTGGCTTCCATGTGAAGATTGTACCAATATGGAGGTATAGTGTCGATCCCGAAGAATAGAAGAAACTCTCAATGCCCGATCTTTCATGCATTCAGTCGTCCCAAACGTGACCTGCTCCTGCTTGTGCAACAAGCAGACCAAGCCAGTTACCAGACCCTTTGACTCTCCATCCAATCCTGTCCTCTTCCTGGGACCCTGGGGGCCCAACCCAGCCGCCCACGGCCGCGAGCACAGGATTCAAATCCTCACGCGGAACCCTGATCCAGCACTCCTCTCCTTCAACTTTTACAATGTCAATTGAAATTGCTGAGCCAGTAAGTCCGAGGAACTGTGATAACGCGAGACCAATATAGTGTTGGATGGTGAGAGCGTCTAGCTGAGCGTCATTGGTGGTAGGGCTTGCTGGAATAAGTTGGAGATTGATATAAGAGAAAGAAGGTGTTTTGATTTTTTGGGTGATAATGTCGTGGCCTCGGTGAGCGCTTTTGCACATATGCGCGGTTAAGGTTTTGCTTGAGGTATTTGGGACGTCCATCCTGAATAAGTGACCTTGGAGTCGGTGGTCTGTAACAATGGTGATGGTGGTGGTGGTGGTAGCGGTAGTGGCGGCCTATGCATACGTTACTAAATCAAGGGCCTGATCTTTCCGAAAAGGCACGACTGTGAGATGTGGTCTTGGCGCCTTACCGAATCTTTTTAAGAGCCAAAGAATACGCTCACGTGTCTGTAAACATGACTATTAAAATGCACAAAAATTCATATCAGTCAGGATGCATAAAGTACCAGCCTCTGTCCAAAATTTCTAGAATTATCGTAATTGATAAGTGAAAGAAAACAACTCTAGCATATGATCAAAAAGGCTACAGATGTGAAGGGTACGTTTGAATCAAAATATTGATAGTGGTCAGAACCTACGTGGCAGTTTGTTTACATTAAAATTAATAAAGTCATTTCCCAAGAAGAATTGAAATCTGGATTATACAAATTAAACCCGACTTACGCTATTCGAAAAACTGCTATTTGCAATATCATATAAATCAATAAAATTGTATAAGCATAAGAAAGACTCAAGTAGGTAATCTACCCAAAACTTAGCGAGGACACATACTTAACTGATAAAAGTGCATAATAATGATCGATAGGAATATGAGAAAAGTGACTTTGAAATCGAGATGACGTTTGCAGATACGCAGTGATAACGGTGCTCACGTGAATTATGGCTGGTAGTGAGGTAACTCCATGCCCCTGAACAGCCCTCGGCGGACTTCGCAAGATGCAAGTAACTATAATAACTATAATAAACAGCAGAAAAGTCAACACAGACTGCATGATCCAATTTCCAAGGCGAGGGTCTCTGCTGAACTAAGTGCCCGGAAAACGGGGATATGGAAAGGCGGAGGTGAAGGACAGCGAGAGTTGCATAGCGGTGGAAGATCATTCAATGACCTAAATAAGATCATCCAATGACCTAAATAAGTCAGATAGGAACATGCTTCCCCTTCCTAGCAAAGAATAGGGGCTCTGGGCGCCCTCAGGAGAATAGCCGATGCACCCCTGGGCCCTGGCAGAGTACGGGGCATCCCTCTACGGAGTGCCTAGCAAGTAGTAAGTAACGCGCCGCTGCTCTCTCACACACCAAAAGAGTTGACGAGCTTCGGTTATCTGCACTCCACCGCCTGCCTACCTATCCTACCTCCCAACTTTTTGGTGACCTTTGCACCAGGGCACCGCCAACCGCACCGTTCATCGCCATCGCCATCGCCATCGCCATCGCCCCTTCTCTACTCCGCCGTAGTCCAGCCAGCCTCTTCGTCTCTTTCCAATAATCCACACGTTGCCAGCGATCCACTCTTGCATGTCGATGCATGCTGCCCCCTGATAGTAGCTGTCAACTGCCGCAGGACTCTTAGCTCGAGGTTCCCATCTTCCCATCAAGATAGCCCCGATGGCGCACAGTTATGATATCGGGACAAAAGCATGGCAGCCGGATGCCACAGAAGGATGGGTGGCCTCCGAGGTCACCTCGAAGTCTGCAGACGGGGACAAAATTATTCTCATCTTTACCCTCACAAACGGGGAGGTATGTCCCGGACGCCTCAACGCCAAAACCTGCCACCTATGTATGCTAACCCCTCTCTTTCTTGCAGACGAAAAGGGTCGAAACTACAGAAGAGGAACTTGCGGAAGCCAACAACTCGAAATTGCCTCCCTTAATGAACCCTGCCATGCTGGAAGCAAGCGATGATCTTACGAATCTCTCACATCTGAACGAACCTGCCGGTATGTTATAAAAGCGGCCCCGTGCTGAATATCGCTCATGGGTGAATAGTTCTGCAGGCAATTCGGTTACGGTACTCTCAAAAAGAAATATACACCTACAGTGGTATTGTCCTGATAGCCACGAATCCCTTTGCTCGAGTAGATTCTTTATACGTCCCGGGTATGGTACAAGTCTATGCGGGAAAGCAGAGAGCAACACAGGCGCCCCATCTATTTGCTATAGCGGAAGAAGCTTTTGCGTACGTACAATCTTGAGAAGCAAAGCGTGGTCCGGACATCGCTGATAATCACAGTGATATGCTGCGGAGTGGTAAGAACCAGACAGTCGTTGTTTCAGGAGAATCTGGAGCCGGAAAGACAGTCAGTGCCAAATACATTATGAGATATTTTGCTACTAGAGAGTCGCCGGACCAACCAGGGTCAAGAAAACGAGGGCAGGAAGCCATGAGTGAGACGGAAGAACAGATTCTGGCCACCAATCCTATCATGGAAGCGTTTGGTAACGCAAAGACTACGCGAAACGACAATTCTTCCCGGTTCGGAAAATACATTGAGATTATGTTCGACGACCAGACGGCTATCATTGGTGCCAAGATCCGGACCTATCTGCTGGAACGATCGAGATTGGTTTTCCAGCCTCTGAAGGAGAGGAACTACCACGTTTTCTACCAACTTGTGGCAGGAGCATCAGAAAAGGAACGCCAGGAACTACAGCTCTTGCCCATTGAGGAATTCAACTATCTTAACCAGGGAAGCTCCCCAGTGATCGACGGGGTCGACGATAAGGCGGAATTCGAGGCATTGAAGAAATCGCTATTGACTATTGGAGTTACCGACACGGAGCAGGGGGAAATCTTCAAGTTGCTTGCAGCTCTCCTCCACTTGGGAAATGTCCAAATCACAGCTTCGAGAACGGACTCTGTCCTGCCATCCACAGAGCCATCTCTAATCAAAGCTGCCGAAATACTCGGCGTGGATCCCGTGGAATTTGCGAAATGGACCGTCAAGAAGCAGTTGATTACCAGAGGAGAGAAGATTACTTCGAATTTGACCCAGCAGCAAGCCATCGTGGTCAGGGACTCAGTGGCAAAGTTCATTTACTCCAGCCTTTTCGACTGGCTAGTTGAGAACATCAACCGTGCTCTGGCTACTGACGAGGTTCTGGCCCGTGTGAAATCTTTCATTGGTGTCCTTGATATCTACGGCTTCGAGCATTTCGCCAAGAACTCATTCGAGCAGTTTTGCATCAACTACGCCAACGAGAAGCTGCAGCAGGAATTTAACGCCCATGTTTTTAAGCTGGAACAGGAAGAATACCTGAGGGAACAAATCGATTGGACGTTTATTGACTTCTCGGACAATCAGCCCTGTATTGACCTCATCGAAGGCAAGCTTGGGATATTGTCCTTGCTGGATGAAGAGTCTAGGTTACCTATGGGCTCGGACGAGCAATTCGTCAACAAACTGCATCACAATTACGCTGCCGACAAGAACAGGTTCTACAAGAAGCCTCGTTTTGGAAAGTCCGCCTTCACCGTGTGCCATTATGCTGTTGATGTCACCTACGAGTCTGATGGTTTTATCGATAAGAACCGAGATACCGTCCCTGATGAGCACATGGCTGTCATGAAAGCTTCATCTAACGACTTCCTTGGACAGGTTTTGGACGCGGCTTCAGCGGTTCGAGAGAAGGACAGTGCCTCAGCTACATCGACTGCAGTCAAGCCAGTTGCTGGTCGTAGAGTTGGTGTGGCTGTAAATCGGAAACCCACTTTGGGTGGAATTTTCAAATCTTCTCTGATTGAACTTATGCATACCATAAACGACACCGATGTCCACTATATTCGATGCCTGAAGCCTAATGAGAGCAAATCATCCTGGGTGTTCGAAGGCCCCATGGTTCTCAGTCAGCTGAGAGCTTGTGGTGTTCTTGAGACTGTTAGAATCAGCTGCGCTGGATATCCCACAAGATGGACGTACGAAGAATTTGCTCTCCGGTACTACATGCTTGTACCATCGACATCCTGGACATCGGAGATCCGAGACATGGCGAACAAAATTCTCACGAAAGCACTTGGCGCCAGCAGTGGTGGGGGGTTGGACAAGTATCAGCTTGGTCTAACAAAGATCTTTTTCCGTGCTGGTATGTTGGCGTTCCTTGAGAACTTGCGAACGAACCGTCTAAACGACTGTGCCATCATGATCCAGAAGAATCTGAAGGCCAAGTACTACCGTCGCAAGTATTTGGAAGCTCGAAATTCTGTCTTACTTTTCCAGTCTGTGACAAGAGCCCACCTTGCCCGAAAGCATGCAGATGAGACTCGCAGGATCAAGGCTGCCACAACGATCCAGAGGGTCTGGCGTGGTCAGAAGCAGCGCAAGAGTTTCACGGCGATTCGCAACAATCTTATTCTCGCACAAGCTGCAGCTAAGGGTTTTTTGCGAAGAAGAGAGATAATGGAGACTCGCGTGGGAAATGCCGCTATTTTAATCCAACGAGTATGGCGTTCAAGGCAGCAAATGAAGAGCTGGAGACAATACAGACGGAAAGTCGTTATCATCCAGAGCTTGTGGCGTGGTAGAAAAGCACGCCAGGGTTACAAAAAGGTCAGAGAGGAAGCACGCGATCTAAAGCAAATCTCCTACAAATTGGAGAACAAAGTGGTTGAGCTCACACAGTCTCTTGGTTCCATGAAAAGGGAGAACAAGACCTTGATAAGTCAAGTTGAGAGTTACGAGAGCCAGATCAAGTCGTGGAAGACGAGACACAATGCTCTAGAGGCCCGTTCCAAGGAGCTTCAGAGCGAGGCCAACCAGGCTGGTATCACTGCAGCCCGCCTGGCGGCGATGGAGGAGGAGATGAAGAAGCTGCAATTGAACTTTGACGAGTCAGCTGCTAATATCAAACGCCTCCAGGAAGAGGAGAAAGAATTGCGAGAGACTCTCCGAATCTCGACTCTCGAGCTAGAAGAGACAAAGAGGAAGGGCGAGGTTCACGAGTCCGAAAAAGTCACTCTTCGACAACAACTTGCAGAGCTCCAAGACCAGCTTGAGCTCGCCAAGCGTATCGTGCCGGCCATGCCAACCAATGGTGAATCTAATGGTGCTGCTACCCAGCAACCATTGAACGGTCTGATCAACTTAGTCTCCTCGAAGAAACCCAAGAGAAGGAGTGCAGGTGCCGAACCACGCGAGATTGATAGATTCAGCGCCGCATACAACCCCCGCCCTGTGTCAATGGCGGTCACCGGAAGTAGTCTCCACCGACCAGCACTCCCTGGATCTACATTTATTCCGGGTGTCGACAACGTCGAGTTTGAGCTCGAGAATCTCCTTGCAGATGAGGATGGTCTTAATGATGAGGTCACCATGGGCTTGATCCGAAACCTCAAGATTCCAGCTCCTGGCACTACTCCGCCTCCGACCGACAAGGAAGTTCTATTTCCTTCGTACCTGATCAACCTGGTCACTTCGGAGATGTGGAACAATGGATTCGTCAAGGAGTCCGAAAGGTTTCTCGCCAACGTCATGCAATCGATCCAACAAGAGGTTATGCAGCACGATGGCGAAGAAGCCATCAACCCTGGTGCATTCTGGCTGTCTAACGTTCATGAGATGCTATCTTTTGTGTTTCTGGCAGAAGACTGGTATGAAGCTCAGAAGACCGATAACTACGAGTATGATCGTCTCCTGGAGATTGTGAAGCACGACCTCGAAAGTCTCGAGTTCAACATCTACCATACCTGGATGAAAGTTCTCAAGAAGAAGCTCCAGAAGATGATCATCCCCGCTATCATTGAATCTCAATCGCTGCCTGGATTCGTCACCAATGAGAGCAACCGATTCCTTGGCAAGCTTCTCCAAAGCAACTCAGCCCCAGCGTTCAGCATGGACAACCTTCTGAGCTTGCTCAACAACGTTTTCAAAGCGATGAAGGCATACTACCTCGAGGATTCGATCATCACTCAGACGATCACTGAGCTGCTGAGATTGGTCGGTGTCACCGCATTCAACGATCTTTTGATGCGAAGAAATTTCCTGTCGTGGAAGCGTGGGCTCCAAATTAACTACAACATCACCAGGATTGAGGAATGGTGCAAGAGCCATGACATGCCAGAGGGCACACTCCAGCTCGAGCATCTTATGGTGAGTATTTCCAGCACGCACCTGGACGAGTCATTCAGCACTAATACCTCCTAGCAAGCAACTAAGCTCCTTCAATTAAAGAAGGCTACCTTGAATGATATTGAAATTATCCAGGACATCTGCTGGATGTGAGTGCATCATCCTGTTCTTGAGTGAGAGGCAATGCTAACTATTGAAACAAGGCTCTCGCCCAACCAAATTCAAAAGCTTCTGAACCAGTATCTTGTAGCTGACTACGAACAGCCTATTAACGGCGAGATCATGAAGGCAGTCGCTTCTCGTGTGACAGAAAAGAGCGATGTCCTCCTCCTTGCTGCCGTCGATATGGATGACAGCGGACCCTATGAGATTGCTGAGCCCCGCGTCATAACAGCTCTGGAAACCTATACTCCGTCTTGTAAGAAACTCCTGTCTCCTCTCCTCTTCAATTTTCATGACTAATATCGATTCAGGGCTGCAAACTCCGCGCCTCAAACGCCTTGCAGAGATTGTCTCGGCGCAAGCCATAGCGCAGCAAGAGAAACTAGAATATCCTCAAGATGACGGCAACGAACTCACTGATAGCGAGTTGAATGGCTCTTAGACATCTTTATCGCCTCTTTTCATCGAATCGCGTCCGGCTGCTGACGTCCTCTTTTCGCTTCTCCTGTACCAATCTTCACCCCACGTTCTTGGACGACCGATCTGCTGCTCTTGGCTTGCACACCCTGGGCATCTGTATACAAGGCCTTAACTGTTAGCGTATATCTCATTTATTATGTGGGATTTTTTTTGCCTGTTGGAATGATTGCTCGTGGGATATCTAGGTGCATTGTACAAGGCATCTTCGAATGGGCGTTGAACTTTCTTTTTTATGGATAGTGGGAATGTGCAAGAAAATCTTCCACTTCCATGCCCCCCTCCCCCCGGCGCTAGGTTGACATTATGCATGAGGCAGACGGATAAGGACACTAATACTCCCAATGCCATCATGATTCACTCTAACATTGCTTACCTGTATCGTCCTTCGAAGAAATAAATATCACACTCCAGTAGTTAATATTCTCGTCAACAGCCTCGTGACGAGGCTGAGCCGCGCTAAGATAGTAGGTCTTATCTATTGAGTTTTTCTAATATTCCGCTTATTCGTATTGCAACACGGCTATTCGAAGCACATCTTCCTACAACATACAAAATGCGGACGGTGCCAAACATAATCGTCACCGGCACACCAGGTGTAGGCAAGACCACACACTGTGAAACTCTCGCCCAAAGCACCGGCCTCAAGCACCTCTCTGTCAACAACGTTGTCAAAGAACGCGGCTGCCACGATGGCTACGATGAGGAGTTCAAGAGCTGGATTGTGGACGAAGATAAGGTGAGAACCTCCTACGCGGGAAATTCGTGGCCTACGAGGCTGACATCTGTAGTTACTGGATGCAATAGAAGACGAGGTCAAGCAGGGAGGATACATTATCGATTGGCATGCTTGCGACTTATTCCCCAAGAGCTGGATTGATCTTGTTGTTGTGCTGCGTGTAGACTCGACGCTTCTCTATGACAGATTGAAAGCTAGGTTCGTCTTCGCCTCTCATATTCAGATGGGGAAATGCATCTGGGGAAAGATGCTGACATGGAGACAGAGACTACCCCGAAGCCAAACTGCAAGAGAATCTTGACTCGGAAATCATGCAGGTCCTGTTGCAGGAAGCGCGCGACTCGTACGACCATGAGATAGTAGTCGAGCTCACGAGCAACACAAGCGATGAGATGGAGAGCAATATCGAACGACTGGAGGGCTGGATTAAGCAGTGGATGAAGGACAATGCGCAGTAGATTCTTCTATGCTTTCGTTTGAGCTTTCTGTGTGATGGCGGGTCTAGGATTCTTGCAGCCACTTGCTAAGCTTGGAGAGGGCTTTGGAGCGGTGCGAGATCTTGTTCTTGGCGGCTTTGTCCATCTCGGCATACCTACACAATCAAAATTTAGCCTTTTCTTGGGAGAAAAAGCGAAAGGGAGGGGAACTTACGTCTGGCCCTCGTACTCGAATATGGGATCCCAACCTATACCTGATCAGCCCTGGTATTGAGGAATAGGTTCGCTGACTTACCGAAGTTTGTTGGACCTCTTGCTGGTACGATCTTACCCTAAGGGGTATTAGAACGGACGGTTGGAAAGAGGGGAAGAGGGGAAGAGGTCGTACATCCGTTCTGCCTTGGAAGATGATGGGTTCATGGTCCGGGCCTTCGCAGTAGGCAAAGGTGCAGACTGCTTGAGCGGATTTATCTGGGTAGGCGAGGAGGAGGTTGTTGAGTCCTTCGTGGCCGATGGCGTCTAGGAACCACTTGCTATAGAATCAAAGCGTCAACTCCAATTCGTCCTTCAGACCACAAGTGACTTGAAAGCGAAGACTGTGACTGTGACATACATGTACGGTCCAGGGAGCTCTTTCAGGGCATTGAAGCACAAGCAGGTATCTTCAACCAGGACTGGACCATTGACCTGGACCGTATTAGTAAAGGATGGCAGTACTTGAGATAGGGTTGAGGACTAGCTTACGGCTGCTGCTGCTCTTCGGCATTTGTCTGCTGAGACCTCTTCGATCGTGCCTTGGATCTCGACCAAATCCAGTGCCTGGCTTTGAAGATTGACAGTATCTCCAAGAATAGCTTTGACTTCTGCAAGCTTGTTCTTGTTGCCCGTGATGAAGTTGAGTTGCTTGGGAGCCATGGTAAGGGGAGGGAGATTTGGTGGAGGTTGCTTGGTCAGAGAAAATGTGATCGGCCAGACTAGTTTGCTCTGGATTGGTTTGTTTGGTTTGGTTTAGTAGGCTGATGGAGAATTGGAAAAAGTCCCTATTATAGCACTTGATGGACAACAACGGTAGAAGAAGTTGATCATCCTGGGGGTCGTCGAGAATACCGAATCGCTTGCAGAACTGGACCGTGCAGCCCCTCCCAAAAGGCCAACCTCGTCTCCCAATGATTGTAAGCATCATAACATCACAACATAAACATGTCGACCAACTTCTATGACACAGCTCAAGACCCGAACCTGGTCTCGCAAGGGCTGTTCTACCAACTATGGCAGGCTGTACCCATCTCGCCTATAATTCTAGCCACCCTCTTACTCGGGCCCCTGATCATCTTCTTGACTGCTTCTCTTTTGCTCATCGGCGGTGTTGAAAAGCCTGAAGACGAGAGTGAACGGGACGTTTGGATGCTACCCTTCCAACCAGTTCCATGGCGCATCCTGGAGAGTGTGAGATTTGACCCCGATTCAGGGGAGCGTGACAATCCTGACATTTCAGTTCTTTGGCATTCCCAAGAGAGTTGAATTGAGATATCAAGAAGCTCTAGAGGTAAACCATTCTATCGTACAACAGAAACTCGTAGCTAATATCAGATAGGAGCTAAATGCTTGCTCCAAATACCTGTTGGATGAGCCTCACATGACCAAAATAATAAAAAACCTCGTTCAAAACTTGGAGCGCAACACGCCCCAGATGATCTCTTTCGTAGATAGCCCCATCGACCTCCAACCCTGGGAACGATACGCCGAAGCCCGCTTCATCTCCCTCTCCGAAACTGAACTCAATCTCACCTCTCTCCTGCGTGACATGATAGGTCACGCTGCAGTGCCTGCTGTTTTCGGTCACGCACTTATCGAAAAGTATCCTAGTATCTTGCACGATGTTCGGGATATGGACGCCGGGAGAAGTTATCTTTTGAGGAAATTGCCAGCTTGGCTGCCGTGGCCTGCCGTTATTCAAGCGCACATGGCCAGGCTTAAGGTGTGGAAGTGTTTGGATGATCACCAGAAGGCTGTTGATGCTGCGGTTTCTGAGGAGGATATTGAGGGCTCGTGGGGAGATCTTGGTGATGTTAGTGAATTCATCATGAAGAGGAATGAGGTTTACAGGAGTAATATTCCCCCTCTAGGCAGAATTTCCAATTTCTGAGTCTAAACATTGATGTCGTACAGGATATGGCATTGAAGTTAAAGAAAGAGCGGAAATCAGCGTAAGCCACCAACGTCTCCAAATTCTGCATGATTTAATGCTGATTATTGCAGGTCCTCTGGTCCCTAGCAGCAAACTCTGCCCTGATTTCGTACTGGCAAATCCACCATATCCTCACCATTCCAGGCCTCGTTGACCGTATCCGAGCCGAAATTACTCCCTACGCCAGCGTGGCCAAACCATTCTCCATCGGCACTATCTTTGAAGCGCCGAAACTCAAGTTGGACTACGACAGCCTCCTAGCGAGATGCCCGCTCCTCAAGTCTACATTTTTAGAGACTCTGAGACAGGTGGATGAGCAGTGGGGATTACGAAAGAGCTTTCTAGGGGATGTGAACCCTGTCGACAATATAACGTTTCCAGAGAAGTTCAATCCAGATAGATACCTCGAAAGTCTCCCTGAGGAAAGGAAGGGGAGTATCACGTCTGCTGGAAGTCTTGATTCCTCGTTACAGAAAAGCAATCGGTTCGTGGAGATAGAGTGCCTTGCATTCGTTGCTGCAATCCTGGTGTTCTGGGATATCACACCCGCAGATAAGAGTACTGGCTGGACCATACCTGAAAAACAGAGGCTAGGTGGGATCGCTGCACCGACGAGCGAGACGAGGGTAAGGATAAAGAGGAGAAAGTTTGAATGGGTAGAATGATAGGACAGTTGACTATTCAGAGCAAGCAATGTCTTTATCATCCAATGTTACAACCGCGGAGTTATCTTGCATTTCATACTATTCCCATACGTTTGGATGTGCACCGTGGGTTCCAACGTGCCCGCCCTCATCGTCTCCCCGACTTCACTCTTCATTCTATTCATCCAAAAACCACCCGCCAACTCAGACCGTGAAAAACATTGCCTTTGCAGCTACCAAGGTATGACACCAACAAAACGATATACCTCGTCGCCTTCTGCGAAATGAGTAACACGCAACAATGCAACACGCAGACTTATCTATACGGACCGAGTCCAGACCTTCCTCTGTCGTACTTCACACGTACTGATCACACTCCCTCCCTCCAACACATCCAACACTATCCAAACAGCAACATTTCTTTTACGACTCGGCAACATCAACCGTCCCTCCCGCCTCATCTGCAATTACAACCCTCCACAGCTACGACTCACCGGGACGCGCGTGCCATATCCACTGCACAGACCAATCCTTCTCTCAGCACCCGCAGTACCTATGGACAGCGGAGTAAGTAAGCCCGGCTGGCCGCACAACACAAACCCAGCAAGCGAGATGCATCCCGAAGTCCGTCCGTCCGTCCCTCTGTCTGTCTGTCTCTCTCTCTCTCCCTGCCGCCGCCTCCCCCCCGCCGCCCGAAAAAAGGGAAAGCCAAGCATCCCGTAGCCAGCAGAGCGAGAAGAGCTTCTCCGACTCTTCACCACACGTCCCTGGATTCAAACCAACCCATCCCAAGAGGGGGTATCTATCTATCTATCTATCGAGTGAAGTGCGCGCGTACCCGATCACCGACACGTTGCCATCGCGAGCGGCCTGCTTCTGCCAGGCCAGGAGTGCTAGTGCTAGATGCGCGTTGAGGGCCGAGTAGCTACTGTTTGGTCTTCTTTGGGATATCGTGTACCCCCTCTGCCCTGTACTCTGTCCCCTACTTATACCCTATCACCCCCCTCCTGCAGAAGAGGGAAGGCTGTATTCGCTGCCTTTCTGCGCAACTACAGCGTGGGTAATAAATAGTAGGTAGGTAGGTAGGTAGGTATAGGCTCCGAACCGAGAAGAACACAGCAGCCGCGTTGCTGTGACGTGAACCACCGGTTGGTGACCTGCTTGGTGGCCAGCGACAGTGACTGATCTCGTCTTCTCCGGGTGCTAGACATAGGCGAGGTAGGTAGGTAGGTAGGTAGGTTAGCTAGCTAGGTAGGTATACGGGCAAGATCCCTATCGGAGCCGCGCGATAGCTACTGGACTGTAGCTGCTGGGAAGTGAAGCCCTCTCGCTGGTGAGGATGCCGCTTGTACCGGTAGATGGGTACCTAGATGAGTACATGATGGGTGGTCCTGGCTCGCTTAAATACTGCAAAAGAAAGAGAGTAAACAAAACCAAAACCCCCAAAAAAAAGGGGGCAAATCCACCTCGATATTCGGAAATTCTCCCTCAAAGTCGGTATCTGTGGCTCCTGCAACCTTCGGTGGAGGAGAAAGAGGGACATCCAGCTGGGGGTTCCTCGCAAAAAAAACAAAGCCATGTTTACGCCTCGGTATTTTCGCAGCCGAAACATAGTAGTAGAGAGAGATACCGCTAAACACATTCATTCATTCACTCACTCGGCCCTACCCGCGCCTTGCTGAAAGTCACAGAGAGAGCGCCGACTCGCCAGCAGAGAGCCAATTCGCTCACCACGCATCATGATAGGTATGCACCCTCGCGGCGCAGACACACCCGCCGCCGACTCACTGTGGCCTCCCTCGTCGGGCATGAAAGAGGAGAAACCACAGACAGACATTCGGAATGGTGGTGTCGAGGTCTACGATCTGCGCCTCATCCCCTCGGGCTTCGCTTGTGTGTATTTCGGAGACCTCTCCTTATTTATATGTATATATATATATGTGTGTGTATATATATATGTGTGTGTGTGTGTGTGTGTGTGTGTATATATACACGCCCCGTCTTCCAAGCCGCCCCACGTGTCGCCGAGATGCACCGAGTCAGAGCCATGCGCAGAGAAGGTTAAGGTTTCGTCCTCCTCCTCCTCCCCCTCCTCCTCCTCCTCCTCCTCCGCGTCGACGACGTCAGATAATAATAGGTACCTACGTTGAGAGATGCTGCGCTGGATTGGCTCTCCGTGACGTCGGTGCCAATTGCGGTATCTACGCGAGGGGGTGGGGAAGGGGAGGGGGTAGAGGGTCCACCCCCCCCATTGCCATGGCCCGTTCGCATGTGCTGTACTGTACCGGCACCAATCATCAAGATCAAGGATGCGGGGTGGGGGAAGAGAGAGAGAGAGGAGGGGGGGAAAGGGGTCACTACAGTACAGGTACCTACCGGTAGTCCGAGAGGGGAAGGATGTGCGTGTGTGAAAGATCGACTGCAGCATTTACTCTACCGGTACCGGTACAGGCGCTCTTACCTCCTCCTCGCCGTTGGACATGGCGTAGGCTCCGGTGTAGCGGCGGCCATAAGTAGATCTCGAGGTAGGTACGGTACGATACGGTAGGGTAGGTAAACGACGGTGTTGGTGTCGCAGAGGGATCTATCAAGGGGGGACGGTTACAAGAAAGGTAACTCCGTCAGTCAGTAAGGGACGCTGTATATATAGAACGGAATAGAATAGAATACAGAGTACGGTATCTATCTCTATCCGACCTCGCCTGATGGAACAGCTTCCCCGCAGCGTTGATCCCCTACTGTAGAGGGCTCTACCGGGTCATCTCCCCCTGAAAAGCCTCCTGTTCCGGAAATAGGGCCATGCCGTTGACGCGTACGTACATCATCATCATCATCATCATCTAGTACCAATACTATCCCATCCCATTATCGCTACCGTGATCATCTCTCACTCCTCGTTATGGTTGCAAACCGCGTGCACCTGCGATCCCGATGCCCACACGGACCAGCGGTAGTTGCGCACAGCGTGTTTTCTCTGGCTCCCGTGCTCTCGATAACCGCAGTCTAGTACAAAGATAGATAGATAGATAGATAGATAGGCGGAAGAAAGCCCATTGTCCCCATCGAGAGACATGTCAAGAGCCGAGACGAAACAGACAAACAAGCTCGGGCGGGTCAGAGCCCCAAAAAGGTCTAGGAACGAGGGCGTGCATGACGTAGGGTTAGTCCGGCTTCCAACCAGAGCCCAAGTCTGTCGACAAGCAGATACCGGTATACCAACCTATATCTGTGCGTGCAGTTATCTATGTATATAACTTAGATATATATAATATACAAATACCTACCTACATACCGATCTAGGCCCGCATCTGCCAGCGCAAGAGCAAGAAGTAGAAGTAAGGAGGTCCTTATGCGTGCAGTAACCCGTGGGTGGCGCGGCACGAGGGGAGCCCATCCAGAGTAGATAAGGGGGAATCAGGCCAGGCCAGGCCGGCGCCCCCATCCCTTTTCCCTTCCCCTTACCTACTCTTGGCCAGGCGGGACTCACTATCAGGTACTGTAAGAAGAGCAATCTCTACTTGCCCGTACCATTTCATGTGCCGCGCCGACCGGCCTGCGCGTTTTGTTTACTTCTTAGCGATAAGGGGAAGCCGTCGCCGTCTTACCGAGAGAAGTACGGAGTAGTCACATCACAGCTGTAAGGGGGGTTCCTTTGCTACGTAGGAGGCTGTGGGAACGCAAGGCGGAAGGGGGAAGGGGGTATCAGAAGAAGAAAGAATGCTAGCCTCCATGCATGTATGCCATACCTGCATACTTCATGCACTGACTGGGTCTTGCGTCGGCGATGGCTTTCAGCCGCCACGTAGTACAGTCTTCCGCGGACTGATTGCGAGGCATTGTTCGATCACACCCGAGATCTGACCTATGAATGCATGTCAATGTGGCCACCGGCAGAGAGGCCCTAAGAGCCACCCAACGACCTGGTCGCCGTCACCGGTTCATGGGCCACTTCTGCAGCAGAACTACTGATCCTGAGTGGCCGGGAAGAGGCCATATAGGGAGCGCACTTAGAAATGAAAAAAATCAGATTCTTTTGGCCATCTATTATGCTGCCCCATCGGAGCAAGATTTACCGAACCAGCCCGAAATTTCCCAAGCTCGACAAACAGCGATCTCGCTCCAAGATCTCTCTACTCTTCGGTCTTTCTCTTCTTCGCCAAGGTCATCTTTTCATCAGAGTCCACAATCATGTTGTCGTTGATGTCCTCGACCTTCTCGTGGGAAGCCACAACCTCGGTGCCGGCAACCGTTGGGAAGGGAGTCAGGACTTTGGTGATGTCGCCCCACCAGTTCTCCCCGAATCGCTTGTACCAATCGACTGTGATCTTCATGCCCTCCGCGAAACTGGTCTTCTGCTCCCAGCCGAGCTGGCGGAGCTTGGTTCCGTCCACGGCGTATCGGTGGTCGTTGAAGGGACGATCGATCGTGTGCTTGACCCACTTGTGGAGCTCTTCCTGGGTTGAGTGGGGGATGTCAAGGTAGGTGAGGAGCTTAGAGCACAGGGTCAGATTAGAGATCTCATCGTAGGATCCAACGTTGTAGATTTGGCCCATTTGGCCCTTGTGTAGAATAGTGTCGAAGGCATCTGCGGCATCTCCCGCGAAGAGGTATCGTCTTGTGGGGGTGCCATCGCCGTGCAAGACTACGGGTTGTTTACGGTGAAGCAACAAGCTGAATTTTGGGATGATCTCTGCGGCGGGGTTAGCACGAGTCGCCTTAGCTAGGCCGGACGAGAAACCTACTCTCGGGATATTGGTGGGGTCCATAGACGTTGTTGCTGCGCACAATAATCACGGGCAGCTTGAAACTCTTCTGATAAGAGTGGACCAGCATCTCTGCCGCGGCCTTGGAAGCCGCGTATGGGTTGGTCGGGGCCAAGATGCTGGTCTCCAACAGATCGTCGTCATCATCTCTGACCTCTCCGTAGACCTCATCTGTGGAGATGTGGATGAACTTCTTGATGCCGACCTTCTTTGCGCTCTCCAACAGGACGTGTGTACCGTATACATTGGTGTGGGTGAAGGCATACGAGTTCCCGAAGCTCAAATCGACGTGGGACTGAGCAGCGAAGTGGAAAATGGTATCGATGTTGTGACGGGTCAGGCAGTCCATGACCTCAGAGGGGTTGGTGATGTCTCCATGGTAGAAGGTAAAGTTGCGCTTGTCGTTGAGAGCGCGGGTGTTGTTCAAGGAAGCGCAGTAATCGAGCTTGTCGAAAGAGACAATGTTGTATGCATTGGGATAGGTCAGGGTCAAATGTCGTACAAGCCAGCATGCACTGTCGCGATGGCGGTCGCAGTCAGCATCATGCACATTGTCCGTCTTTGGGTCCGTCTCGTCTGTTGATAAGGCTGGTTTGGTGTCCGGGCATCTTGAACTCACATGAAGCCTGCTCCGCCTGTGATCATAATATTCTTGACACCCGGCAGCGGCTCGAACTTGGTGCTGCCAGTCAAGACCGGGGCGTCTTTCCAGACGCCAAAGTCTTCAAAGAACTTGTTTTGCTCTGCGCTCGCTGTCCAATGGTCAATGTCGCATCTTTACGGTGGTAGGAAGCATCCTAGGCTCAGCGATCGTACCTTGAGCTCCATTGGCAGCCATGATGAAGGATTGGGTTGTTGCACTTGATTAGAGAATGAGCACAGAGGAAACCCAGAGCAGAGGGAGAAAGGGGAGGGGCTCTGGGAGGTCGTAGATAGGTGGAGTTGATGAGTTGGAGAGAGTTGACAGAACAGGCACTTTAGGAATTAATGAAAATGGATTCCACAAAAAGGGGGGGGCTTTTGTGCTATCACTCTTTCACCGCTCAAATTTCGCTGGAAAGTCCTTAGTTCGGGCGCCGTAAGCGAGACAGAGGGTTATCAGTGTGGGCCTTGTTGTTTTCTTTTCTTTTCTTTTTTTTTTTTGACAGTTGTACCGGTATGTCTCGCAGCAGTGATGATCAACGCGTCGAGTCTGTTGTGGACCGGAGTCTGGTCGAGTACATCTGCATTTATATACCGGTAGTGTAGGAATGGGTAGAATCCCAGAACAGGATTCATTTTCATTTCAGGCCGCAGATGAAATCCAGCTGCACATCACGAATTACCGAGTGGAGGGAAGGGAGGCTGATGAAGGGACATGGATGGGAATAGGGCTGTAGGACTAGGTATACGGTGTACCGAGTAAGGAGCAAACGCCTACGTACTACGTAGTACGTACTACGACTATTACGGAGTATGTTACTTTTTATTGCCGTTCCTCTTGGTTGATCTATTTTTGGTGGCACGAGTTGGGATCAATCATAATCCGTGGGTAGTTACAACTAGTACCGTGGGATGTGTAACAGATGAAAACTCGTGTTGAAGTGATCGGTGATCAGGGGTCAGGGGTCAAAATCCAGCATGAAATGATGTCTTGATTGGATTAACCTAATGTAAAGCAAAGGCTTTTGCTGTACGAAGTGCTCCGTAAGTGGTTTTGTCGGTTTTGGTTCTTTCTTTCTGGCGTTGAGCGTCTCTCTCTCTCTCTCTATCGCAATGCCTCGCCGACCCTCTCTACCCTCGCTACCCTCTCTACCCTCAGGCTCTCCCTCTCTCTCCCTACTCCCTCTACTATCAGACTGAGAATGCATCACTGTGAATCCTGCTTCCTGACTAGCAGCCAAGATTGATACAGAAATTCAACTATAGACCCCAATTTGGCTTTCCAGGCGTTTGATTTGCTCTCCGGTTATCCCTTGCGCGCGTTGCAAATCTCCAAAGCCCAGCCCCATGTCGCGACCCTGGCCCTGGCCCTGGCCTTTTCCCTTACTCCCTATTACCGTGCTGTCCGTATACCTTCACTACAACTCTTCCACGAACACAAATTTTCTACAACATACATACATACGTGAACACACTCACACTTCCACATACCGACCGGTACAAGCACCTATTTACGTACATACGTACATACGTATTTCGTATTTCGTATACTCACTTTCGTTCGTTCGTCTGTCTGTTCAATCACTCACTTTATTGACTATTTCACCCCCCCCCCCAAGTCCCGCCCGCCCTACGTGCCCTGTCATCCCCTGACCCAACCTCACTCTCGCCACGCCCATCTTTGGGCATTGAGTCCTTTTCTATCCCTCCAAACCCCCAAAACCCCCAAAACCTAAACCCCAAACCCCATTCAACAACCATGGCAGAACGATCCGCAGACCGCGCTCCCTCGGTGAGCTCTTCTGTCACCGAGGCCGATTCTTTTGACGGCCAAGAGAAGAATGGCGAGGCCAGTTTCGTCAAGTTGAAGACCCCGGAGGAGATGGAAATCGGCGACGATGTCGAGCGTGCAGAACTTCTGCCAAACCAAGAGCCAGCGCCCGCCGCGCAGCCCAAGGAGGCCTCGACGAGACAGGCCGTGGTGTGGATGGTTGTGAACACACTGGCGACAATTGGAATTGTATGTTTCCCAGAACCCGGGGGAAAAGCCTCAGCATTCTAACATCCACCTTTGCAGGTCTTCACAAATAAAGCCATCTTCTCCGATCCTTCACTCAAGCTAGTTCAGCTTACCTTCGCGGCCTTCCACTTCTTCATAACATGGCTCACGCTCTTCACAATCTCGCGGCCGCGATTCGCATACTTCGTACCCCGAAAGGTCGCTATCAAGGAGATCATACCTCTCGCAATCGCCATGTCGCTGAACGTCATCTTGCCTAACCTCTCCTTGGCCTTCTCAACCGTCACATTCTACCAGGTGGCGCGGATCCTGCTCACACCCATGGTAGCGCTTATGAACTTCGTACTTTACAGAGCCACACTTCCCCGAATGGCCATCTACGCCTTGATTCCAGCCTGCGCCGGTGTCGGAATGGTATCCTACTACGATTCTCTGCCCAGCGCTGATGCCAGTGTGAAGACCACCAGCACGTTGGGGGTTATTTTCGCATTCACGGGCATCTTCGCCAGCTCATTGTACACGGTGTGGATTGCCAGCTACCACAAGAAGCTACAGATGAACAGCATGCAACTGCTCTTCAACCAAGCCCCACTGGCCGCTTTCATGCTCCTCTACGTGATCCCATTCGTGGACACTTTCCCCACGTGGACTGAAGTGCCTGTAAACCGATGGGTCATGATCCTGTTTGTAAGTTGCCTTTCCCTCCAGACCGATTCAAATTGTCCTGAAGCTTCGTGGAGATGTGTTCAGCAGCTAACTTACTTTATCCAGTCCGGCTTCTTCGCGATGGTAATCAACATCTCTCAATTCTTCATCATCGCCCAGACAGGTCCTGTATCCAGCACAGTCGTAGGGCATGTCAAGACTTGTTCCATTGTCGCCTTGGGATGGATGTCATCAGGCCGAGCCGTGGGCGACAAATCCATCATTGGCGTTTTCATCGCCATTGGGGGAATAATTGGGTAAGTTCTTGCATCGCGACTTCCAAGCAAACTCTCACTCTCTCCTATCCCCGTGGACACCCCGGTGTCGATTCCACCTATTTGCCAAGACCTCCGTTTTGAAGATACTTGACTGCGAATCCGCTAACACAGTCCTCTAGCTACTCCGTGGTAATGCTTAAGCACAAAGCCCAACAAGCCAAATCATGAATTTGCGGTACCTGTTTGATAATTCATCACGAAATAGGCTTTGGGCGGCCATCGGTCGGGCAGTTTGGCTCCACTGTCAAACTAGCGAAGTTTCACAACGGACCGGGGGGGAAAACCTAGCGTGCGTCGTCTTTTGCGTTACGTGTCCTTTCCATCCGTAGCGAGGAATTTAGATCGCCGACCAGGGCCCCTGTCATCTCTTGAGAATCTTGGGGAATTTTACCAGGGGGTAAAATGATCGGCGTTCAATCTGTTTAGAAATGGGTCGGAATTGTTGTATTCGCGAAGAATGGACGCAGTGTGTGAGGTTAATCCGGATAGATATTGGAGATGGAGCGTCTTCTCGCATCTCATCTCTCTCCCTCTCTCTCTCTCTCTCTCCGGCGGAAGTCAGGAATCATATCAAATCCAATCAATTATTCAAAAATCAAAGGGAAAAATAATGACGGTTTCAACGCTCGAGAGGTGATAAACGCAGGACCATAGGTCTGTCCGCAAAAGTACTCGGTAGGTAAGGGATGGACGGATGGATGGATGGATGGAAAGCGTCCTGCCAATCGGTGAAACCGCGTAGCCAGGTGGGATCACCAAGATTGTGAGGCCGGCTCAGGCATCCCCGACGCTCGGAGGAAAAAATTGTAGAGTTGAGTCGAGTCTGCCGTTGATGAAACTGCGACCGACTACCGGTACTACTACTTGACCGGTAGGAAGGGAAAGGAAAGGGAAGGAAAGGGAAGGAAAGGGAAGGGAAGGGAAGGGAAGGGAGACTTCATCTTACCCGACCTACCTAGGGGTACTTACCTACCTACCTACGGTACCTACCCAGTCACTCATCTATCGGTAGATATGTATGGTATATTCACCTACGGAGGAGGAGCGTGTATTTGTGGATAGATATCCTCTAGCTTTTAGGGTAGGCAGACAATGCAGAGAGAGAGAGAGAGAGTTTAAGGGAAAATCGTCCAATGAGCATGATGGGCAGAGCGCAGATGTGTTTAGCTACTGCTCTCTATCCGCTCTTCTCTTTCTATCTATCAAAACATCTTTTCACATGGATCCATTCGTGCGTATCCAGTGCCAATCATCCCAAACTCCAAATTCTAGACATCTTGCTCGCTCGATAGACTTCCCAGTTTGCGAAACCGAACGCCATTGACCGTGGTAAAAACATGATCCCAACCTTCACAGAGCCCCGAACCGGGGAGTAGGTGCTCGAGAAGAGACAGAGATTTCACCAAGGCATGAGCCCTTGAGGTAGCATGGGATATTCCTCCCCATCAATCCACTCCGTGGCCGGCAAACCCATCTCGTACGTCTCGTACATGTCACCCCAGCCCTCCTCCATGCGCTTCCAGTTGGCATGACATTCACCCGGCACGTACTTGGCCGCATCCATCTCCAGCATCATCTTGACTTCTGGGCAGTAGCTCCAGATATGTGCCCTCATCGCAGGAGTGCCCCAGATTCCACTGTGCAAGGTGTCCCCGCTGCCTCCCGTATGATAGCCCATCGGCTCGTAGAACCCGTCCCTATAGTCATCAATGCCTTTGATTAGTTCTCCCTCGTTGTACCCATCGATCCCGGGAGGCTTCTTCCCCTTCTTCTTGTCGGAGCCTACTTTCTCCTCCTTTCCCGGAAACATCTCCCCGCTAAACGTCAGACTCATGGTGCCATTCGCTAACTTGGCGCCTGGACGATGGCCCAGTCGGTCAGTGAGCCAGACGTCTTCCGGTTCAGAATCGGGCAAACGCTGCTGGTTCCTCAATACGTCGATGATGGCGCTCACTTTTCGCAAACTGAGCCCGCCATTGCCGCCGAACCGCCCGTTCGGGTTCCACGGGGCACCAACCCAGTCGTAGTCCAACCAGCTGTTGAGCGACTGCCTACTATTCGCGCAGAGCATGCTATCAGTTTGGAACACCAGCAGCCACTCCGCGGGCTGCAGCACCGTCTCGTACAACCACAGCGTGGTCAAAAATCTCGAGATCTCCTCCTGGGAGCCCGTCGTCATGTTGGCCGGGATGTAAGTCAAGTCGAGCTTGCCGCTGGCGACCTGGTTACGGATAGCGCGGGACGAGTTGAGGAGCTCGATGGATTCGAGGGAGCCCATGACGCGAAAGCGCCAGTCGGGTGGGACGACAGCTATGAAGTGCAGCACGAGGGGTGGGAGGATCGGGTTAGGGCGGTTCTCGACGAGCAGGGCGACTTTGCTGCTGTTAAAGGGGGAGATGGGTCCTTCGGTGCCATAGTGGAGGGAGACTGAGGGGAGATTCGAGAAGGAGGGCGTTTCAGGGATGGAAGGGCGGAGGAACAGGAGGCAGAAGATGCTACCTTTTGGTCAGTATATGAATTATTATTTATTGCGAAGGGTTTGCAGATACGCACAAGAACAACAATACACCACCAGCAGCACGCATGCGCCGAGTGGTCCTCGACCATCCGGCGATCGCGGCAGCTTTCACATAATCCCATACATCATCTATCGTCATGTCACCCGATGAAGAAGACATGGTGGCAGTCGACGATAGCGAGCCGGCGCCGACGTGCGTAGACAGCAGTAGATGGAGACAGACAATTCAATGTCACCTCGACAGCGTGGGCATGCCACAGGGAGGTGAGGTGGGGGGTTGATGAGATGAGATGGGGAGTAGTGAGATTGTAGTATGGTGGTAGAGTTGTGGAGTCGTGAAAGTTGGAGAGATGTGTGTGGTCGTGTCGTTCGGGTTCGAACCGTATTCGTATTCGTATTCGTATTAGTGCTCGTTGAAAGTCAGTGCGGCCTGAGGCAAAAGTCGAAAGTTAGGACGGAAGTAAACAGGCGGTGCGTCGAGTAGAGGAGAGTAGAGAGAGTAGAGTAAGTACTATAGAATATCCTGCTTTCAACCTAGTCTAAGCGGCCATCTGCAAGATGACAGTTTTGCGTGCGGGACGATTTACGTAGTACCAGTGGATACTCTGCTTTTACCGTACAACTTACAACTTCCCTACATCTGGCCTCATCCCTCACGATCCGTTCTTTCGGGTTTGGCAAAAAGCATAAAGAGATTGCAGGAAAGGGATATGCCGGGGGTGCGACTATCAAAGGCTTAATTAAACAGCGTTACGCAGGCCCAAGCAGGTCGGAGCCTCCTTACTTCAGGAGATGAGGTGACACGTAGCCGTGGCCCAATAAGGCAAGCTGTCGGTTACTCTCAGTCTCAGGTCCCAACGACTTCCAAAGGGTCTGGTTTGCTAAAAATAAAATAGAAAAGAAAAGAAAAAAGAAAACCAATTCTCTAAGCATGACTGTAATGCCGACGTTTACAACTTAGTACTCGATTTCACAACCTCAGAATCGACAACACCAACACTTTCTATTATTACAAACATGAAAATCTTCTACATTGCTATAATCTCTGCGTACGAATTCATTCTAGAAATAATTATTTGCATTGAAGTAGTGACAATGTGCAAAAACAATACAAAATGATAATATCGGCTGCAAGTCGACGGTGTTTGAAAGCCGGTGTACCGGTAGCGCACTCTCGCGGGAACCTGAGACTGGGAGTAGCCGACAGCTTGCCCTACGTATTAGCGCACGGTTAAAGTGGAAAAAGTACTACGTAAACATGTCTTTTCTTTCCTTACATGCCCAAGCGAAAGGTAAAGGGGCATTTTCTCATTCCATCCCACGCAAATCCAATCCGGTCGGTTATCCCGCCACCTGGGCGGCGTAATTGAACTCCGTCCTCCCCCCTTTTCCGGAGCGGGGGCTCGCTTACTTTCCAAATAGCCGAAGGCACCTCTTTCGTCGCCAGACACACCACGCAAGGGGTCAAATATTATCATCAATACTTCGTATCGTTACTCAGTAGATACATGAGTGTACCAACCACCATTTCCCAACGTTTCCTGAACGAAGGACGGAGAGGCGCAGGCGCGGTAAAGCAAGAATGAATGAACAAGTCCCTCCAGCTCCAGCTGTAGAAGCCCTACCCAACCGAGAAACGCATAGATTACGCTTAAAAACCCACCATCGTAGGCAGAGAAGCCCATGTGCACCACATAATCGCTCAACGAAGATAAGCCCAACAATCAAGAGGTCCGAAAGCGATGTACCGTGGCGCATCTAGGCGCTCAGCATGAAAGTCACAATCGACCGCGCAGGAATGGTTGCCGTCACGTCGCCTGCGCTGTTGATACTGGCATTTAGCAAATCAAATATTTTTGCGGTGTTGGTGATATAGGCTTGGACGGTTTCTCCTGTGAAGCCCGTGAACCGAATAGAAGTCGTGCGGGCACTGGTACCGTTGTTAAGCGCCACCACGCTCACCATGCCGTCGGTGTTCTGATAGGCAGTCGTCTTCAGGTTACCTCCGGTAACTTCGACTCGCTCAGCACCGGGCCTTGCAGCCCTCGAGTAATGGGCCACTTCGTCAAGGTTAGCACTGTATTTGATCAAGGGGTGGTGGGGTTTGAACATACTGGCCCACAATCGCTTTGAGGACTCATGGGTAGGGCCGTCAACGGAGAAGAGCTTCGTGTTGACACCACCAGCTTCGGCGCCGATACCGTAGATGAAGGCACTGACTCGACCTAGGGCTATGCTGTTGTGTATCAGGCCAGCCAGGTAGATTCCGTCGCCTTCTCCTCCGCTCTGGCTGTCCCATTCGGTGGTCCAGTTTCCACTAAGATCCGCCCAATCTGACACCCACACTTGTTTCGAGGTAGCGAAGTCAGCCGTCGGCAAGCCTGCACATGTGTGCGCGGTAAGTATCCACACTATCTATAGCGCCGGTACTCCTCAAAAACGCGTTGTAGTCTTTGTCCTGTTGTTTCCATCCCACCGCGTCGCAACAGATCAGGCTGACGTTCGCGAGGTTTTCGTTGATCATAGTAGACTTGAATATTTTGATCAATTCCGAGGCTTCAATGCCGTTCTGTATCATAGTTGCGTAAAACCCGCTGTACATTGATTGTTAAGCAGGACCAACAAGAGGAGCTCGTGATAAGCTGAGACTTACGCGAGCTAGGGCTCGTTCATGGCCCCCAGATGAGTGATAGGGATTCCTTCTTGCCGGTAGAACCTCACGTACTGGGTCAGATACCTGGCAAACGCTCATCTCCAGTCCGGGCAGTCCCAGTGATGCCATCACAGAGTCGTGCGTCAGCTCCAGAATCGAGGCCATTTGTCTTCATGTACCCAGGCGCACTCCATGGGTTGCCATAGAAGGTCCGCACACCTCGGTCGTAGGCCTGCTTGGCGAGCCAAACCTGACCACTGTCTATGCCATCCCATACATATTCCGGCGTGGCATCAAGCCCCCCGGGATCAAGAGGCTGAATCGAGTTCATCTGGCCGTTTGAGGAGTCGGGGGATGAGCCAAGCCCGTTGCGGTAGATTGACAGTCCGGCACCGATTGTTTGGCTGATAAGCAGGTCCAATACCTCTGCCGACTCCTGGGCTGGAAGCCTCTCGATGTTCAAGGCTTTCCGGAAGGCCTGAGAAACTCCGAAGCCGTCCATCATCTGGATTTTGTTGTCGACATTGACGTTGAGTGTTATTGATAGTGCTTGCCCGACCGTGATAATGGCAGCGGTAGCGAGGAGAGGATAAGCCGAGAAGTGCATGGCTATGTCGACCGAACCTTGATGAATGATTAAATGGATAGAATGATGCTGATCAGATGGCTACAACTACAAAGCGGATGGTATTTTCATGGGTACTTATAGAATACAGATAGAAAGTCCAGACAGCTCTGTCTGCTATCAAATAACACCCAAGAAAATCGCTTAAATCATGAGCCGAACTTGACGGCAAAAAATTTTGCAGTTTTGCGAATGGATTCCCGGTGTTTATAATCCATCCCGGGGGCTCCGTGGGTACTTTCCTCGGCCGCGCGCATATAATTTTTTCTGTTCTGAGATCGATCATATTTTTCTGAGCAGAGTCGGAAGCGGCGCCGCAGCACTACTCCGTATACTCACTCACACTCCTCCATTTTTTGTTATCCTTTCCCTCCCCCGCAGACACTTCTGGCAGAGAGCAGTCTGCAAATGTAAAGGATAATCGAATCAACATACTGCAGGTAGGCGGGAAATGTGACTTTTCCGCCATCATGGGATTCGGCCTCATTCTGGGAGAGTTTCTCACAATCAAGATGCTAAGAGATCCAGATACTTCGTACAATATCAAGAAAGCCCTTCCACAGGGAAAGCAAAGTTGCCACATACGGAGTACTTGGTCTACATGGAGGAACCGGTACCGGTAGAAGATGTGATGTTGTATTCAGTTAGGGAACGGAAGCTGGAAGCGAGGTTTACGAACCGTACGGAGTATACTTCTGAGCCAAGAATGCACCCCGCGATTCCCAAGTGGCTTGTCCGCGAGTGGAGCTCAGGTACCGAACACGAGTCGCAACTACCTGTCTGACTTTGGACTTTTGAGCTTCATTGATCTTGACTCATGCGTTCGTCAGGTGGTGGGTGATGTGATGTTGCGAACTTGGTGTTGATAGTAGCTAGCTAGCGAGATACTTCGTGCTTCGTCAATATGCAGGAGTGGTGACAAGAAATATCTCGTCCCTCGACATTTTCACCCGCGTTTTCCTGATGTCAAAACCAAAGAATGTAGAGGGTGCCCGACAACTGTCTGTACAGTCGGAGCCGGGTGGTAAAAAAAGCTCAGATACCGGTAATGTTGACGTTATCTTGTGTACTGGATATCAGTCTGCGAACACACACAAGCCCAACAACAAACCATTTTAAGTCTTACCGGAACGTTGAAATTACCTTAAACACAAGCGAATCCGAAGGATCTGGAAGATTTGGGCCTCTGCCATCACTGAATTTAGCTTCTCCAACTCCTACTCCTGTACAACTGTGCTTAATTTTTGACTGCGTAGCGAAGTCTTTCTGTGATGTGAACTTAATCGTAAGTGGGCAATGCTCGCAGATCCGCATCGGCAATGTACACTCACTGCATGACAAATCGCCCGAAAGACCTCTAGATAAATACTTGCGATTTATCCGGCGTGGGATTCTTTTATCTTCCACTTCACGCGCCAGTTGTATACTTGCGATCTATCCGAGCTGCTTGCCGGGCTTACGGCCCTTTTGAGCTTCCGGACTCTAGGTCGCGGTGGCCATCCATCGGGTCAATGTAGACGGGAAATTTTCCATTCAAAGAAGTCTCCAAAGCCCAGCATAGAGGTTTGAGACTTCTGCAGGCTTCTGCCACTGGTTTCTTGGAGCTGTCAGTCGTACGTGAAAAAAATCCTCACCGACCTGGTGACCCTGAGAGGGCTATAGCCAGCCAATGAGACAAATGGGCCTTTACTCAATATATACGTTACTGGGTACGGATTTGACACGCAAGAGTGCTATGTGAACTGGAAGTATAGCCATTTATGCTATCAAAGGACTCAGTAAGACGAATACTAACATCCTTGTACGCCGTGTGCCAGGAAAAAGTACCAGCTGGCGTCAGTGAAAAGCGAACAGAGCTAAACGGGAGAAACTCATCCAAACATGAACACGCCTATACTGTAGTGAACACCCATTAATATACATCTAGAGCGTCCATCCTCAGTGGACATGGCAAACATCGTAGCTACTGTAGCCACTTGCGTCCACCCACTCGGTATGCTGATCAATCAGCTTCGGGCTGATCCCCCTGTTCGTCTTGATGAATATGGTCTCGAATGGGTGCACACTGAACCCATAGTAGGCGCCATCGTAAAGGAACTCTCCGTTAACCGTACAGTTCTCATAGGCATAGTCAGGCTCGGACTGGAAGTTCGCTAACATGACATCGATGTGATAGCCTTTGGATTTTACCAAAGGCGTGGTGCGGATCTCGGCATTCATCGCGGACTGAAGCGAAGGGAAACACTCGCCAATGCCTTCCGGGAGGAGTATGATGTCGAGGCCAATTCGATCAGTCGCGTAAATCATGGACTGAATGTGCTGCGAGCCGCCGCCCATACAATTAATTGTCGATCCCACGAGCTGGCCATCGTCAGCATCACGCGATAATTAATGGCTGAGCTTCTTCGACGGAAAAACGTACCTTGACTTTGTCACTCAACTTGCTCAGATATGCATCTGTCCAACACTCCTTACTCCAATGCGGCACGAACGGACCGCGGATGCTGGCGTTCATAAGAATGAACTTGTGATAGGTGTCCTTCAAAGCCTTCGCACCCGACCCGTCTCCTGGTACTTTGGTCAGCACTTCCCAGTGGGCCCCTAGATCAAAACATGTATTTTCCCGCTTTATTATCTTGACATTTGACAGGCCCTTAGGAATGATGGTCTCATCCGCATCGGTGTCGCCGTTCAGGATGAAGATAAAATCAGCGGCGGCGTGGAGGCCATGCTTGACGAAAAATTCGAGGTTCCTCCGTCCATACGGGGTCTCGGCATACGCGTATGTTACCAAAGGAACGCGAGTCGTCTGGCCATGGTTGAGGGGAACGCCAAACGGTTGTGCTGTTGAGATGCCGTCGATAGGAGAAGTAGGTTGCAGTGCTTGTACGTCCTTGTGGACCACCTCTTGTTTTGATGTCTTCCAGGGATTGTTGACGAGTTTGGGTGCTTCAACTTGCTCTTCGCCATGTTTTACTATCTGGACCGGGACGTACTGGTTTTATTTAGCATGAGAAATCGTTCTCGAGCAGATGAATCTTACATTGAAGTTGAGATTGAGGAAAACAAGGAGACATATGGTGATGAAGATGACTGCACTCGCTACACGCTTATAATCAGCCATTGCTGACAACAGACTTCCTCAAGTTCAACAGCGCGTAGACACTTGACAACGAGAAACTCCACACAGGGAACAATCGCAAGTACCAGAGGGCTGGGCTTTCAACATGGTGGTGATCTCCGCCATGTTGCACGGTAAAAGGGCCTTGCAGGAACTCATCATTTTTGCAGCAAGGAGGTGAGAATTCAAGGACGAGACATTCCGTAAAGGGATGCAAGGTACGGACAGATCCACTTGGCCAAATCATCAACCCGAGCATCTCACCAACAAGCGGCAAGAGACAAACGGGCGGCCTTGTGTCTGTGAACGAGGTAAGGAAAGATTGTGTTCCTAAAGCAGCAGATAGTAGTACATGAGTTCTCCGTAATATACAATTGACGAGCCACTCCCTTACGGCAAAGGGTCAAAGCCCGGTAGTCCACGATATCCTCTGATCCCTCAAGCATCCCAATCGATAGCCTCGTTCGAATATTCCGTAGAATGCAATTGTGCAGATGTAGATCACAAGGTCATGTTGCGAGTTGTATTTGGTATACAAAAATTGGTGGCAAAGTAGAAAAATCCGCATTCGCTTCCGATCCGCAATCGCTCACGCCGACTAAGACTGAAAGGATATACGGAGGCCCACCTAAGCGAGCCGACGATTAGATAAGAAAGCCACAAACTACTGTGGTGAGACATTGGGAAAAAAGAGCGGTACAGTAATACGGTACAGTACCGGTAAAGACATCAGATGGAATGGATGTTGTTGTCTCTTCGCTTGGCGGGATAATAAGGGGGTCGAAATAACAAATGTAGGGGGGTTGGATTATAAGAGCAATGAATCTGGTACGTCCAGTAAGGTGATGTTACATGTTTATGGTAAATTGGTGCTTTACCGGCCGTTACCGCGACTGTAATACGTACCTAGCGGTACAGTAAGTTGGGAACTGTGTTCGATCTCCCTTCTTGCAAGCCCCTACCTCTTCCTCAACCCTCAATCCTGCACTTTTTTGTACTGTACTGTACTGTACTGTACTGTACTTGAGCTTCGGTAATTTTATTGCGGCCACCACCTTCACTATGCAATTTTCCCCAGAGGCGACGGCTCCTTAAGATAAGTAGTTCTTGGCCTGGTGACCTCGTTTGTGCCTCGCTCGCGGCCAGGTCGCCTCTTCTTATCCTCCCACCTCTACCTCAACCACCGACCACCGACCATCGACCATCGACCATCGACCATCGACCATCGACCATCGACCATCGACCATCGACCATCGACCACCGATTCACCATCCTTCACCCACAATCGTCCATTAGCAAAGCTAAGGAAGAACTCCCCTCCCCGTGGTCGCGACCATGTCACCTCCACATTCGGGCTCTGGCCCTTTGAGCGGTGCAATCCTCCTCATCAACAAGACCAGGATACTACTATTTGTTTCTCTTGCAGTGACGTGAGTTCCTTCCCAGCTCCCCCCCCCGACACCGTACCATGGAGAGGGAGAGGCGCAGACTGACGCGCAATAACCCCCAGATGGGCGATTGCGAGTCTCCTTCCAGCTTACAAACAGACCGTCACCGACTACGCGAAGAGCAAGGTCAATAATGCCATCCAGCACTTGCCGGCAGTGAAGGTCGACTGGCACCCGCAATACAACCCGAAAGCCCAATTCAACGCCTCGAAACTCGCCCTCCTCATTGAAGGCCGCCCCCTCCCCCATCTCGTGCCACAATTGCTCCATATGATGTCAATTGTGCCGCCAGAATGGAGATTCATGTTTATTGGGACGAATGCGAGTGTTGTCAGCGTCTCTCGCAGCTTTGCGGCGCAGTACCACGAGGCAAACGGCAAGCTGGATCTGGTGGTTCTGCCGGAGCCATGGTCGGCTGAGTCAAAGGAGGATGTCTATCGCATGCTTACGGACGTCCGGTTCTACGACGAGTTCCTGCCTGACGTGGAATGGTTGTTGAAGTTCGAATCAGACAGCATTATGTGCTCCCGGTCTGACGATAGCATCAATGACTGGCTACACTTTAGCTGGGCTGGCGCCCCAAGGTAGGCACTGCTGGTTCTATTTGACATGGGGGCTTTTCTCACAACCTCAACAGAATACCCGGGGACAGATTTGCAGGCAATGGGGGACTATCACTCCGTCGGATATCTATTATCAAAAAGATATTAGGGTTTCAATCAAGATACAATGACACAGAGCCAGAAGACGAATGGTTTGGCAAGCGGATCACGGTACTTCCAGGAGCAAAAGTTGCCAGTGGTGATCAAGAAGATCATTTCTCCGTTGAGGACATATGGCACGAAAAGCCCATGGGGTTTCATGTCCGAGAGGGTGGAAACAATCTTCCTGAGGATGTATGGAAGTCATATGAACGGAGGAAAAGCAACTTTAAGTACTGCCCTGAACTGGTCATGATCATGCCGATGAAGCTTGAGCGGGAGCGTTGTGCTGGTGACAACAAGGAGGGTGCCATCGTCGGAGCAGGGCACCGAGGCGGTCCGAAATGAACAGGGCTGGGTAACGAGCGATACGATGGATCAAAGAGTCAACGTGGATTTCACAGACCTTTGTGTGTGCTTTTAGCGGTGCTCGCTTTTCCTTGAGCGTGCATTGGAAAGAAAGGGTTTAGGGCAACACGAAGACCATTCAGGCGTGATGGCGTTCATGGCTTTCTGCTACGCAATGGAGTTTAGGGAGCGCAACGAGGGAGCCGATTGTATCAATAAGGTCCTCCATAAAATTCCAGTTACTTCGATAGATGATTCCCTTGCCAACAAATGGATGTGCCCCTTTCAAGCTCGCATGCAGTGGTGCTACCCAGAACCTCTTCGCAACATTAATCGTGATCATTCTAGTATAACTGATTGAGCTGGCTGTCTACCACAAGCAGACGCGTCCATCCAAGAAGGACTTTCACGCTTCTCCCAGGAGCAAATAGTGGCGATGTCTGGTGAGAGCTTTCCGGTACCACAAAATTCAACTTTCTAATTGCTGCTGGCCACTGCCAAGTTTGAGTGAGCTACCGGTAGGTAGGTATGAAAGAAGGCATTATGCGGATGAAGGGCTAGGGGGCCGCAAACAGATACAGATTCCTGGAAGGAGGGGAAGAGCAGCATAAATAATTGGAAGTTGAATGTAGAGGATCATGGTATGCATACACATATATGTATACGTATGTATGTATGTGTGTGTATGAATTGCTAATCCATCTGTACGGATGCAAAAGGAAAAGAATCCAGTGTTGAGTCCCCTATTTTTAAAGGGGCTTCTATTCGCCTTTCCGGGACAGCCTTAGCGCCCGCCTCTGACGTCCCTTTGCCGTTAAGAAGCGCCGATCTGAACATCACGATCACGTTCACTATCAGTTACCTTATTCGACCCTTTCCCAAACACAGATCAACAACACCTAAGGTGACTCGAAGATGGTCTCTCCACGCAAGTCGCGCAAGCTTGCGATTGTTGGCAGTCGTTCTGTCGGTCTGTGCTCTTTATTCTACTGGCCCTGTCAAGATCGAATGAATGTATACTTGAGTCGCGTGCTAATAACGCTGATATTCCGATAGGCAAGTCGTCTCTCACCGTTCAGTTTGTCGACGGCCACTTTGTTGAGAGTTATTACCCAACTATTGAGAATACCTTCAGCAAAGTTATTAAATATAAGGGCGAAGACTTTACTACCGAGCTTGTCGATACCGCTGGTCAGGTGAGTCAGACAAGTTGATACAGCTTTTGGATTTCGGCTCCTCACATATATGCACTAGCTTGCACTGCATTGTCACCTGAACCCTGATGCGATGTTGGCTGACTTTTCACGGGAATCTAGGATGAGTACTCGCTCTTGAATAGCAAGCATTTCATTGGTGTACATGGTTACGTTCTTGTTTACTCGGTTTCCTCGACTTCGTCTTTCGAAATGGTTCAAGTCATCAGAGACAAACTCGTCAACCACCTTGTAAGTCTTCAATGCTGTATCCTCGGTCACTTCGTACTCACCGTGCAATAATAGGGCGTCGAATGGATCCCTTGTGTCCTCGTTGGCAACAAGAGTGACTTGCGCCCAGACCAGCGTCAAGTCTCCGTCGCGCAGGGTAAGGCACTTGCTGAGAAATTCGACTGCGCCTACACGGAGACCAGCGCCCGCTACAACGAGAATGTCGGCAAGGCGTTCGAGATGGCAATCGGCGAGGTTGAGAAGCAGAACAACCCGAATAAGCCACCAGGAGGGAACGTGTGTATGGTCATGTAAAGGGGGGGCGGGGGGAATCTGTTTCCCGGATAGGAAGATTCAGAGTTACATCACGATTTCCTGCATGTCTGCTGTCCTCCGCTTGGCGTTAGGAGAGGAATGAGATTTGTTTCCGGCGTTTGGGTAATGATCAGTGGTCTTACACCTGGAGGAGAGAGGCTGTGGAAGGCACGGAGCTATGATCAGTCAGTCTTGGTCTGGTCTGGTCTGATGTAGATTGGAGGGTCTCGCGGTATGCCGTCTGCATCGAGATAGGTACAAAGAGTTTGTCGAACATCTGAGAGAGAAGCTCACGTGCAGCTTATGGAGAGCTCGAATATTATATTCAACTAAAGACTGATGCTCATATTCCCCGACTATTTACTTACCTACAAAGTACCTTGTACTGTGCCCCCCCCCTCAATTGCCCTCCGACTGACACGTGAGCAGCTAGTAAATAAAGTATGGGCCTGCCCGCACCAAACAACCCCTGCTACAAAATTACCCCACCAAGATATCGTTGCTCTGACTCTACGAATATCTACCTACAACCCGCCTTCCCACAAGAAATAACTCAAGATACGATACCCCCGACTGAGCGGGCAGCTTTCACTTTACGTGCCGACAACCAGCACACCCCGATAACCTCATTCGAGAGTACGTTGACGCGCCAGCATGCTCGACGTATTCGATTTCATCAAGGAGAAGGGGGGTGATCCCGAGAAGATCAAGGAGTCTCAAAGACGGCGGTGCGCGCCAGAGGAAGCTGTTGATGAAGTCATATCTCTTTACGAAGATCACCGCAAGAGTGGGTAATATCTGAGAGGTTGGTGGGATCTGAACTGACAGCTTTCAGCTCAATACGCCGCTACCCAAGTCAACACCAAGATCAACGACACCCAAAAACAGATTGGCGTCAAGAGGAAGGCTAAGGAAAATGCGGACGACCTCATGAAGGCGAAGGCCGACTTCGAGAAGGAGAAGAAGACGTTGGTAGAGCTCGCGGCTGAGAAGGAGCTGGTCTTGAAGAAGAAGATTGGTACAATAGGCAACATTGTCCACGACTCTGTGCCAGTCAGTGACAACGAGGTATTTTGGCGCGCGATTCTATCACAGAATTCTCTTTAATAGCTTTCTAGGACCACAACGCCGAGCTACGGAAATGGGCGCCAGAAGGCATAACAGTCGAGAAGCGCGACGTTCTTTCCCACCATGAGGTTCTGACGAGACTAGACGGCTACGATCCCGAGCGAGGAGTGAAGGTTGTTGGACACAGAGGATACTTTTTGAGGAAGTGGGGTGTGTTCTTGAACCAGGCCTTGATCAATTACGGACTGGAGTTCCTCGACTCGAAGGGATACACGCCGTTACAGACACCACAGTTTATGCTGAAAGAGTACATGGCAAAGACCGCGCAGCTGGAGCAGTTCGATGAGGAGTTGTACAAAGTTGTGGATGGAGATGCGCAGAACGACAAGTACCTTATTGCGACCTCTGAACAACCGATTTCTGCCTTCCACGCAGACGAGTGGTTGGTTCCGAAGGAGTTACCCATCAAGTAAGGTCTGCCACGAGTTCTTGTGCTGGAGACCTGCTAACGTTTTCGGAAAGGTATGCTGGATTCTCCTCGTGCTACCGTAGAGAAGCTGGTTCCCATGGTCGTGATGCCTGGGGAATTTTCCGCGTTCACCAATTTGAGAAGGTACGCGTTCAATTCTATACCACTTGGGGAACACTATTGACTCAGCCGCCAATAGATCGAGCAATTCGTCCTTACCGACCCCGAGAAGTCATGGGAAATGTTCGATGAAATGATTGCCTTCTCAGAAGAGTTCTACAAGTCCCTTGGAGTCCCATATCGTGTCGTCGCTATTGTCTCTGGAGCGCTCAATAACGCAGCTGCCAAGAAGTACGATTTGGAGGCTTGGTTCCCCTTTCAAGGCGAGTATAAGGAGCTTGTGTCTTGCTCGAACTGCACAGACTACCAGTCTCGAGCTCTGGAGATCCGATACGGTACTAAGCTTCAGACGGAGATCCGAAAGAAGTATGTTCACGCATTGAATTCAACTCTCTGCGCAACGGAGAGAGCCTTGTGCTGTCTATTGGAAAACTTCCAGACCGAAGAGGCATGCGCCCCCGCTGTGTTTTCGTAGGCAATAGCTAACGTCTGCAAAGGGTTTCAAGGTCCCAGAGCCACTCCGAAAGTACCTCCCTGGAGCCCCCGAATTCCTTCCATTTACCAAGGAGCTGCCAAAGGATACTACATCTCAAAAGGCGAAGGCTAAAGGTGGCAAAGAGGCATCAAAGCCTAAGACAGCGCCCGTCGGAGCTGCTCCGGCGGAAGCTGCAGAGAAGCTAAAGGATCTCCAAGTCTGATCCGATGGCATGATTAGATGGAATTTTTGCGTGGCATTTGATTCTCCATATCGTCTGGGTTTGCCCATGGCACAGTTTGATGATACCACGAAAGTTGTAGATCCTGTCTCCAAAGATAGAGGATGGTTTGGAGAGCAAATATGACCATATCCTTGCCCATATTCATGATTTCGAACTCGTTTGTTGTGATGCACTATTGAATGCTGCTGTCGGTTAAGCGACATGTAATGGATTCAATATGCCACACCGGCTCTTTCCTCCCGTCCGAACCATGAACCACAAACATATTTTATCTCCTAGTTGACTTTGCATTGAATGCAAGACGATCTCGGTGCAACATGCCTTGAAGTGACGGAATTCACCCAGACGACCTGACCCTGGCTTCCTCCTTGTAATGAATAACGACAGCCGAGACGCCTCACCGTAACCTCAGAACCAGGACGAGGCTGACGACAACACCCGCCCACCCAGCAACGCGCCATGATGGACCAGGCAGACTCAATAAGCTGTCCCTTCTGCGGATACAATGCGGAGGGTGAATATCAGATTATGGCAAGTTTCTTTCCATGGCCCCGTATATAGCGCCAATATGCCACAATCATGGTTGCCGCTGACCCGTTTCCAGCTTCACATGGAGTCCAAACATCCCGAGGGCGATGAGTCGCCGTTTATCGTCAAAGATGATGCGGCCAGCGTTGCAGCTTTAATCGAGTATGACTCCAGCAGCAACGAAGACTACGTGCTCTGTCCTGTCGACGGATGCGGAGAGGCTTTAATGCTGGCAGAGCTCGAGAGTCACGTCGAAATGCACGAGGAAGAGCAAGACACCGGGAACTCAGAGGTCCTGTCGAGTCGCTCGCCCAAACGCCTGAAACTTGACCCGGAAATAAAAAATTCTTTCAGTAGCAAGCTGTCGTATGCGCTCCGCAATATTGGGGATCCCGACGACGAAAGGCCGGTTTCTGATGTCTCGAGCCCAGATCGAAATGCTTCGGTGAAGGATGCTTGGAGGAAGGTACTGAAGATGCCCGAGAGCAGTTCTTCTAAGGTGGGATCAGCTAATATGATCGACGGCCCAAAACCTGTACGGCGCCGCCTTGGAGTAAGTCCTCCCTCTTCGCGATTCATATCACGTGAATCTGACTCTACTGCAGAAGTCGGAGCTGGGTCCGCACCATGCAGAGAAGCAGATGCCAGAATGGCTAGTCAAGGTCCTGCAGAAAGACGGTGATTATCAGCTGATCGATATCCGCGACGGCGATGGAAAGTTACGGAGAATCAGATTCTGCCCGAACCAAGCTGCTGGGATCATACCCATCATCGAGCAATTGGTCTACCAAGACGACCAGGTTGCTTACGCGTACTTCTGCCATCCTGCAACGAAACATGTCTCCAAGCTTCGAAGAGAAGGTACCTAGATCAATGGATCATGACACCGCAGGATCGTGTTGACAGGAACAGGTGGCTTTTGCGGTTACCGCAATATCCAAATGATGTGTTCCTACATCATACGCGCCGAGTCGCAAGGGCATGAAATCTTCAATGGAAAGATTCCGACGATCTTCCAGATCCAAGATTACATTGAGCACGCCTGGGATATGGGTATTAATGACTCCGGCCGTATTGAGACGGGTGGGATCCGAGGTACGAGAAAGTACATTGGAACTCCAGACGTGAGGACCTCCACAAATGTATATGTTTCAATCTCTGACAATACGAATCTAGGCACAAGCAATGTTCTGCTCCTTGGGAATAGCGTGAATCCCTCTAGCCAATATTCTCCCTTCACTTGCTAACAGAGCAAAGCTGTGATGCCCAGGGTATGAAGACAAGAAGAAACCAGGGACCCGCTTACGAATTTCTCTTCAATGCCGTAGAAAGCTACTTCATCGACGGCTGCACTGACTACGACCATAAGGTCCGCTGCACCGACCTCCCGTCTGTTTACTTTCAACATCCAGGTAGCTTATCAACTCCCCCGCTTGTTTCCAACATGAACTAACAATCGTCGCAGGTCACTCCATGACAATCATAGGTTTCGAGAAGAGGAAGGACGGATCGAAAAACCTCATCGTCTTCGATCCCATGTTCCACGACGCTACGAACATAACAAGGTTCATCGGACAGTCTTTCAAGCACAGCAATCCGAGTGATCTACTGAAGGCCTATCGACGAGGTGTGAAGTATCTCAAGAAATACGACTCCTTCGAGCTACTGAAGTAAGCCTCCCATCTTCTCCACCGGAAATCCGCAATCAGAAGATGCTGGCTGACTCATGGTTTAGATTGACACCACCACCGAACCCTAAAAAAAAGAATGTTGACAATACGAATACCCCGATGCCGAAGCAGAGACGATGATGGAAAATTTGGCGTTGACGTGATAGGTGATGGCATCTGCCGGCTTTGGAATGGGCGGGCGTAAACACAATTTGCTAGGGCCGGGGCTGGGAGGAGCAAGACTGGCATTGGCATTGGCATTATGTACCGCTCTGGAGTTGGAGCACTACCAAACTAGGGTACCGGGAATCGAATCAGATCTCACATATACGTACCTACTTACGTACTACCAGTCTGTCTGTTGCTGTGAGGTCGTGAGAGCAACAGATATCCTCCATCGAACTTTTTGAATCTTTTGAATATTGATTGTTAATTGTTTTGTTTCTTTATTTTGTTGCATGGTTGGGTTGAGTGGAGCAGGTTGAGGGAGTCGAGAGTAAGACATGCTGAGATGGGAGGAGGAGAGAGGAGATGGGAGAGAATGGAGGATCATGTCACGTACATTCGCCCCCGACCCAGAGAGGGATGTTGTCGCCGTTGGCTGCTATATCGTGGGCAGCGGTTACCTCACGCCCCCAATTTTTTTCAAGTCTTGACTAAGGAGCCCGGGAGGGAGGGAGGGAGGTAGGGACGGAAGGCATCACTCACCCGCGTCCGCGACGGTTGTACAATCCGCCGTGGGATCCCAAGCTGGCCTTTTCTCTCTAGCATCTGTACCAGGGGTCGTGCTTGCGGAAGTAGGTGGCGAGCGCCCTCTTCTGGTCGTCGGGCGCCGGGTAGAGGTTGCTGGAGCCAGCGCCGGGGGGAATAGGCCACGCTGTACGGCTGGTCTTGGGGCTCCGTTGCAGGCTGCTTCGGGCTCGTGGACTGTGTGGTTTGGGTAGAGCCTTGGTGGACCCGACGTTGGTGATGTACGGGCAGCTGGGTCACGGCTTTGCGTTGGTGATAGCTCGTGGCGTGGCAGCCGCAAGCAGTGAGGGTGTCGGGGGTTCTTACTTTTTGGGCCACGCAGGCTTGAAGATCGTGTTCTTTGGGCCCAGACACATTTCTCTGTCCGATGACCTAGGGCCCCCGACACTGCTGTCTCCCGAGGCGCATGGCAGTGAGACGCCTTGGAGTCCGAGTTTCGTGAATCTGCGACTCGCTTAACGGTGTATATAGGATCTTGGGTGGTTTTGATTCTGCACTTACTCGTTTACACTGTCTTTGCTGGTAATAAGCTGGGAAGATCGGATTCCTGGCCGCTTTATGATACAGAGATTACATTTGCTGGCTGTACCACCCGCGTTGGTTCACAGCTCCCAAAGATCAGAGGATATCTTGAGTTGGTAAACACCACACATGAGATCTCCCTTGTAGGCACCCTCAATATCGATCGTGTTGGGATTTACAGGGTCAAGTTGCGCTGTAGGGCGTTAGTCTTCGGAACTGTTCGCTTCCGGGCTATCATCTCACGGTCGTTCCCAGTCTCTCCAAAGGCCGAGTAGCTGCAGTAAGACTGTCGTGTGTATGAGTGTATGAGTAAAGGGGCTGAAATAGAAGGACTGCACGACTCCATACTCCGTCTAGAGCGTCGAGAAAAGTGTTGAACTGAGGCGAGATTAGCTATAGAAGCAGAAGACCAGGAGCCGATGATCAGATTGGAGGGGGAGATGGTCGGAGATGGACTCACCGCGCCAATTGCCGCGGACCCGATTTAGCTGTAGTAGATATCGTCCTTCTGATACAGTGTCAGGTTCTGGGGGTACACGAGGGGATAAGCGAGAGTGAGACCAAGGGCTGATTCTCCGCCTCCGTCCCAAGTATCAGTGGGAGCTGTTCCCCCGTCAATGGAGGCGAGATTTGGATGCGTGCCGTTGGGAATTATCGAGGTGAGGTTTGAGAAGAAACTATCGAGATCTTCTTCAGCGTAAGTGTCGCCAGTTTCAAAAATTCCAAGCGCGTTGTCCGACCGTGGTCTTCCGTCGGGGTAGCCAGGAGTCTCGGGAACTTTGTGAAAAGCTTTAATACAGGCAGGAGTAGTCCACTGGTCGCACTTCGAGAGGTCACCGGCCACAGAGATGGAAGATCGGCCTTGGAGTCGGGCTGGATGGAGATGTCGCGGAATCCGTTCCTCGATAGACTTCTTTTGACGGGGGCAAAGAGCTTAATGCCAGAGATGATGTAGTCTACATGTTCCTGGGTATGATGTGGAACATGGTAGCTATACCGGAGTCAGTTGGAGCTAGGAAATGTGAAGTGAAGCGGAAGAGATGATGAAAAGAAGATTATTGACGTGTCGCAAGTAGGCACCATATGCTCACCATCTTGATGCTCATAGATATGATACTGGGTATGCAGCAGACTGTCATCCAGGCTGGCTATCTCCGTACGTATTGAATTTCCCCAGCGGTCTAGTGTATCTCGTAGGAGAAACCGGATAGAGATGAGAGGCCTGGTATAACGAGAGCGATTCCGCTTCATCACTTTGGGCAAAGGGAGAATCCGTCATTTGTTGGCTATGTAAAACGATAAGCCGTAGCTATTGGTATTGTTTGCTTGATTGAGAAAATGAAATGTACCGATGAAGTACTACGGATAGGTTAATATGAGGTGAAGTGACGTTGACAGAAGATATGGCTGGCTTCGGTTCGAGGTTGCGGTCGAGTTGTATGCCCCTACTCGGCCGTTTTGCCGCGAGTTTGACGTCTCCCAACGTTACAAAAAAAGTGGCAATCGTGCTAAAGTAACACAGAGCCTGTGAGCAGCCTGAGGAGTTAGAACACGAAGCTCGACAGCCTTAAATTGCACGATAGATCAACCAGAAATACACCAGCATCGGTGTACCCCTGTCGACTTTCCAGAAGCTCCTACTCGCATGCTTCTGGGGGTATTTTTCTTCAAGTGCTAGGCCGTCTTATATTCCAGTTTCTTTCCCTTTAGTTCTGTATAGTATCGCAGGTAATCCAAACCACTTTCCTCTTGGACGCTAGTAATGAAAGACTTAGCCCCGTAACCGCTACCATAAATGCCGATTGACACCGAAGTGAGATTGCTTTCATAGAGTCTAAAACCAGACGGAGAAACAGAGTTTCATGAGTCTCTGATTTCATTTATTATACTAAAACATGCCCAGTAACGCTGTCATGTGTGCTCAAGTGCTACCGTGTCGACAATTTATAAGACTTTGCAGTGTACACAAGAGCATGCCATGAACAATGTAAATTTACTAACCTCCAACTAATTTGTCTTTTTTTAGATTCATATGATCGCCAGATACTCCTACAATCCAATCATTTTGAGTAGTTTCTCTGACTCGAGAGCTTCACTCTTTTGTTTAGAGAATTTGTATGCTTTAGCAAAGTCTTTCACATTCGAGGATATTAAATCCCTACCGACAAGTTGCTAGATATACAATATATAGCAACGCCAAAGTAGGAAGAATCAATCCTCTTCCCATGATTTTTGTGCATGATTGAGCAGACGGAGTATATCACCTTTTAGGCCCTCCTGACCTTTGAACCTTGGGTTCCGTGCGTGGAGATTGTTCACGACATTGCGCTGGTATCAAATAACTCGTATGTCTTACCCAAAGGCTCTCCTCTCCCTGTCTACTTACGCCTCACCACATTAAAAGATATTATTTTTTAACAATTTTTATTTTTCTTTGGAATAATCCAACCATCTTTTCAGATACCAGTAATTCATGACCTGCAATACTCAGCGAGTTCCTTGGCACCAAAGTCAACACTCGATAGATATACAGCTTCGAAGCCCATTTCCGGATGAGATCTACTGGCGAAAGCCATATCATCCCAGAAATACCGCCTCCATGCCCCCATAGTATTCAGTAAACAATCTAGCGCCCCCGGCAATCCTTTCACAGTGCCCCCGTTACCTCAAGTCAAGGCTGGCTGGCTGGCCGGCTTAAGACCCTGGCCAGAATTGAAATTCGAAGAACAAGCACGAACGTATCCTACGAGCTAATCATCTCTTCGGCTGACTGTTGTAGTAAAAAAGCCATGCGTGTATGAAATTTGGGTATACTCCGCAGCGAGACCCGCTGCTGCCGTGAGTGAGTGAATCTGAATCTGAATCTCTCAAGCCTTTCTGACCGACAATGTGGCATGTAGCACATATCCGATGCGAGTTTTGACTATGATCAGAATACACCATACACCATCTTGGTACCATCTTCGCATACGATCGATCATCCCTCGATCTTAGTTCAAGAGAAAAACCGATGACGATAATGATGATGATGATGATGATGATGATGATGATGATGATGATGATGATGATGATGATGATGATGATGGTGATGGTGATCAATCCCTCTCTTCTGCCGCCTTCCCATCCGGCCCGTAAGTAGTGAAGAAGGCCAGCCCGGCCCAACACCAACAAAAAAATCTGCTGAAGTATTCCAGTATTGTCTACTCAAAACCAAGCTTGAAAGACTTCTGACATCCAGCAGGCGGGATGGCTTGCTAGGCAAGTCGTCTTTAGATCAAACTGGACGGATCAATTGGGCCCTTGGGATCCGGAAACGGTAAAAACCTATTCAGTCAACTTAGGTATCTAGAACCTCCTATCGGTATAGGGGCTTCGGGAGAAGTTTTGCAATTTTCTACCTTTTCTTACCCCCTCGGTTTCCTCGATTCTCTTTCTGTCTCGTGCGCGGGGGGTGTTATTTTTTTATTATTATTTTTAGGAGGGAGTACCGAGCAAGCGCTTCCTCTTCCCATCCATCTCCGGCCCTCCATGCCTGGCACCAGATGCGAACTTCTAAGAAAAAAAAAAAAAAACCACAGAACACAGACACACTGTACACACACTGGAAAGCTCTGCGGCGGCAAGTCATTGTATTTCAAAGTCAGACCAGAAAGAAAGCGTAGATTCGAGCGCTAATCATAATTTTTTTCTACCTATAACAAGTATATCTCTCTCTCTTTCTCCCTCACCCACGTCCATTGCCCCGAGAACCCGAGAAAAAACCCGAGAAAGAACCCGAGAGAAAGAGAGATAGGGATATCTGCAGCAGCCCTTTCTTGTAATCTCGGCTATCCACTACAAATACGAGTAGATATATACCTACCTATCTACTAGCTTGAGATGGAACCGTACTATTTACACACATTTTTAGACGTCCGTCTTCCGCCTCTACCTCCTCTCTTTCCTTCTCTTCCACATGGCACGGAGCGCGGCCGACCTTCCTCAAAGATAAGGACAGGACAGGACTACAAAGGGGGGACTACTACATCGGACTCTCCATTCGTCCAGAAGAAAAGATGGGAAGAGTGAGTGAGTGAGTGAGTGAGTGAGTCAGGGCTTGCTTCGCGGGAGCCCGTAGATGACGAGACGTGGCATACGTGTGACGCAGAGTTGGTTCTGAAGGGAGGAGTCTGCGCGAACATACCCACGGTACAGGCCTAAGTATTACCCCTCGAGGGTGCCTTAAAAGTTTAGTTTCCACTTTAAAGCCCCTGTTTTCCCTACCCTCGAGGGGTAATACTTACGCCTGCGACGTAGTACTAGTACATGTGGCATCGTGCATCGGTTTGAAACTTGAATGTCGGTGAGAATGGGCGTGTGGGGGAGGGAGGGGGGGAAAGGCGGGGAGTCTGGGAACGATTCCGGATTCCCAGGCGAGTCGAGTTGATGCAGATGGCAAGCAAGAGTGTTTTGAGATAAGAGTTGGTTGTGTGGAAGGGGGTGATCCATCAGGTTCCGTTGGTTTGCAGAGAGCTGCGGCTCCTGCTTCTGGTATTGTCGGATGACCCGGAAAGGAAAGGATGTATCATATCTTCAGCGCAATTGTGATACATCTCACGATGGTTTCGAAGGAACAGTTGGTAAATAGTCAGGTCTCGACTCGAGGCGCCTGGTCTTGGAAGGGTTCGATAAATCAATGGAATCCTTTGAACTTTATTCTAGCATAAGGGTCCATTTCTTGTTATTTACATCAGGGAGGGACCCTGTGCTTCCTGGACAAAAAAATGGGGAAAACGAGCAAAAGATATAGCCGAGCCTGGAAACTGCTTTTATCATTTTCGCCCTGTTTAAACAGGAGTGAGCGAGCCGTTGTAGATAAGAAACTTCTTTTACCTATTCCTTTTTCGAAACACCTTTAACAAGCGTGCTATGAGCACTCTATTAAGCTCCTTATTCTTAGTCGCTCCTTTTGTTCAAGTTGTTTAACGATTGCGAAGAGAAACTCGACGCTAGCGTAGCGCTATACGTCCGCAAAAGGTAGTTTAGCAACGAGAAGAGCTTCGGGCTTAAACTCGCTGGTCCACTTTCGGTCGCCCTCTTCTCGAATCATATCTCATATCACCTTTAAAATCTCTTATCCCATCGACTGTACGTAGATGCACCGTAGACTATGTGTAGACTATGTGGGCCCTCGCTTATACTTATAGTTTTTTAAACCCCTGTGCACAGCCCAGAGATCTCCGGTAATACTTCGGAATATTTCAAAACCCAAACTCTCTAAACTCCGTGATACGTAGTATTTTGTTAGCTTCGGTGATAATCACCCAAACGTTATCGCAAAGTAAGGGCGGCGAGGAGGGGGAGGGGAAAGAAGGGGAGCTGAAGAGCATATTCTACATATTCTACTATCTGTTTGCTTACTAATCTAAGTCATCGAGGACGGTTTCAAGTTCGGGGACGCCTATAAGTCGGCTTTAAGACGGTCCTAGAACGGTCCCCAGACGGTCTTCTGACGTGAAAAACGAGCTTTACAAACGAAGATTTAATTGATTAAAATGACATCACTTTAGTCAATGTTGTAATTATATTCTACAAAATCTACGCGCTGGGACGCGTTGGATTGACGTTGAGTGATCCACACTCTAGCGTCTCCACATCCGTGCACGGTGTATCTACGGAGTACAGTAGATGAGATGACCTTTAAATATTAGGTTCATCTGTTGAAACCTTTTTTTAAAACCTTTTTGTCTTAACACGACTCGAAGTAAGCGGCCGCTATTTCGGGATTTCTTTTGTAAATCGGTATCGACCGACGACGAATAATGATAAAGTATTCTCGAAGAGTTATAAAGGCCTTCATTATGCTGCGTATTTATCGTGCGCGATAGCGGTCCGCAGCGCATTTATCGTAAAGATGTATCGACGCTAATTTCGAGCAATATAATGAGTACAAAAGAACGGTTATCGGTTCGAGGAAGGGATTCGAGTCGGTTAAGGGTGAGGCCGAAATGCGAAGGTCAAGCCTTTTTAGTCGATCGAGGGGGGGATTCGATCATGTAAAAGCTTCGCAGACTCGATCGTATTGTAGGCTGAAAGCCCGTCTCTCGAAGGCAGTGTAATATCGAGCAGCGCGGCTGCAGCCGGATCGAGTCAATTTAAGGTTATCGTGAAAGTTTTCATCGAGCTAAGACCCGATCTTTTTCTTACAACCATCCCGATTGATTCGATTTCGGCTCTCTACGGAGGTACAGCGGTTAAGTGTCTTAACCCTCGTCGACCCACAGCCACTTTTCCTAACCTAATTGGGTTCTGTTAAAATGAGGTTCCTCCAAATTTCGTGCCTAGCGATCACGTTATTGCCCAAGTGGGTTAGAAATATTAGCCGTGGTAACCGCTGTACCTCCATAGACAATACAAGATTGACTACAAGGCTGAAGGCTCGTAAGAGGCACCTCGTATAGGTCCATAATCGAGCATCCCGGAATCTAGCTTTATTCAGGAAGAACAAACGCGTCATCAGAATGCCTCCGGAAAAGCTTCCGGAGATAGCTCCTGGATCGTGTGTACTGTGCATTGGTCAGTTTTCTCTTCCAGAGCTACCCCGAATCACCCACCTGCAGACAGATTGAAAGTATAATATATCGCAACCAAGCCATATTACTCATGAAATAGCGGACGAGAAATTCATACAGGGGCATCGTCGACTAGAAAACATTTTCTCAAATCGCCCTCGCTTGATATTACCTAGCACGAACAATAAAGTTCAAAGAAATCGAGCGATACGTGAAACCGCAAATCCCTCCTCGGACCCGAATTTCAATTTTCTTGTTTCAAACTCGAACCGCCAACGACAAGAATTGCATTGAGGGCCTAGAGCGTTTCGGCGCCGGTCATTCACATACTCGCTCGAGACCAAAATCATGGCCGTCGTAAAAGCATAATTGAAATATAGTCTTCAAAGAAGATCGATGTTAATACTCTGGTCCATAACACAGTGTCGGAAGAGCTATTGTATTGTAGCTAGGGAACAGGGATAGATATTGGCAATTGCTCCCGCCTGGAATCTCTACAAGCACAACGAATTGCACTTTTGCAATTGTTGAATTCTGCAATATCGTATACACCTTGCGATGATACGACAGCGTCTTGATTAGGGCCCCTTGATTAGGACCACCTCGCCTCGACTCCGAGCAGCAAGCATCGGCTCATCACGCAGTAGAAGTTCTTCCTCGATCTGAGCTGCGGCGTAGACGACCGCCGAGGCACTAAAATCAATCACAGCCTCCCGAAACTTTAAAAGCCTGCAGCACTACTGTAAAAATGCAGCAGCAACTTGCTACATGTGGTCTTCGACCTTTGAGCCATTCTGCAAGCGATCTTTGCGCGTTACTTAGTATACGCCATGTAGAGCTGCACTATCAAGAGTCCGGGGAGTTGAACCAGGTCTGCGATCTAAGATCTTAAGCAGAAAGAGAGTTTGTCTTTGCTTCTTCATAATAAAGTTCCCGTCCGGAGTGGTTTCCGGACAGCAAAGATCGGAAATTTACGAGACGGAAGCGCAGATTCCAAGACTGCGATGGCAACTAGATGCTTCATTAGTGAGGTGGGGATGGGAAAGAAGGGGCGGGCCGAACCATCGCTGAAGATTTTGGCACTCTATTTTGAGTGCCATGCCTTGCCGCCGGGTAACGGAAGCTGATATGCGCCAGGGAAAGTATAAAAAGGGATGATGTTGTTAATGCTCATCGCATGTTTTGATGGTGACGACACGTTCAGAAGCAGTACAGGGTTAGATTCTGCGAAACAGAGAGACACAGAGGGATTGATGAAAAGTACCTAGAGTAGCTGTGATCTTGGCTCCGAGCCATGTGGTTTTCAACTTGCCATAATGATTTAGACCTCGCCACTGTCGTACGATCTGGCCTAGAATAGAAACGGCCGAGGCAGGTCGGACGCCGATCAGCAACAGAATAGAGCCGTGAGATGGCTGCAGTACATGCAAGTAGAGCTTAAGCAGTAACAAGAGAGAAGATAGCCAGAGGCTCAAATAAGACAGCAATGTATTGATTGTGAAGACACATGTTTAAAATTGCACCTTAGAGGGGTTGAGACCATAGTGTTATGTGAGAGAATAACGACGTACTAACCGGCGCTGGCGGGTACACCTTCCGGGGTAAGAAGGAATTGCACTCGCAATACAAAGCCCAGCCACTGGTGATTTATTGACAGTACCCAAAGGGCATCTGTAGCAGGATATAGCATAATCGCATGAGGCCCCCATGGCTTTTCTCCTGGGTAAGAGCTCTGCAGCATCAACCCCTTTAACCGCAGATCTATGCCATCATGACTGGAAATGTGGTACATCTCACGGATAGCCACACTTGTTTTCCGCAGAGATGAGATGGGTTTTCAATGCATTTGCGCTCCAGAACAACAAGAAACCCAGATTCTATGACTTAACGAGAGACGCAGAGCGCCGAGCCGCAGCTTATAGATATCGCTTGCTCGCAGTTCTGAGCTGGGCACGCGGGTCTGAGCATTGGTGGAGGTGATGTTCCAGATGATGTTAGAAGGGTTGTTCGTTCCTTTCAAATCCTTTGGCTCCCAGCGGTGAAGTATCGGGCACAACATCTTTCTCTCAAAGTGTAAATCGGAACGGGATTTGAGCGGCTCGCAAAGTCTGACCACAGGCTTTTGAAATCAGAACATCTTGCAGTCTTTGCAGCGGCCAGAGTCCGAACCGAAATCATCCCTTAACCCTCGGACGAAGAACTTTTCGCAATGAATATGAGACGCTGCATCCAACACCTCCCCCCAAGAGTAGCTGGCAGAGGGCGTTGCTGAGTTGCTGATTGGGCTACCGGCTTGAACCAGTTTAAATGGCCTAATTCTGCAAATTTTGCGAAGCCATGCGGTGGTGCATCGAAATGACAGTATTCTGACAGATCACAATTTTTGAGTCACTTGCGTTGGCCTACTTCCGCTGACCGTACTTCGAAATTACAAATCGGGAGGGAGAAAATGACTGAAACGGAAAAAGCCGTTTGAGACGCTGAGGCCATGTTCATCCGGAGAAAAAGATTATCGTAAAAGGTTGTTGCCGCACAGCCCGGCAATCCCGTCTCACCGCTGGTCCAGTTCTCGTTTGAAGTTACCGTTTTAAGAATGCGAAGGTATTGGCAAGAAGCAGACGCACTTGTGACGCTGAAGAGCATGTGCGGTGCTGAGCTTGGAAGCCAACGTGGAGAATTTAACGTGGCTGCGGATGATGTGCCTGGCGATTTGCCGCGCTTCTACTGTGACGGGCTGTTCAACCACCCCAGCCCGGCCACTCAGCCCTGGGCAAATACTCGCCATCCGAGTGGACCCGGAACGATCGCGCTTTGATCTTCGTACGATTCGTTCCTGCTCGATCAGATACTGCATACCCCGGAGATCGAGCATTTCCCCGAGGGCGAAGACGCAGCTGACCACAGAATCCGATCATCGATGCAGGTAATCCTGAACAGGGCACGGTACTCGCCGTGGTGGCATTTGCAAAAGATCTGTCAAGGGTAGTCAGTCGGTGATGGATCTCCGCAAGGGTATTGGTATTCAAGGACTGCGCTTCCCCCATCTTGCGCCTCTGGCGGGAACTTGAAGGAAGGTACCGGTATCGTATCCCATCCGCTAGAGTAATATAGCCGACTAAGTTGACGAGACAGTCTGGCCATGCCGGTGCGATGCGTTGGTTGTGGGTTTCTCGTGGCTATATCGGCCGTTAGAAACTCAACTCCTATCGTAGTGTAGTGGCCTCGTTCCCTATGACCCAGGCGGTGCGCTACTTGAAAAAAGGAATACTGCTGCTGAACGAGGCGAATAGTGTGCACCCTCGTTACTGCATTCCTCATCGCTAAAGCGGTCTCATTCCGTACTCCGTAGATACTCAATTTGTGCTCGAGCATTATTAATCTACCTCCCAGTAATCAGCGTGGGACCCGCAGCTTTTGGTCATATGGCCCGGGGCCGAGCAACCGCTTATATCGCTCTCGGGTGCACATAAACTGCTGTATCGATAAAGTGATACCGTTCATTGTCGGCATCATGGCGGCGATAGTATTGGCATTCGAGTCGGGTGATACAGTACAGGTAGGTGGTGGCGGCGACGAAGATAGGGTTGTAAGTACGAAGTAGGTGTAAGCAATTGAATGTAAGTAAGTGAGTAAAGTAAATTAAAGTAGCTCTGCAGCTCTGCACCGGACCTTAGCGCCGATCCAATATTGTTATTCACGTGATATTGTTATCACCTGATCCGACTCGGCTCCACCTATTTTTAGCCGAGCTTTCTTCTCGCAACGTTTGCCCTAGTGATTCAACCAAACTCGCGCACGGTTTGTTGACGCTGCCGTTGCCGTTGCCGTTCGAGTTTCTAACAGCCGCTAGGTACCTATCCTATCCTATCCTATCCTATCCTATCCGACCCGCGTCTCTCACTCAAGGCTCAAGGTACTTAGGCATAGGGCATACCGTCGGTCCAGCTGCGGGATTATCTTGGTCCCGGTGGAAGTCAAAGACATGGCTTGCTCCCCGCGCGCAAATGATAGAAGTATAGGTGCATATATTTACACACACAATATATATATATATATATTCGGTACAACTATGTGTGTATACGTCCGGAAAATGCCTTCGCCACCCTACCAGAGTCGGCCAGTCGGGATTGACTCCGGAGGATCTTTAACCTTGTCGTACGCAGCTTAACTCAACCACAGAGTCGGGATTGCCCAGGGTACGGTGGTGCTTTCGACTTGTGCTCGGGCCAGGTTGCTCGATCGATGGCTGTTCAACCTCTGATACATATCATCTTCGCCCGTTAACCGTGACGTTATGAGATGGGATAGGATGTTCCTGAAAACGCCACCGGACGGGAGACGAACGGACCTACGCAGCATCTATCTATCTATCTATCTATATGCGACGATTAGGTGGCTGGCCTCCTGATTTCCCGCTCGGCCCCGGGCTGTGCGGTGAGTCCATCACCGCAACGGATCTGATGCAGTGAATCGAACGGCGATCCTACTCGCCCAGCGCCCAGCGACACGAAAGGCCAATATGTTCGAGGCTGTTGGGCTGTTGGCCTATGAGAACGAACACCAGAGGAGCAGGTGTGTATTGTGTGCAAGGAATCTATCTTCACAACATCACCACCAAGGTTGCGTTGCGCAGATTTCAGTGGATCGGGCTTGAAGCGTGGATTCAAAGCGGCTGGCTGGAATTTCCCAAAGCCTATGGAGATGGAAAGACGTCCACAGGTGCACCGTGTCCAGTTCCCATCGGACATCGTGGCCCCGCCTGGTCCTGCCATCACGATGGTATGGGTGGATGTAGGTGTGGGTGTTCGACTGCAAATATATATACATATATGATACATATATATGTATACATATGTATCATATATGTATATACGATATGCTCGATTCTCATCTTGGTCAGATTTTCATGCAAACGAGAGTTCCGCGGCTGAGCGCTTCCTTGTTCCCCGGCCACACGCATACTGCACCAGGTCCGACCGGGGTGGAGGGCGTTTCCGTCAGATTTCAACCTCGTGTCGCTGACGACATCTCACCTGGTGGTCTACTCTCCTCTCTCCCTCTCCTCTCCTCTCTTCTCAATCTCTTCCTGGATCGCGGCTCCTTGACACTCCAGTCTACGGAGTACGTCGCAGCCGCAGTATGCGCCGAGAAACAGAATCTCCGGCGCCCACCAACTTGATATATCAGTACGTGCGATGTAATGCAATGGATGCGTGTTACTACATCCACAGCTACAGTACTCAGAAGATGTGGAGTGATAACAGAGCTGTGGGTAGTGGTAGTGATGTGATGTGATCGCCAGAGCCAGAGCCAAAGCCAGAGCAAGAGAACGTCCTGACCACCAGGTAGGGCTGGACTAGACTGGGGACTTTTCTTGCAAGACCCGGACTTACACTATACCGTCTGGTATCTAGTCTCTACATCTACATCTACCACTCCACTCTATCGTACTGTACTGTACAGAGAATGCTACTTGTCTTTTCGGTCATCTTCCTCGCTAACCCCCACGTCCACATCCACTCCACATTTACGTCTGCATCTGCGTCCGCGTCTGCGTCTGATAGCCGAAGCCAGAAAGCTAAAAGCCAACAAGGGTCCATATGCATCTCTAGTATTGTACTTCATTTGGCTTGGAGGCTCGCAAGATCCATGACCCCGGGGCATCAATGTCTTTGACCTCTCTTTTACATCTCTTCCGAGTCTCTTACGGAATCCATATCCACACCACATCCACTTCCTGGATTTCCACTCCCGCCTCCACTTCCACTGCACGATGCCTCAATCGATGGCTAGTCGTTCATCTGCAGCAGCCAATGCATGCACAGATATTGGGGTCCCTGTCTTGACGTGCGGAAAAGATATCATACACTACACCATCTCATCCCATCACATAACCAGAATCAGAACCAATTATACCCCAGTTTGGTTTGGTCTGTCTTGTTTATCATCCCATCCCATCTCATCTGTACTCTCGTCGTGACACATCCCCCGGTCGCAGACCTCCCCCCTCTCCCCCTTGTCAGCTTTGGCAAGTACTGGCACTCACTTCACTAGTGAGCTTGTCTACCCGTTGTTTTGTATGGAAATATCTTCATCCAACTAAATGCCTGACTCTTCATCGATCACGGCCTACCTTCCGGCCTGCCTGCCTGTACGGCAAGAGCCCTGGTCAGTCTCCATGTCCGTAAATGTAATGCGTCCAGGTATGGGGCCTGTCATTGGCGTCGTGTCAGTCGGCCACCGCGGGACGGCCGTTCTGAAAAATCGTTCAAGTCCAAGTGGGGGCTGATGAGCAGCCTTTTTGTATATGAGGGACATAGGACACCCGTCATGACGTGAAATAATGAGGAGCCAGTATCGTACATCCATCGATTGGCAACACTTTTTATTCCTCCTCAACCTCACTCAGAAAAAGTCACACAAACATACTTCCACAAGCCAACCACAGATATATCACAATATACCCACCGATCATACTTGTCGCTTTCTTCTAGAAAATTTTTGCCCTTCATATTGTTTGCTGCATCTAACACCTACCGTTTTTCTTCTTCTTGGTCTTGCTGCCTCACCTCTCGATCCGCCACCCTACGAACAACAAGAACAACGACGTCAACAACAGGAATCTCTCGCCCACTCCTCACATCCTAAAAGTCTTGCTTCCAGCAAGACAAAACCGGCAAGCTGGCAGTCATCAAGCACGGTTCGGGTCAGGCTTGGGGTCGTTGGCCGGAGCAGAGCGCGCAACAACCAATCCATACCTTTTACACAATGGATATCTCTGGTTTGGTTCCTTCGTACCATGACCATGATCGAACGGTCTCTTCTGCTGAGCTGAATGGGGCCATCATGGCGCCTCAATACGCACCTGTTCAGACCTACAGTGGAGTGACTACCCACAGCGTAGAGGTAGTTGCCCACCACCAGATGCAGCACCAGCAGCCGTTCAGCTACGATGGTCTCCACGGAGCCACTGCCAGCACCAACATCGTTCCGACTTTCGCGCCTGCAGCCCCCGCGAGCATGAATTTCATGCAGCAGAGGCCACTCGCACGCTTGACGCAAGGAGACACCGGGCATCAGCCAGCTTCCTATGTACACGTGCAGCTGGAACCGAGGCAGAGTTACTTCCAACAACATGCCAGTCGCAATCCTGCTATCAAGTCGGAGTCGGTGTGGCCAGTCACCCGCCCTGTTCAGTCTTCCGAAACGGCGAGCACCAGCAGAGTCATCCCAGATGAATCCAAAGAAATTGCTTTCCACACACCAATGGACGAGCTTATGAAAGTTATCCAGGCCAAGTCGCCAAATAAGCTACAACAGGAACCTTCCTCGGCTGGGCAGAAAAAACCAGCGGTAAGTCGCCCTCATTCGATTCATCGGGCCTTCAACAAGCTAACGGGAGAAGGCGGCCAAGAAGCGTTACCGATGTACCATCACCGACGAGTGCGACATGAGCTTCTCTCAAAAGACCCATCTCGACATCCACGAGCGAAAGCACACAGGAGAGAGGCCCTACGTAAGCCCCCACCAAAACTCCACTGCGTGAGATTTATATGCTGATTTTTACCCTAGTTCTGCACTTTTGAAGGCTGCGGTCTGACATTCTCTCAGCTTGGGAATAAGAAGGTATTTTACACCCAGCCCAGTCTCAGCTGGCACTCTCTCCCGAGAAGAGCATTCGTACTGATAGCCTCCTCCCTAGTCGCACGAACGTCTCCACACCGGAGAACGTCCATACAATTGCCCAAAATGCGACAGAAATTTCGCCCAGAAGGGCCAGGTGCGAGCTCACATGAACGTACATCTGGGAGTGAAGCCCTTCATCTGTCGGTTTGAAGAGAACGGAAAAGAGTGCGGGAAGCTGTTTACCCAGCGCGGTAACTTGAAGGTACGTTCTTTATCTTTTCTACTTTTCTCTATTTTTATTTTTTTCGCCCTTGGACGTCTCTTACCCAAGAATGTTGCACTCCGCAATCGTATAGTGGAAACTACTCCCTCTATTTCAACTCTGTGGCTTTGAACCCTTGATTGTTTACTTTTCTTTCTTTTTATCCCAGTCCACCTGTACCCCCTACACGCACTCTTAACCGGGGAAAAGAAAAGGAAAAAGAAAAAAGAAAAAAGGACAAGCCAGAAGCGAAGCTGACATTGTCTCCTCCACACAGTCCCACTGCAACAACTTTCACAAAGAAACCATCGCGGAGCTCACCATCAAGTTCGCCTCCACCGAGCCAGAGCAGATGACGCGCGCCGAGAAGGAGATGCGGGAGTACTTCAGCAACCTATTCAAGAACTCTAACAAGGGCATCAAGGGCCGCGGCGTAGGCCGCAAGATCAGCCACGGCTCGCGCGCGCTCCAGGCCCGCATGCAGGGCCTGAATATCGAGTCCTCGTCCTCGTCCTCGTCCTCCTCGTCCCGCAGCCGCAGCCGCAGCCGCAGTAGGTACCGCGCCTCGCCGCCGGGCTCCGCGCGCGCCAACATGGATGTGATGGCCATACAGGGCGGGGGCGTCGGCCCCGAGCACCAACACCACCTCCACAACCGGTACGAGATGTTCGAGGGCAGCGACGCCGGCAGCAGCAGCGGTAGCAGCAGCGGTAGCAGCAGTAGCAGCCAGAGCGACCAGTCCTCGATGCACTCGAGCCCGGGCTCGGACGCGTCGTACGAGTACTCCCACGCTGATGTGTTCGGCGAGAGCGAGCGCGTGCACATTCACTTGGCTTTCGGGGACCGGATGCCCTACTGATTGTCGGAAGCACCGGGAGGGTGGGGGAATGTAGATCTGAGATTTCGAATGGACGGGTGGGGCGGAGATACATGGGTGGATATCGAGGCGCCGTGGGGCGATGGGCAATGAGCATCCACAAAAATTGATGCACTAGCCCGGCCGAACGACCCTGACCGACTACGAGAGCTGCAGCACGATCGATTGGTGGGGTAGTGTATCAAACTCTCATTTCACGAGTACGAACACGAGAACGACGACGACCACGACGACCACGACGGCATGGACATAGAAAGCTGTTGATGAATGAATGGATAGCTGGACATATCGTGGAGGGAGGGTGGCGGGTGGGAATCACGTCTGGGCATCTATCGGCGGCTCTTTTTCTTTTCCTCTCTTCATTTCTTTTCTCCTCTTCTCTTCCTCTCTTCTCTTTCTCTCCCTAGAACTTTGGCTCGTTTGGCGCCCTTTTCCGTCTGCAAGTTTCTATTTTTCCGGTCCATCAATCTCAGATCTCCTGTTTTCTCTACTTTTTCTCCCATCTAAGAATCTCTCTAAAACACGACTTTGCAGCATCGAGTTCGAGTCGACATCAAGTCGCTAGTTTTCTTTTCTTTGCTTTACTTTGCTATTTGGGGTGGAGTGGCTTCGCTTCACTTCATATCGCCCCGTACATTTGTTTGCTCGCTTGAGAGTAACGGTATAGACAAGGAAAGGGTGCAGTAAAAAAAATCATCGCTTGTTTTCGTTTAGACTTTTTGAACGAAACGTCATCGTGACGGGACGGAAGGGGAATATGGGGAACCTGTTGAAGAAAAAAATGATGAGAGAGGCTTTGGGTGCTTCTTTGCGGATAAGAGAGTGCATAAGGGAGACAGTTTTAATTACCCTGCGACTTGTAACCAAAAAAAAAATACATATATATATATTACCATAGACACAGCTTGAGCCATCCTGTACAAAGAGGGACTGCCATGTCAACAACTAACTGTGGCTGGCTACTTTGGATAGCCAGCCAGATCAGCACGTCTGGACTTGATTGAGAGTTATCGTGGCCGTTGGTTTGAATCAGATTTCCCACCACTAGTTTCACAGCACTGTATGGAATTTCATGGTGAGGTTACATCAAAGTGCACTTTTGTGATGCGAAAAGGGGCTCGCTTGGTTGGCGACTTCCCCTACAGGGGGCATAGGTAGGTAGGTACCTCACAAAGCCCAGAACCTTTCTGCTCATCTGGAACATCGCGTCCCTGAAAACACAATTCCAGGACTGAATTTGAAAAATCTTGCTATTTCAATAGCCTGCGTACTGAGTGCCTCGGATCTGTGCCGCGCGCAGCCCCTGACCAACAGCGAGGGAGAAGCGATCACGCAACGCCCCAATTACTTGGCGCTTGCCGCCCGGGGCTGCAAGCCTTAAAATCCCGCGCTGCTGGGCCTGCAGCCATTACAGAAGAGATGCAGACCTAGATCTGTCTACCGGTTTTCCGGGCATTATTCCAGGAGCTGGCAGTTGACACGTACGCGGGCTGCTAATTCGTGCGAAGAAGATTTCGACCCGGTGATTCTCGACTGCGGAGTACTCGAGCTGGCAGATAATATGCCTCACCTTGACTTGGGAGACGCGCGGTGCAGCCTTCACCGCTGAGAAACGGAGCGAGGCGGCTTTGGCAGATCCCAAATCTCGGGTCCCGGAACCCGGGAGGCTTGTGCTGGGGTGCCGTGTAAGGTTGCGTGCAGTGGGTTCATCACACAGCGTAGACTTCCGCTTAGCGCGGGAGGAACCTTGGAGCTGAACATAACAACAACTTTTAGTGTAAAAGCAGCGTCCATTGCGAATTTGCGCCATAATTTGCAAATACTGGAAGAGCTATCTTTGGACGCGATCTTGAATGGATTGTGACTGATTATGGACGGGATGGTCGCTCACTGACACCCGATGTTTTTGAAAGAACGGTGAGGCGGATGTGGAGCTGGCCTGGTGCCGATCGGTACGGGCAAACCCGGCCGGGCCGATGTGTGTTGTACAGCCTGTCTCTGGAGGCTGGACTGCATATCGCGAAATAGACCTGGATGCCACGCTTCCCGATCCCCTTCGCATTTCCTTGAAACAACCTGTAATGTGACCACATGAGAGACTGCAACAGTCGAGAGCTGACTAGGGGCTCTTGGTCAGGCAATAGCCGCACCGAAAGTCTTATAAAAATGGCCTGATGCCTTGATTTGGTATTGGATGATTAGCCTCCATGTAGAGTTGAGACGAAGAGAATATTGTCATTGTGTTGCAGGGCGTAAGTAGCTTCGCCCTCTAACTCCCAGTCGGCATCGTTGATCAGTACCAGGATTCCCGGGCGGCTGTATGCATGCAAGTGATCAGTAAGACGGCCTAATTTGTCTGAAAGATTTAAATGGCGAGGGAATTGAGGGTCGTCGAGCGGATGGCGATGGCATGCAGATTCTAATATAATGTAGAGTGAAGTGAAAAGTAATGATTCGATGACGCCAAAGCGTTGAAGGAGCGGTGTCCGTATAGTGGTATGATGAATGCATGGTGAGCAGAGTTGTGGCTTACACGTGACCATCCAGTATGAACATCTCCTTCCTTGCATCTTTCATGAGCTCCTCGCAGAGATAGTTGACGAGCCATCCGACGGTGACGGCGTTTCCCTTTTCGTCTGTGGCAGGGACCTGGAGCTTGTGCTGACGCTCATCGGAGAAGAGCATCTCCAGGCCACCGCTGATTGAGGCCTTAGCTCTGCACCCCCACGCAAATCCAGGGATAGACAGTAGAAATAACACCGATGTACTTACGAGAACTCGACAACAAGAGAAATAAGGGGTTGAGAAGCCATCTCGCGTTTGCGGGGTTCGTAGAAGTTGTGTGTAGGCGAAGGGCTCAGGGTTTGGAGAGAGGAAGGACGACACGATCGTGAAGAATGAGGTTGTGGTAACCTTTTCGCTTAGCGTGCGATCCTCACTCACATTACCGGTACTTCGTCGTTATGCAGTCAGACTCACACAAAGTATGGTGACTTTGTATATACGTAGATATGAGACTAGGCAAGATATATTGTGCCATTGAGTTATTATTCGGAATTCTCAGGAGGAGGATAGGAGTTCTGAGCTTGAACAAGTGAAAATGAACTATGCTCTGCTGTCCGGAATCACGATGCAATTTTGCCGAAAAGTCTTCCACCCTCAAATCCCGTGATCGGCCAGTTCAACCTCGAGCACAGAACAACCAAGCTGGCAGAGAAGATACAAATTTGGTTCTCGAATATGCAATACTGTCGATGAGTCGTTGCAACCTGCTGATCTATCCATTTTCGCAGAATTAAGTGAGCCGGCGGTGGACTGGAGATGGCTCAAGCCAGCGCAGACTATCTGGCTGCAGGAGCAAATCGCCATCCCTCTGCTGCAGATTGGGATACAGCAGGCCTCCTTGCGTATGGTGCCGATAGAAATGTTGCGTTGTGGCAACCGCAGGTCAGTGTCGATTGTTACATAGGGTGGCGCCGTCGTCCCATCGCCACATGAATATCACAGAAAACAGCGCGCGAGAATGAACGGAAAATCTAACGTCTGGCTAGAACGAAACCTCAAGAGGTGTTCATGATCTTCTAGATGGCCATACAGACACAGTGAACGCCGTCAAATTCGTCCCCGGAACTCCAGGCCTCCTCCTCAGCGGCTCCGTCGACAAAACCGTTAAAATATGGAGCAATGACCAATCCACGAATCGCTATTCATGCATCCAGACTCTCTCAGACCATTCAAACTCCATCAACTGCATAGGAGTCTCAAGTCGTTCATCCAAAATCTTCGTCACGGGAGCAGCAGATTTCACCGTCAAGGTCTGGTCTCTGGACGACGAGAAAGTCGCATCACTGCGGCAAACCATCAACATCGCCCCGAAATTCTTCCCACTGTCGTTGGCTTTGTGTAATTTGGCCGATTCACTGGAATCGTATGTGCTTGCTGTTGCTGGCACCAAAGATATCATCCAGCTCTACGTCCGAGACGCGAAGAATAGCCCAGAGTTCAAGCTTCAGGCTACCTTAGCCGGCCACGAAGGCTGGATCAGGTCATTGGAATTTACCCAAGAGTCCTTCAACCCAAAGAGTGATCTCATCCTAGCCTCAGCAAGCCAGGATAAGTACATCCGGCTATGGAGGATCCATCAAGGAACACAGTTGCCCGCCGCAGCAGCTAGTGCAGATCCGTCTTTGGGAGCCTTCATGCCCGGGAAATCGCTTTCAAATAAAGCGCATCGCTTCAGAGCAGATGACATGGATTTCTCGGCTACCTTCGAGGCACTTCTACTAGGGCACGAGGACTGGATCTACAGCACGAAATGGTTTGCTGTAGGGAAGAGTTTACAGCTTCTCTCAGCATCGGCGGATAACTCGCTAGCCATTTGGGAGCCTGATGAGACGACTGGTGTCTGGGTCACGGTTGCACGAATGGGTGAGATCAGTTCTGAGAAGGGATCGACTACTGCTACTGGAAGTACCGGTGGTTTCTGGACAGGTCTATGGTCCCCGTCAGGCAAAACTGTCGTGTGTCTCGGACGTACAGGCAGTTGGAGATTGTGGAATTACGATTTGGGGAAAGATAAATGGGTTCAGAGTGTGGGAGTTAGCGGGCACACGCAGTCGGTCACTGGGATTGCTTGGTCCAAGGAGGGCGATTACCTGCTCTCTACAAGCTCCGATCAGACTACAAGGCTCCACGCAAGATGGAAGCGGGACGACATCGTTTCATGGCACGAGATGGCAAGACCACAAATCCATGGCTACGATCTCAACTGCATCGACTCGCTAGGAGCCTCTCAGTTCATCTCAGGCGCAGAGGAAAAGCTCCTCCGCGTCTTCAGCGAGCCCAAGGCTGTCGCAAACCTGCTTCACACCTTATGCGGCTTCTCAAGCTCGCACGTGGAGGACATGCCCGACGCAGCCAACATGCCCGTCCTCGGCCTCTCCAACAAAGCCATCGAAAAGGTCGCCGACGACCACGAAACTGGAAGCCCTCAAGACAAGAACGTAGACCCGGCCTCTATCGTGCGCAAATCCACCCTCAAACTGTCCCACCCACCCCTCGAAGACCAGCTATCGCGCCATACGCTGTGGCCCGAGATCGAGAAGCTGTACGGCCACGGCTATGAGATCTCGGCCCTAGCAGCCAGCCACGACGGGTCGCTGGTAGCGACCGCGTGTAAGGCGACGTCTCTGGACCACGCTGTCATCAGGATCTTCGAGACTGAAAGCTGGCACGAGGTGAAGCCACCGTTGACGGCCCACACGCTGACCGTTGCGCGACTCAGGTTCTCGTCAGACGATGCGATACTTCTGAGTGTTGGCCGTGATCGGCAGTGGGCCGTTTTCCAGCGGGAGGCAGAGGGTGAGAAGGAGGGGAATGGGTATAAGCTGCTGGAGGCGAATCTGAAGGGCCATTCAAGGATGATCCTAGATGCGGCTTGGGCACCTATGGGGGGGAGTGTTTTCGCAACAGCGGGCAGGGATAAGCAGGTGAAGTTTTGGGCGCGGGAAGAAGCAAGTACCGGGGGGTATGTGTGTAAGGCTACGATTGCGGAGGAGCATCCGGTGACTGCGGTGGATTTTATGGATAGGTGTGTAGCTGATGGCCGGGCATATCTCGCAGTTGGGACTGAGGTCGGGAGGGTCAGAATATACTGCCTGGATGCCGAGAAGGCGTTTGATGTGACTGAGCTGGGGGTGGAGTATCCTAGGTTTGTCCGGCTGTACCTCTTTGTAAAATTGATACTAAGACTTCTAGTGCATACCCATATCCTTCGAAGGCTATCACCCAACTAGCCTGGAAGCCACATAGTGGAGGGAACGCTGGGAGGATTGAGATGCAGCTTGCGGTGGCAAGCGAGGACAGTTCTTTGCGGATCTATTCCCTAGGCCTTCCCGAAGCTGCTGGTTCTGAATAGACACCAGGATTTTTTGAACGCCGATCAATGTTAAATGCTGCGCCGACCATGCTGACCAACCAGAGGCGTTGAAGCGCTTATGCTACCCCAGTATGCAACCGAAAGCAAACAAAAGAGATGCTGACCATCGTACCTCATGTCTTCATATCGTGACTTTTAGAACGTCCTCTTCTTGTCAAACTCCTCCGCACCATATCCACCTACCCCAGCAGGCATGTACGCCGTACCCTCGCTCCCCTTTCCCTGATTCCTCGGCCCTCTCTCGCTCAAATCGTTCTTCAGCCACCCCAAAACCAACTCCCCCAACCTTGAATTTCCAGAGCTCGTACCCCTCCCATCCAACTCAAAGGTCTCAATACCCCCCCACTCCTTCACCCTGCCCAGACTCATATGCACCAGATGCGTCGGCCACTCCGCCAAATTATCCAAAATATGCGTCGCATACACAATCGTGCACTTCCGCGTCTCCGTCTCCTTCTTCAAGAACGCCAGAAAGTTGCTCCGGCTCAGCAGATCCAAATCGACTGTAATCTCATCCAGCAGCAGGATCCGCCACGGCCTAATCAGCCCCATCGCCAGCTGAACCCTCCTCCGCTCGCCATCCGACACGGCATGCATGCGCCAATCTAAATCGATATCCAGCACTTGCACCAGCTCATCCCTCCGGTCGGGGTAGTGGTCCCCGCCGACGCTCTTCAGCAATTCCTTCACGCCAATGTCGGTGCGCACGATGGGGTTGAGCACCCATTCCAGACCGAGGTAGGTGACGCCTTCGAGGCCGTCTTTGAAGGGGTCGAGACCACCGACTGAGATGGTGCCTGAGGGCGCGAGACGCTTCCCAGAGAGGAGACGCAAGAGGGTAGTTTTGCCGGCGCCGTTGGCGCCGATGAGGAGAGTTCGGGAGGAGGGGGGGAGCGCGAGCGTGAGGTTGTGGAGTCCGAGGGAGCGGTCGGGGAAGGTGTAGGAGAGGTCTGTTACTTTTATTGACGGGGCGCCAGTTTGATCGATCGGGGGAGCTGCCATTTGGATGGTGGGATAGATGTTGTGAAGCGAGGGAGAGGGGAGGAAGAGTGAGTTTGATGTTGATGTTGAAGTTAAGATTGTAATGGGGTGCGAGAACAAAGGGAACTTTTTGTTCGATGACGCATCAGTACTAAACCTTATCTTATCTTAACACCGATCTTAGTTTTCAGATACGCGTTTAAACATTAGCATCACGTTTTTTTCTACAGAAAGACCCCAAACTCGCTTCTTTCCCGGCGCGATCAAAGCTCGCTAAGTACTATTTACCATAATCCGAACCAGGTCATCATAATCATCATTTCTGGAATCAAAACACTCCCTAGTAGGTTCTTCACCTAAACGCCCCATCACCAGTACCCATCAACCCAAGTCGTAATGACGGCGCCCAAGAACCCCAAACCGGGCCCACAACAACAACCCTCCTCCCACCCTCCCACCTCGGCCACGCCCCTCCAAGAACTCACCTCCATCTCGCAGCTCCTGCACCTCACGCACCACCGCAACAAAAACCAGCACCGCCTCGCGAAGTGGTACAAGCCGTTCTCGCAGCTGCGGCGGCAGGTGGGGCGACTGCTCCCGGAGCTTGAGGCGCTCGAGGTGGCGGAGAGATTCTCCGGCTCGGGAAAGGAGAACGGGGAGGCTGAGGGCAAGTATGTGAGGGCAGCGCGGGAACGGGTCGAACGGAGGGTGCGCTTCCTGGAAGAGTGGATCGTGGAGAAGTGTTACTTGTGAGTCTACTCACCTGCCTCGTCTACCGATTATCTCCTGTTGTTGTTTTATATGAATTCTTTGGGGGTGCGCGAGTAATGAGTGGGTGGGTGATAGGGCCTTCTCGAACGTTATTGCGGACCAGCGATATGCTGTTCTGGGCTTATTCCTCATGGCGACGCTAGCGAGGATGCAGGCTGTCGTGGAGCAGTGGTCCGTTGGAGTGGGCGGTGATAGAGAGGGACAGGAACAGGGAAAGCAAAAGGAAGGTCAGATTGAGAGGGCTTTGGAGAGTGCGCCTGGAGATGAGTTTGACCTTGGAGAAGTTGTCACGAGGGAATCAGTCATGGAGGAAGCCGAAGCAAAGGCTGCATCGGAACCGAAAAAAAAGAGGAGAGCCGCACACGAGATTGGTCTGTCGAATCCTTCCAAGCCGAAGAAGCAAAAGAAGAAAAAGAAGGGAGGCGATGCGTTTGATGACATGTTTGCCGGTCTGCTTTGAGCTTGAGCGTTCTCTATAATACCCGTCTGCCAATCCAAAGCTTCCCGAAGTCCAGGCATCGTACCACACCTGTCCACAGGTCTACTAATACAAAGTACCCAACCAGTACAGAAAACTGCCCAGCCCAACGTTAACTCCCAGGTGCTGACCCAGGCTCCACGCCATACTGTACAGATACTTGGGCGAGAATACTGTCCAGATGAACAAGTGCGTTCGCAGGATCGTGCAAGCAGCCATTACGAATACCAAACTCGATGTTACAAATACCGTCATTAAGCTCAAATGTTGCTCTAATACACTCCTCTCTTCGCTCTTCACCGTCTCCCTGTACTTCAGAAGCATAATAGTAGTAGCGGAGACCCAAAAAATCGGACCGGTCCAATTGCTAGCGAACGTGAGGATGCCAACGGCAACAACATTGTACCCGCTAACGCCGTTGTAAGCGTTGGATAGATCAACGGAGGAAATAGCGTTCGAGCCCCCGAAGGCGAAGAAAGAGGAGTATTGTAGGAGGAGTGAGGAGGTAGTGATTTCGTAAAGGTTGAGATCGAGGTTGGAGAGAAGGGAGAATTGGAGGGAGGAGAGGAGGAGTAGGGGGATGTTGGTTGCGCGAGATTGCGTGGTGAGGAAGAGGGTTAGGAGGTTGTGGATTGTGTGAATCGTTGCTGTTTACTTTTGTCAGAGGAGGAAGATTTTATGAAGAGGGTCGAAAGAGAGGGACAGAATTACGGTTTGGACGCCTCGTATCGCTGAATCCAGAGATCATGGTGTAGACGAGTGCGATGAAGATGAATATGAATGCTATCCTGGCTCTTCCAATTAGAGATACACCGGCCCCTGCTTCGCTGTCAGTCATTGATTTGGCGACGCCGGCCATGAGTTCGGGTGAGTCCTCATGTGTGAAAGCTAGCTTGAATGTTAGGGCCGCGGTAACTATGGCTGTTGATATTGCTGCTGCAGCCATCTGTGGGAAGCGAGGGAATCCTCGAGCAAGGGACTGAAGGATCCATAGGTAGGTCAGTGCGACGAACATCCATAGAGTCAGACGGTGTGCGGAGAAGAAGTTTCGAGCAATATCTGGTTCGCCGGCCCATTTCTGACCAGTTTGGTTCCAGCGACGAGAGAGCCTTGCAATGACAAGTATCAGGATTGAGGTCAGGTTTAGGAACAGTGTGTTGCGGTTATGTTTGCGAGTGCTGCGGGAGCATGAGATTGGTCTAGTTGTTGGTTATGTATGATGCTTACCTCTTCATCCAAAGCAGGACAAGCCATGCTGCTGTGGCCCAGTACCAAAAGTGTTGCTCTTCTTCAACATAGCTGCTGGCAAACATCATGATGCCGTATAGCAGAGAGATCAGAAGTATCGGAACAGATTCCTTGAAAGACCAAGCCAGAATCGCGTTGGCTGCAACTGTGCTAAAAACGAAAGCTAATGTAGAAACAGCTTGCCCAGTTGCAAGTTTTCGAACATCGTAATTACTAGCAGTGCTGCTCATTATGTCTTGTGCTTGTTTAAGCCACTATACCATGTTAGATATGTCTGAAGTGGATGGAGCTACATGCCTTGGTGGTATGTCGGAGCCATTCGTCGATATTCTGATTCTCCGGTCCAGGCTTCGGTTGGGTCTTTGTCAAAATCTTCCATTGGCATGCGAGCTCATCAATATTGCTAGACATTTCCTGGCAGTCTTTGGAAGGTTCGACATATTCAAATGAAGGGAATGCTGCGGTAACGACACCCAGAATCTGTTTAGCATTTCTCAATAGAATCTGAGCTCGATCAACATCTGCTCTCCTTAGTATGTTTCCAAGAGGAGGGAATAGGAGGCAATACTGTTTGGCCAAAATGGCAAGAGCTCTGGGATGATGGCCCCAAGATTATTTCGAGGCGCTGGGAAACCAAGCAAAGCACCCAATGTTGGGGCTATGTCCGATTGCTCAACTGTAGAGTAGTACTGGAAGTCTTCTTCGAAAGCTGCTGGTGTCCCATGATCCGAACTAATGGTCTTCAGCTTCGGAGCAATGAATACAAGAGCGGGCGAAGTTTCTCCTGGGGCTGAGCCACCGTGGTTACCAGCATCATTCATACCGTGATCACCGGCAAGCACTAGCAGTGTTGATTGTAGATGCTTCTTGTTTTGCATGGCTCCATAGATTAATCTCACGATGCCATCCATTTCATGTTGCTTCGGGATCATATTGGGGCTGGCTTCCATTAGTAGGACGGAGTGAAATTCGATTAGAGAAATTTACCCCCGAGGCCCAGTCTTGTGGCCGATGTGATCAAGTCCCAGATAATGCAACACCATGGTACTCCAATCGTCATTCCTCAGCTCCTCGGGAATGTGTCTCGTAACATTACTATCCACTTCTGTAAAGTCCTGGTAGAAAGATATATTCAGCGGGTGTGCTATGTACAACCACATTGTCTGGACTGACCGAAACAAAAAAACTTGACGTCCCATCCGCGCGATCGAATGTATCGGGGAATAGCTTCAGCCAGGTATCGTCTCCGTACATGATCATTTTGCCAGTTCCCTTTGCCTTCATCTGTGCTAGCCATGTGTCTTGTGTTGCAAGTGTAGACGAGGTATCTGATTCTGCGAAATTGAGGATTAGGTCGAGGAAAGATGGCGTAGATCCTGTAGTGATAGCCTTGATTCTGGGCATGGTAATGGTAGGAGATGTGGCATGGGCAGTGAATGGAATCGCTTCGCCATTAGAAATGAGACTGTCATAAGTAAGATGCTTGCTTGCAATTATGTAAAAACAGAAGACACACCTTTGAGTGAAAGAGAAGCCAGAATTATTCGAATATACAAAGTCACTACATAATTTAGTCAGTCTGCCTCGCATCATTTTGGAATTCCTACCTTCGCAGTGCATCCACAACCATGAATATCAGCTTGTCGAAAGGAGCTTCTGGCGGACTCCCATACTCCAATGTCTCGTATTGGGCCAATCCAGGAAGAAATGGCTTGTAAGGAAAGAATCCACTGGCGAAGATCAATATCGCAACTGGGATGAGGATATTTGCGGCCAAGAGGGACGGCATCGAGAGCCGGGAAGCCATTTTTGCTGGGTGAATCCAGCTCGTCGCCTAGGTTAGCAGCCTTGAGAAATAGATATGAAAGCAATTGAAGTTGCTATGGCCATTGCTCTAACTAATACTTCCAGGTATCCGAGTTGGAGAGATGAACATTGAAGCTGCGCCTCGGGACAATCGGGCTTTCACTTTGGCGAACGCGCTTCCCGATAAGGCGTGTTATCGGAGGGGCCAAGGAAAAAAAGTTCGAGTAACGGAGTAGAGCCTGAAGGAAGAGAAGAGAATTTTGATCGACATTTGATAGACTGGGAGATAGTTCCACGATCCTGCTTTTCGGGGCTTTGATATAGTGGAATAAACTTGGGTCAACTTCAGGGTGGTGCCCAGCAGTAAAGCGCTATCATAGCCAGACTTCAGTTGCTGTAAACGAGCATAGAAATCGATATGTATGATCTTTGGAAAGTAGATCGGCGCAGCAAATGTACACAGATGTCGAAGACGCTTTACAGATAGATGTAATGTAGTTGCCAGATGTGTATCATTCTCCTCTAAAAGCCCAGCCAAATACGCCTACTATTTTGTTCATTTGTCCTCGTAGACGATGTAAGAGACACCAGAACTCCACACCATGCTCGAGTACGCCATGCCGCAATAAAAACCAGTCGCATCGATCCCTAGGATATCCTTCCTACTTCTTGTTGCTCTTGGATTTAGGCTTCCGGACTTTATTGCGCTCGTTGTACTTGGGAAAGACTATTGCAGACTTGTTCTTGCTGACCTTACGCCTCTGGATCGTTCCTTTGCCTGACTTTGAGGAGTCCTTCGGCTTGGTAGAGTCTGCGTCGACCTCCATTTCTGCGTCGCAGAATCATCAGCTCGGGGTAGGAGGGGAGTTTGCGAGGGAGCTTACCATCTGCGGTCTTGGTGTCTGCTGTCGGCGTCATCTTGTCTGCTACAGCAACTGGACACTGAATTAGTAGTCGCATTTCAAGGGAGCTGCAACTGAGATGAGAATGTTTTCCGTACCGGCGCCAGCTCCTACTTCCATCTCCACGTCCTTCTCTGCGATCTTCTTCTCTGCGGGCTTGGGCTTGGGCTTCGCGACCAATTCGAGGAGTTTCGCGGACAGTCGAGCGGTGCGGTCAGTCTCTACAGGACCAAAAACCCTGCTCTTCAGCTTGGCATTGTTTGCCTTGATCGTCGATGCTCTTGCTCCTTTGGCCATTTTCGTTTTCTCTTTCTCTCTATTTCTTTCTCTTTCTCTTGCCTCTTTTTTTTTTTTCTTTTTTTTTTTTTCTAAAAAAAAAAAGAGGCTGTGGGAATCGTGGTCGGAGAGAGGGTTGATTTGATAATTGGCCTCCAGTCATACTTGAGCCCAAGACAATTTTTATCCTAGTGCGGCGGCGGCCGCTAGCTTGCAAAGCGCAGGCGAGGCGAGGGGACGAGATGACCTCCTTCGAGAGGTGAGGCTACAATGCATGATGTTTTCTCTTCCAAGAAAATTCACCACTTAGCATGCGATCGTAATTGTGATTGTACGAAATCGATTGATTAGGAGACAAAGATCTCGAACGGCCCCCAATCTCACTTCCACCCTCACTCATCCGCACCCTCACTATTACCATCAACAACACCAACGGCACACGAGCCAGCATCCATCTCCATGCCTTCGCTGCTGTGGCACGCGCGTTCGACCTAGAAGAAGCATGGCTTCCATGGGGGGTGGTAGCCTCGACCCTGAACCCCTCATCAGACAAGTGAGACTTGGTGGCTATGTCAACAGACTCCTCCAGAGCATCTGCGGTGTTGAAGGCATCAGTAAAGTTGGTGTCAAAGCCGAACTACAAAACCGCATCATTCAACGTATGAACCAGCCCTCCAGCCCTTAAATTCGTTCCTCGGGACTCTGTGCGACGCAAATCATACTGACCGGTCAACTCTCTAGAAATAAATCTGCACGCAAAGAATAACGACAGACCCAGATTCCAACGGCTTAAAGACGCCATCGATAGTCCTCACCGGATAGACTCACACAACAACATCGCAGCGAGCGCCTCCTCTTCCCCAATGCCACCACCGAATCCATATTTGAACCCACCGCAACCGCCGGTGGCCTTCGCATACAACTTGGCCAATATGGCACCTGGAGCGGCAAGTGTCTTTCGACCGACTGGTAACCCGAGTAAGATGACATGACGGTTGAGCTTCTTGTCCCGAGTACCTTCTGACAGTCTGCCAGGAGTCGAATTTAAGCCAAGTCCTTACTACCAAATCCAAGATCAGATCGGTAACCCCTCACCTTGCGAAGGTCAGTCTACGCTCCTCTATATGCGTCCTCCATGACTAAATTTTTCCAGTGATGACGCATCACAGAAATACTGTGAAGATCAACATCCGCGTACAAGACAACCCAATTCTTTCCCGTGTTGGTCGTGGCGAAGATAACCTTAGGGTGATGGTGTTCTGCGCTGGTGACGTGCAAGGCCGCCAAGACATCGCATTCCCTCACCAATCCGAGATCAAGGTCAACGGGGGCGAAGTCAAGGCCAACCTAAGGGGTCTCAAGAATAAGCCAGGCTCTACCAGACCAGTTGATATCACCAAGGACCTTCGTCTCAACATCAATGCATACAACAACTCTGTTGAGATGACTTATGCCTTGACAAGCAAGGTTGGTCGGAGCCCTCCTCAAGTCAGCTGCCTCGATCCCACACTCTTACCCTATCTTCCCCCAGCTGCAACTCCCTCTGCGTCACTGCGATACACCTTCAATGCTAACTTCATCTCCAGAAATTCTATTTAATCGTCTATGTCGTCAAGGCTGTCCCTGTCACGGACTTGGTCAAGAAATTGGAGAATGGCAGGAGAATTACCGAAAAATCAGTTCTTGAAGATAGTATGTTATCTCGTGCTAGATCATCACGGCATACTTACCCAATTCATAGTGCGTAACAAGGCTCGCGACACAGATATTGTCACGACTGCTTCTGTTCTCTCGCTCAAATGCCCCCTCTCAACCTTGAGGATCGATCTGCCCTGCCGATCGATATCTTGCCGCCACAACCAGTGTTTTGATGCCACATCCTACCTCCAACTGCAGGAGCAAGGTCCCACTTGGCTTTGTCCAATCTGCAACAACTCTGCGCCGTTTGACAGCTTAGCTGTCGACGAGTAAGTAGTGCATTATTATCCACGACCCTAAATTTTACTGACGACTCAAAGATATGTTAAAGACATCTTGAAGAACACGTCGAGATCTACCGATCAGGTCATAATACAACCAGATGGAAAGTGGGAACTCAACGACAAGAAAACGGAAAATACAAAACAGCCGAGACGGCCAAATGGTGTTGCGAGCGACTCTGATGACGACCTTGTCGAGATCACGAAGGAGGGTAGTTCGGTGAAGATCAGTACCCCTCAGCTCAGCAAAATGGCAAATGGTGTCATTTCTCAAGTATCTCGCGAGCTGTCGAGTGCAAGAGAGTCGGTCGGCTCCACGAGCAGCAAAAGACCCATCTCAGCCGTCATAGATCTAACATCCAGTGGGGATGAGGATGACGAGCCAATTTCCAGGCAGGCAAAACGCCAGTTTAACGCAAACGGCTATGGAGCACCGCCAACAAGTGTACCTGCCTACCGTCCTGCACCACCACCAGGCGCTACCTACCCCCCACCACATATTTGATGAACCTTTTCTTTTTCCGATTCCGAGTCTTTCTTCACTGTAAGATCGGTATTCTATGATTCCCAGGGGCTATATCGGTTTTTCGGGCGTTGCAGGACGGGTGGAGGGCATGGGACGGAGTAATTGAAGGGATGTTTGGGTGGTTGCCAGCAAGCGGGTGCTATTCAATATCGAGTGGTTCAGTGGGCTTCCTAGGCTGTTGGGCCTCATTTTTTTCGCAGGTGGCTAACGTGCTTTGCCTAAAGGAACAATCATGATCTTGCTGGGGTCCTGTTCGTTTCTTCATAGGTCATTTATCTAGAAATAATCATTCTACCTACCGAAGAAGAATCCGAGGTCAGTGTCTCAAGTTGACGATTTTCCAGAATCGTATAAGTACAGCTGACCGCGTGAGTATTGGAAGGGAAGCACATCTGTTCTTGAGTATGTGACACAACATCCTGTTGGTACGCTAACACACAAGGGTGGCTAAGGTAAGTGCGTATTCATCCGTGCATATGTTCTCACTTCCGCCCTTCATGTTCTCTTAAATCGTCTTCGCGTTGCCGTCTCTCGATCGCACGAACGAACCATTACAAAGTAGGCGCGGGAAAGGCCATCGGTACGATGCCTCGTGAACTTCCCGAAGCCGACTCACTCAGTCATTCACGTTCCAGATCCCGATATTGTGCCATCTTCCACCACCAGAGCTCGCCGGGCCCGGGACCCATCGCCGTTCGCAAAGGCATGGAACGTGGAGTCCAAAAAGTGGCACACCTGACTACTCTCCACGATCAAGACTATGGAGCGTGGAATCCATGCTCTGCTCAGCTTGTCTCGACTCGTTTTACAAATATTCTGAATGTTGAGATTTTGGTCTTACCGATGGCCGGTCTTGCTACTGCCACCGTTATCATTGCTATTTTTATTTTATTTTGCGGGGTATTGATAATATGGGCGCTATGGAGGCACTGGGACTAGTTATTGGTACTGGGACAGGTACCTTCTATCTATCGTCCGAGGTCATGAAAGTGATAGGGTCGTCTCGGTCACGTAGCGTTCGGCGGGGGACTTGCTATCGGCGGTTGATTTCTCCGCTACTTTCTCCTTCGAGGATGCGTTCAAGGCATCCAACTCGCGGGATGCTCTCCTTGCCGTTTCGAGGTGGCCTTCACCTTTTGGGCCATACCAGCTTCGAGATTTTTAAATTACAGTTTCGGCCGGCTTATCAAGTTCGAAGTTTTGATATATATATAATCTATACGCTAGCGTTTGAATCAAAGCCAAAAAAAAAACCCTCAAAAGGACAAAAAACCTCTTTCTTTTAAACAACAGCGAATAAAATTAAAATCGCAGAATCGGCGCTACCATCATCATCGATATAATGGTTACTATCCTCGTCTAGTGGCCAGAAGCGCATAGACAACATTATAGTATATTCTTGATTGGAACGTGCAATATAGCTAGTCTCTTTTCCTTCCCACGACAAAGTGGTACCGGTACTGTACTCGCTAAGCAAGCCCCCCTAAATAAGTACTTAGGCGAACATATCCAAGGCCCCTCCCTCTTTTCCCCATCCCCCTCAACGAAGCCCAACGAGGCCCCCAAAAACACGAATCACGAATCACGAATCACGAATCACGAATCACGAATCACGAATCACGAATCACGAATCACGAATCACGAATCACGAATCACGAATCACGAATCACGAATCACGAATCACGAATCACGAATGAATGTACCACTCAATCAATACCTTCCACTACCTCGACCCCCCGGGCGAGAGCTCCCCGCAATACCCACGTGGATAAATCCAAGAGAAAACGCGGGCGCGAGAGCGAGGAACCGTTTCTGGTTATGTGTGTAGGGTCGTTCGTTCAGAGTCGGTATCTGAGCGATATAGACGTGCTGTAGACGTACTGTAGACGGACGCACGGCAGGAGGATAGAAGATGCCGATAGCCGACGGTGTATATATAGATTGCTACGCTAATAATTAGTGGTTTGCACCGACTGACCTGGTGGATACATCAAGGACTTTCGCAGCAGGAGTGAGTGCCCTCTTTCCAAGTTAAATTTTTTCCCTTTTTTTGTCTGGGTGTCTTTGGAAAGGAGAGAGTAGAGGCTCCTTGCTTCTGGATTGAGTTGAGCTACCTATTGTGCTTTAAAAACGAGATGACACAGACATATAGAAAAGCACAAGCCCTTCAACGCAGACTAATTATACAGGCAGTCCTGGGGATACTGGTATCATTCTATTTCATAAACTATCTAGCACCTTTTCTCATTCACATCATCGTCTCGCTCAAAAGAAGTCAGTCAAGCTGTACACGCCTCGCCGCCTCCAAATCCCAAATGCTTAGCCTCCTCTTTTGCTCCAAAAACACCATCGCATGCATGCACCCTCCAATCCGTACTTTACAAATAGCGTAGTGCCACACCAAAGATGCAAACGCTCCCAGCCTCTCCTCTAATGATACCCATTCGCCTTGGGCCCCGCAGAAGCAGTCCCCTGTGGACTTCTTCCATTAGAAACATCCGAGAGCGCAGCGTGCTCTGCTTCTTCCGCTGCGTCAATTTCTTCCGGGCTGCTGAGCAGACCGTCCATGAAACTGATGTAGTCATACTGCGGCATGCCTCGGTCCTCTTGCAAATCGGGACCTTTGTGCAAAGGAACGATTTGCGTCAACTTCTCAATGACCTCGTCGGGCACGAGACTGTGTCTCAGATCCATTTCCGTGACGTAGGGTTTCCCGTCCGCAACCTCGCGGAAGCTCTGGAAGACTTGCTCGGCTGTGTTCTGGTCCTCGGTCACGTCAACCATGAAGCGGATGAACTGCTCAAAGGTAACGTAGTCACATCCATTGGAGGTCTCGAGGAAATAATCGTGCATTTCATCCTCGCTGAACACGAGGCCGAGGGACGCCAGAGCGGCGCTGAATTCGAGTTCTTGAAGACTGTTTGTGACATCTCGGTCGAAATGTCGGAACACGCTTTCGAATTCTTCCAATTGGATAGGCGTAAGGTTAGTCATGTTTCGTGCCACGACCTGGTTGTCCAGGAAAGCAAGCTTCTTCGAGACAGAGCTTTTGACCAGGCTGAGTTCGTAACATAATTCGTCGTAGGTGTAGGTCGTAAAGTCGTTTTCTTCAATGTTCGCTTCCTCACACTTTCGATCCACCTCTTCGATTTTTTTGAGGTATTGGTTCATAGGCGACAGACTCTCGTTGAGTCGCTGGACATGCTTCAGCTGGTCTTCTACATCGCCCTCGAGCCCAGATATGGCCATTTGCATAGTGTTCAAAGCGAGGGCAAAATCGTTGGCCTTGTCCGCAAAAGATTTCCGAAGCGCATTTTTGATACTGTGGTCTGTTAGCATGATCATGTGTCAGGTGTTTGATTTTCTTACTCTCTGATGGTCTCGTTTATCAATTGACCCCTGGACATTTCTGATCTCATCAACTTCGCCCATTCGTCATCCAAAACACTCAGTCGCAGTTCCGCTGGTGGCTCGTACGGCCGCAGCCGGTAGGTGCTCATCTTTGTTTTGATATTCCCGAGGAGAGCAGCCAAGTCACTCTTCTCCGCCACCCACTCCCTCTTCTTTCCCCGCTTGTATGCACTGAACTCCGTAGATTGCGTTTTGGCGTCCGTATACGTGCCCTCGAATTTGGACTCCTGCCATCTCAGCCCTTGCTCGTGGATCTGCTTCAGCAACTCCCTCATCCTCCGTTCAAAAGCACTCTGCATCTCCCATGCACCCTGCATGTTGTTCACGAATTTTTCTACTCTCCGCCCGGCATTCTCGACTTTCTCCATCTGCGAGAAAGCATGAAACCAGTAGGCAATGTATGTCATCAAACTACGCTCATCGGGCTTGGCGACGTCGCATACATCCTCCACATCCAACAGGTCCGGGATACCGATTTCGGCCTTTGCAATATCAAAAGCCATTTGCATGTTTCCCCGGTGGTCGTTCTTGTCTAAAGCGTCGTAGTCGATCAGATCCGGCCGGTGGATATCCAGCAGAGCACAGAAAGCCAAACCATCATTCCAACTGTCCGTGAAGTTCCGCACGTCGACCTCGTCGTAGCAGGCCGTCTTCCTTTGACACCAGAGAAGCAGACCCTCTTTCGCAGTCATACCCTCCTCGTTAATATCCGAAATCGTGAAACGCAGAATCAAGGTCCAGATGAGACCTAGAATGATCTTGCGGTTGCCGTCAACCACATCTTCTGCCCCGATATTCGTCATCTGTATGCCTCGGGATTTTATGAAGTCCAGGGATAGATTGGCATTTTCAAATCGTTGCACGCGGAGTTTGGGCTTTGCTGCATACCGGCCCAGGGATTCGTTCGAGAGGCATTCGAGGAGGTGGATGAGGATGACCTGTAGCTGGATCAGCACAGTCCAAAGCCCATATACCGCAGACAGGGGCGTCCTACGCCATCACTGAGATCCTTCACGAGATCCACTACTGCCAGGTCTCTCGGTTCGATTTTGGTGTTGAGCCTATTTCCTCTGTTACCGCAAATCCCAGTGCTGCTCCCGCCTCCGGACCTACCATTTCGTAAAGGTCTTCTGCTGGACCGTAATCCATTGCTGCTGCTCCGCGAATGCCATCTTCACAAGCGGATTCTCATGCGGCGGTTCAATGAGCTTCAATCCGTGATCTGCCGGGAGACTGAGTGTCTGCTTGCTGAACGAGCGGCCCTTCTTCCGTAGCACTAACTCGCCCTCCTCCGAGGTTGTCACCGAAGAAGCGCTGCGTTGGAGGCGAGTGGTAAACTGCTTGGATCTGTTTGCCTCTTTTTCTTTTTGTTGAGAGGAGCGATCGCGACGGGCTTTGGTACTCGGGGGTGGTGATGGTGGAAAGGAGGAGTTGAGGCTGTTGTTTACTCGCTGCTCCGGGGTTGCGGGACAATCTGTGCTGGTCGGGCAACAAGCATCTCCATAGCCATCTCCCCTGTCGGCTGGGGGCGTGATCGCTCCTCCACGAGCCCCTGAATATGCATCCATCGTTATGTTATTGACAGTCAAACAGTATCAAGCGATACTCTCCAATCGAAAATGAATCTTCTCTTTCTTTTTTCTTCTTCCTTTCCTTTTTTTTTTGTAGCTCGAAAATCTATCCGCTCGCTTGGACGTAGCGGCTGGCGTGGATATTTAACAGCCCGAGAACTACACAACACATCTTGCCTCGCTCGCTATGCATAATGAAACGGGTTTCCGTCGTCGCAACGCAGCTCTACCCTCCAACCGCCGAGCTCTGTGGACCAATTCGAAGTCTGAAATCGATACCCGTCGCCAGTGTCTCATCGGATCCATGCAGATCTCTTGCAGTGGCGATACGGCATTCCGATAAAGGATTCGGTTCCGAGGAGGTTCATCTCCCCTCCCTCTCCTCCACGACCATCCTTCCATTTCTCGTAGTTCCCTATCCCTCAGTGGTTCCAGACGCGGAGGCCTTTTGCGCATGAAGTCTAGGGAGGTGTCTGGAAACACTTTGTCCAGCTGTCATCCATCCCATCATGCGACTCCTTGCATATGTTCTCCAACGACATCCCCCGTGGATTCTTCGGTTTCGAGCTCGCTCGCTCGACGACGATTCAGGGGCTTCAAGTTTTCTCTCTCCCAGTGAGGCCGGCCTTTTATCTGATCTGTTATGTAATGTGTATGTTCGAGTAGACCTACTTCAGATCCAGGAGGACTGGAGCAACCACAGCCGTGGTGTTTTGACCTATCCAACCACCAATACCCCAATAGCTTGGGGAGAGAATGAAATGACTGCTAACTTGTGCTTTCACTCTCCACACCCGCCGTCGCTGACCTTGACCTTTCGGGTATTTCCCATCACGTGCTGGTCACCAAATCCCGAATTTTGATCATGTCTCGTAGACGTCGTTGGACTCGAGCTCCAAGGTTCTCTCCATCCACAACCCAACTTCCTATCTACTACACGCCGAAATGTCCGACTCAACCGTCACGATGAGAGCCGAGGAGAGCCCTGACGATGGGAGCAATACCATCACTCTGCCATATAGAGACGCTCCCCACGCCGCCGCACTGGATCCCATCTCAAACACGCTCGTGGCCACAGCGACTCTCAGCGCTACACCCCCTTCAAGTAGACCTTTCAGAACGGCGGCAGTCAAGACATACAGGACTGATCAACTCGGCTCGCGAACATGGGAGTGCCGCGTTTGCAGCAAGCCCGCCACTCAGGTCCACCATGCAGCAGCCTCAATTCTCTCGCCGCAGGGGTCAAAGCTACTGGATACAGCCGTCCCAACGTGCAGCGCCGTCAGGTGCAGAACCCATGGGTTTGAAATAGCTCAGCAATTCAGCAACACGGCTGCCCCGGAGTCAGATGTCACGCATTGTGGAAATTGCGGCGGGAGGTCCCGGACAGCACTGTGTGGCGGCTGCACGTTCGCGTGTAAGTTGGAAATATGAAAACGTGGGGAAAATTATACTAAAAAAATACTCCAAGACAACTCAAAAAGAACTGTGCAAGCGGCTACTAGCTTCAAGAGGCCTCGCAATCGCACTGCAAAGACCCAAGCCGTTTCCGACGCTGAGCCTTAGCAGCCTCTCTTTTGGTCAGAAATTCTCAGGATGAATGATATGATTTATCCGGGCGAAGGATTTCCACTGCTGCAGGTTAGCAATCCCAGAGTAATTTTCCTACAAAGGCCTGCTCTGCCAGCTATCATGGGTTAGAAGGTGGCAGTCGAGGCTCTGCCTATCTATGTGTGCATCCATCTGGATAGTTCTCTGGGTTATGAAGAACCTTGGCATTGGAACGGCGTTCTATGATCTGGTGATCAATCAGCGACAAGCGATGGTGCCGGGGGAAATGGTACCATCAATCGAGTCGCTCCGGACTGTGGTGCCCTAAAGTCCTCCTGTGTTCATCTTGAGCACGCGAGCTTTCTGCGGCCTTCAACTCTCTGAGATATGGGGCCCCCGGAGGCGATAACACCGAGTTTAGAACTGGGAAGTGTTTTCCCCGATTGCTAAAAGTGTCTCGTGAGCAATGCGGGCAACGTCAACTTCCACCTTGAATGCATTTCAAATCTCACATTTCCCCAAAGTCAAACCGTGTATTCATTGACAGTTGTGAACCCTCCAATTTGTTCTGAAGATGTGTTCAATACTCAGCTTGAATTTGCTAGGAAAGTTGAAAGGCCACCTTAGGAGAGGGGGGTTTTAGTGGCTTGAAGTAATCAGATTGTGTTCTTGCCTTTTTTTTATATATATCTTTCTTATGGACTTTTTCATATTGTTGTTGTTGTTGTATTTATTTACGTCGGGCGGGTAGCAGGCGAAGCCTGCCGCCCTGGGACCTCCCATGGGGTACGGCGACGTGCTAAGCTAAGGAGTTACATACAAGAAGGCCTTAGAAAGCAATTCAAAGTGCTGTAGCCAGGGCTACTGTCGCATGCGCCCTTCCCTTACAGATAGGATGGATCACATAGAAAGAAACCTTTCATCAAGGGAAAACCACAAAAGAGAGAGTCAAGCAGGTACAGACTGCTGTAGCTAGCCAAGGGCGAGCTGTTCACGTCGCGTAGCGACAAGAGTCAAGGCCGGACCGGAGTCAGCCGAGTAGGACTTTTTCATATGATGGAATGAATGGATGACTTTGTATACGAGAGAGATACCAATTTAATTTTTTTGTTAAAAATTTTTTTTTATGTATTTTTTTATATATTTTTTATTTATATTTTTTATATATTTTTTTATATATTTTTTTATATATATATTATATATTTTTATATTTTTTTATCTATTTTTTATCTATTTTTTTAGTATATTTTTTTTATATATTTTTTTATATTTTTTTAATATATTTTTTATATATTTTTTTATATTCTTCTTATATTTTTTTATATATTTTTATATATTTTTTTATATATTTTTTATATTCTTTTTATATTTTTTTAATATATATACATATATATATATATATTTTTTTTGGAAAAGGGTATCTCTTCATCGAAGCTGACCTAGCCAAAACCAAACTTGGTCACGTCGAATCTGACCACCGTACACGAATCCACCAGAGTCGCTGTGGGTATCATTCTTCCTCGGGGACATAGACTCTGGTAAGGAGCCAGCGGATCGTAGATGCGTGAGGAGAGGAGCTTTCTAGGGTCGGGGCAAGAACCGCTAACGCTGACTGGAGAGGGAGGCTCCCCCCCCTCCAACCACAGCAACCTCATCCTCCCCACGTAAGTTCTCTTTGCCATCTTCGTCGTTCGCTCTCGGCGCCATCCCTCCTTGACATCCGCAATCCTCAGTCTTATGCCTCGAATGCAGAAGGCTCATCCACAGCACAATGTACCCAGTATGCAGCAAGCACTCGGCTTTGCAGGTCAAGTACAGGTTGCACGTGTGTCAGCTTACGTTCCGAGGAACCCCCGTTGAATTTAAAATCAATGGCAGAAGTGGCAGTTAAGAGCGCATGCCGTTGTTCACTTGTGACTGAACCATCCATCTTCTCGCGCCAAAAGCGTCCGTGAATCTCGTTCGGCTCTCCCAAATCCCTGCCTGACTCTGACGGATTTCAGAATTCTCGGCTCTTAGTTTTGGCCTTCAGCATCGGAACTGGTCGAAAAATCACCTTTTTGAAAAGCGGCTGTTTCGATTGCTTTTTGGGCGTATCTAATCCACGATCACGACCTCGGGAACTAAAGCGTATATTCTGACAGGAAGTATGTCCCTCGGAAATCCGTTCTGGATCTCAGTCTTCTTGATCTTCATCCGCGCTTTCTTGAAAATCTCCCTGAATTTCTCATCACACCTAATAGTATTCCATATCAGCACTTTAATCCACTCTTCTCATCTTAAACCCCTACTATGAACATACCTCGTAACGCTGCTATCCACTTCATCAAATACATCCTCCCCACTCGTAGACATATTCTCCTTGACCACAACCAAGCCTCCCTTATTCAGCGCCTTCGCGCATTTTTCAAGATAAGATTGCAGTTGGGCATCAGTCAGGTGACCCAGGCACCATTGGTTCCAAATCAGATCGTATTCCGTCTCTGGGGACCAGTTCTCCAGACCGGTGTTGAATATCTCACCGACGCCTTCTTTGCCTTTGAGATTGTCGGTGAATTTGACTATGGGCTCAACGATATCGACTGTGTTGGCGACCTTGAGGAGGAGGCCCTCTGTGATTCTCCCGATCCTGTAAAAAGCCGTCAATACGCAATTCCTGTGCGTACCAAAACCCCTTATAAATCTCCTGGTAGAGCATGCAATGCTCGCGGGATCACGATAAAAAGTGCCACTCAATCAATCAATCAATCAAAACATCTCTCTCTCAAGCGCCTCAGCAGCATACCAATTTAACGTACCCAGCACCACAGTCAACCGCAATCTTCACCTTCGCCTTCCCCGCACCCTCTCCCCCGACTCCCAGCTTAGCAAGGAAGTTTTTCGAGCCCTGTAGGTCCACCTTCGAGATGAAGGAGAAGCCGCCTAGCATGCCGTTGACGTCGGCATCGATCGATGCCCAGTAGTCGAGCGCATCTTTGTGATTGATTTGGGAGTCGGCCATGTTCTAGGCTGGATGCGTTGCGGATTATTTATGAGGTGCTCATGGTTTGAGGTTGGGTTTGTGTTAGGACAGGACAGGACAGGAGAGGTATAGCGATAGAAGGTTGCAGAGGTGAAGCGATAAATGAAAGATTCAAGGGCTCGCTCGCTTCTGCCAGCTCGCTAGCGCGGAGCTAGAGGCTGAATGTGGTGGAGTCGGCTTCAGAGTTGACTTCACCAGGGGGCGTCTTTATTCAGTAGGCTTTACAAGATTTGGGAATCTGGAGTGGTAAATATGGACTTGAACTGTGGATTTCGGGATATGAATCTAATATCGCGAAGCTAGAATTGCAAATCGAAGTTGAAAAATACAGAGCACCTATGATGGATCTTTTAAGCCATGTTAAGATGTATGCATTAATCGTCAAGACTATCATATCCCTGACGCTATTCCATATCCCAATTATAGCCATTCGCTAGCCCACTACCATATCCAGTGCCCCATCCCAGCAGAATCAAAACGTTATTCTTCATCGCTACTATCTATAATAAACCCAGACCGTACTTTCTGCCTAGCTGGTCTCGCTACAAGATCAACTTCTTCATCCTCTTCCTCACTACCGATCACCATAGCAGTCGATGTCTTGAAACTTTCCTCAACTTCCGGCTCTGGCGAAGCAGAGCTAACAGCCTTGGAGACCTTTTGCCTCTTCGGTTTTGAAGGGCGTATATGTGGGCTCGACATCGGTGTGTCCGTAGCTTCGTCCTCTGAACCCTCAAGTACATTATCCCTTGCAGCTGAAGAAGATCGGGCGCTGGCTTGTCCAACTCCATCGTCGCTATCCTCAGGAGTAGGACTCTTCCGGCCACCAGCCAACAACAGGTCGTCATCGCTGTCCTCAGCAACAGCGCTCGAAGGTCGCTTCTTGCCTAGCCCTTTGGCATCCTTCCCTTTCTCAACGTGAAGCAGCTCCCTCATGGTGGATAATTTTTGCTGCTTCCGCAAACGCTCTTGCTCCTCACGAAACAAACGATCCGTCTTCTCGCGGATCTTCTGTTCCCTGGCAAAGAAAGCAGCATCGGCTTCCTCATCGTCTTCGTCACTGTCCTGGATATACATTTCACTCTTGATCTTTCGGTGCTTTTCGAGCTCTCTTTTTCGTTTGGCTTCATGCCGTGCTTTGAGTTGTTCATCAGTGAGACTTCTGTCTTCTTCATCATCTGTTCCCTTATTCCTCCTACGTCTCCGGCTCTTCTTCAGAGCTTCTATTGCTGCTGCCGATTTCTTCGAGGCAGTAGGACCACCAGGCTCGAAAAGAAGCTCTCCCTCATCGTCGTCGTCGATCCCATCGTCCTCATCGTCGAAAACGGCCTTTTTTCGGGGGGCGGTGGCTGCAGACCTGCGCTTGATAAAGTCGCCAGCCTCTTGCCCATCATCAAAAGCGGGTGGGCTGAACTCGAATTTATTGATCAAATCGAACGCTTCTTTCAACTGACCGGCGGATAAGCTCGAGGGAATGATCCATGAGCCCTCAGGATCATCTTCACTACCAATGCTTCTGAAGCCAACTAAAGTCATTAGGAGTCGGAGGTGGCCGTTCTTGAACATGGCAATTTTACGAGTACTGTTATCCGATTTCACAGCTACGAAACTGTTAGCTGGCTGAGTCAAACAGCTGAGATAAGAGAACTTACAAATAACAGGCGGCTGGGGTTGTTCAACCTCGATAACTGGGGTATTCTCTCCTTCTCCTTCGGCGGCAAGACTGCCTCCTTCCGCTGCAGGAGCCTTTTCAACCGAAGGCAAAGCCGCATTCGCACCCTCCCAGCTTCGCCTCTCGCTTTCAGCGGAGCTGAGCTGCGATTTAACCCATTGAAGATGCTCCCCTTCGTTCCTGTCCAACATGGCGCCCACTACAATTCCGATCTGGTCCTCCCATTCTCGTCCTCCCTTGACCTCAAGTTCAGCCGCAGCTCTGGGCTTCGATGTGACCGTCTGCTTCTCATATCCATATTCGAGGTAATGCGCGGTACTGTTGATCTTGGAGAACAGCATCTCGACCACCAGCTCCGGACGCTCCTGGATCTTTCTGGTACATTTCTTGATGATCTGCCTGACAAACTCATCCCACTCCTTGAACGTGCTGGATGTAGAATCCAGACCTTCAGGGCCCTTGATCATCTTGTAGAAGAGGGCGATGATGTCAACTTTGAACAGCATGACGCTCATCTCCTGTTTGAAGGCAACCCGATAGAAAAATCGGTGGGCCCGCTTGAGTTGTGCTGGCTTGAGATCATTGTAGTATGCCGTAAAAGTGACGAATGTATCGACACAGCCCTGCGACACAAATCTGGCAGTAAAACGCTTGAAGTCGAATTTTCGCTCGCTCGACACGCGTTCGGCTCTCGCTTCATCCTCACCCTCAGAGTCCTCCACAACATCATCGTCCGCACCACCTTCTCCTGCAGCCCTAGCAGCCTTCTTCTTCCGCCGAACTCTTCTCCGTGATCTTACGTGCATTTCAGTATTCTGCTTCGCGTACTGTTCCAGGATCCGTAGGTAGTTGTGAGTAAGTTCGGTACATGCATCCAGGTATCCAAATCCTTGGTCCTTGTACGTTCGGATGATGTTTGCAACCCTGTCGTGAGTCGTTTCCTCGTAAAATATACGATTAAGGATATTTTCTGCGATCTCCTGGTCTTCTTCGATCGGTGATTCTGACATCTCCTGGACTGTGAGCAGGATCTGGGTAAAGCACTTCATCGCAGCGCTAAGATCATGCCACAATTTGTTCTGGAAAGTAAAGTCCATCGACCGGTTCAGCGTGACGAACATCTCTTGGTTCAACACACTGGCCACCAGTGAGAAGCTATCTGAATCATCCGATCCAGCGGGATTTTTGGTGGTTTTCCGGTTCTTCCTTCTAACACGCTCTGCCTCCAGAAACCAGGACACGAGGTAAAAGAATTGTCTTGGGTGGTATTCCAGTATCCGTTCCGCTTCTCGGTCGATGGCCTTGCGAACATGGCCGAAAAGCGGATTGAACCCCGAATCCAGAAAATCTTCCACAAAGTTCCGGAGATGCTTATTCGCTTGTGGATTTAGCACAACAGGAGTGTCGAAGTCTAAAGGTCCACTTTCCCCTTTCAACTGTCTCCTCGGGGGCTTGAACTTCTTGGTACTATCCATTTTTGCAAGAATCCTCTTTCCGTCAAGCAGAGCAGCTTGACCTGATATGGTAGTCATCTTGGCACCCTCTCGTTGCATCCAGACCATACTGCCAAATCGACTGTGTCTTGTAGGAGCGTTTGCTTGGTAGGATCTGAGCATGGCGGCCTCCTTCTGCCTAAGCCTCACCAACTCATCCATGTTGCTGTTGTTGGCTTTCTGTTCGTCCATGAATAGTTTCTCGATGTCGACTCCCTTGATCAGATGGAAAAGTATGTCCAGAACCACCACATCCTGGGTGTTGAAATCCTCCCCCATTGTCGAGGAAACCGTCAAGAGTAAATGGAAGATATCCTGGTAGTCGAAAGCGGCAATCGTTGCAGACCGCGATATTTCGGCCTCGTCGCCCTCGTACTGCACATTCGGAGGTGGCGCGATCTGCGCTATATTCCGGACGAAGTAGAGCAAAAGCTTGATGATACCTTCATCTCTGGTACTTCGATCCCCGATATCCTCGGCCATCGAAGGTAACGCACACCGGACCGCCGTGTGCAGAATTCTCGCCCCATCAAAGTTTATAATCGACCTCTTGTATCCCAGCTGGGAAATCTGCAAGTACGGGATGTGACGATGGTGATTCTTTGTCATCTCCTGAAGGTTCTTCTCCAGAGGCCAAGTCAGCGGTACCAGCAGTTCCAAACAGGCCAGGGCAATCTTGGACTTCAGTCTGTCGTCCGTAGCATTTTCCGGCCACGCTGCGAGAATCTGCAACAGATCCCCTCCGACCAGGTTCGAATCTGCCAGACATCGTGCTACGTCCAATCGATTCGCTTTCTCGTCGTAAAGCTTCAGCCACCTCTTCAGGTCTCGCAGACATGCAAGAGCGTCATCCCCGAGTATGTAGCGTCCGTCTTCGTCGGCACCGCTCCCTCCAAGCTGGACGTGTCAATATAGTAGTGCTTCAACCGTTGAAAGAGAGGTACTTACAGCGGTAACAAGACTGGAAACATAGGCCCGAACCTCAGGATCGACAACATCTCGTGTTCCATCAGCCAACTCCATGATGTTGTGGAAAGTAGTAAAGAGTCTTGCTGCTTGCTCTGTCGTTCGCCCAGAACTTTTTGGTACTTTACGCGCCCCGCGTCGCAGAGCGCGAACCCCTGTCTAGATCGGCCAGATAGCGCTCAGACTTGGCATCGTTAAGCCGAGGCTAAGTGGGGGGCAATCAACATACATCTCTGACATAAATCAAACCTCCTGCTTGCGCGCTGTGCATTTTCGTCTGTACAACATTCAATCGATAACAATGATTTCACCGATACTGAGGAGAAAGCTGGTGCAGGGCACTCGCCACAACAGATGCTTCAGCTCGAGCCCAATGCTTGCAGCGCAAGAAGTTCGACGGCTGGGTGTGATTGGGGCGGGACAGATGGTATCCTACAATACTGTATACATCTGCAGATATAGCAGCCACTGATGTATACATAGGGCTTGGGAATAGCACTGGTAGCTGCACAGAAGGCTGGTGTACCAGTCACACTCGTAGATACCAACCAAGCATCGATAGACAAAGGCCTCTCCTTCGCCGGTCAGTATTCCTCCTCCTCCTCCTCCTCCTCCTCCTCCTCCTCCTCCTCCTCCTCACCCCGCCAGAACTCGCCCCTCTGACCCTCGCATCCAGACAAGCTCCTAGCAAAAGATGTCACCAAGAAACGCATAACCCAAGAAGAATCTGACAAGGCCCGCTCCCTCCTCACCCCCAGCACAACCATGGACGCCCTCTCGGAAGCCGACTTCGTGATCGAAGCCGTTCCCGAGATCCCGTCCCTCAAATTCGACATCTTCTCCAAGCTGGCCCAGATCTGCCCTCCCCACGCCATCCTCGCGACAAACACCTCCTCCATCTCCATCACCCGCATCGCAGCCTCGACAAGCAAGGACCCGACAGACACCAGCGCCTCGTCCCGGGTCATCTCGACCCACTTCATGAACCCGGTCCCTATCCAAAAGGGCGTCGAGATCATCACCGGCCTCCAAACCTCGCAGTCCACAGTCGACACGGCGATCGCCTTGTGCGAGGCCATGGGCAAGATCCCCTCTCAGTCGGCTGACTCGCCCGGCTTCCTCGCCAATCGGATCCTGATGCCCTACATCAACGAGGCGATCATATGTCTGGAGACGGGTGTGGGGAAGAGGGATGACATCGATGCCATTATGAAGAACGGAACCAACGTTCCCATGGGCCCGCTGCAGCTGGCGGATTTCATTGGCATCGATACGTGCTTGGCTATCATGAAGGTGCTGTATGAGGAGACGGGCGATTCCAAGTATAGGCCCAGTGTGTTGCTTCGGAAGATGGTTGATGCGGGCTGGCTGGGGAAGAAGAGTGGCAAGGGGTAAGTCGACCGAGTGATCATGATTACTCCCCTCGAACAAAATTGCTAACTTTAGGCCAGATTCTACGATTACTAGGCAGAAGAGTAGTGACCTGCCATTATTTTTATTTAAAAATAATTTCTTTTTTCTTTTTATTTGGTTATTTGACTAGCTCGCTATACTTTTTTCCTTTCTTTTCTCCTCTCCGTAGCATCCTATCCCGTCCCGTCCCATCCCGTCTCGCCCTCGCCTCGCCTCATCAGATTACACAAGCAACCCGCTCGCTTCATCCGCTTCGTACGCCGTACAGCCGCATATATATTATATCATTGAACATATAGTCCTTCCACTCCCTCCCTCCCTCCCTCCCGTTCCCTCCCTCCCGTTCCCTCTTAAAAAACGCCATATCCCACGCCACTCTACCCATAACACTCACTCACATACTCACTCACTGTCCGTCGAGCCTTCTACCGTAGTCACGTTAAGTCAAGTTACGTTACACCCCGATCACGACCCCGATCCCGATCACTACCACGACCTTGATCACGCTTACGATCATGCCGCATCCCTCCCTCCCCTCCCTCAGCGTGACACAATGTGATGTAATGCGATGCGATGTGATGTAATGCAATGCGATGCAATGCAATGTACCTGTCTCTACCTATACCTGTCTGTACCTATCTGTACCTATCTGTACCCCAGGTAAACAACCGAACGTAAAAGCGTAAATCGATCATCTCAATAAATAAGAATAAAAATAAAGCAGCAAGGACGTACCCTTAAAAGCAAGTAAAAGGTTATCTAAACCGTCATCTAACAATCCACTAACGGCCTCTTCAAAAGACGGTTCTAGAAGCTTACCTTAGCATATTTAGTGTAGGTAAGTCACAGGGGGTTTGAGAGACTAGCCAATCGTGTTGTGTTGTTGTATTTGTTGATGGTTGTCCCTATTCTTACAATGTGGGCTGCCCCTTAAGGGGGCAGTAGCCACGGCGGCACGTGACTCCTCACGTGCCACACCCTTTACGTGGCTGCTCCTTTTTCATCTGGATGATTAAGGCTAGTTTATTAGCGTAGCCTTTTTGCCTTAAAAAGCACTATACTCCCATAGACATTAAGTGATCCCTTGGTCGAATAAGCACTGTAAACTTGTTTCCTCGGCCGTGTGCTTGCTTAGCGGCCAACGAAAACTCGTGCGTATTCCATCGTGCAAGAGCGTATCGGAAGAAAAACCAAAGGGTCGTACGTAGTCTTTTAAACCAACCCTCACTCTTTATATCCAAGAAGTCTTCGAGAATCAACCTCGCTCTTGTATGGCTTTCCGGCCTTAGATACGGTACTAGGTAGCGAATCAAGGTCAAAACCGAGGTCCGACACGTCTTCGTCTAGCTCTTCGAGTGTAGCTCGAGTGCTTGGTTCACGAGGTTCTATCGGTGATCTTAAAGAAGGTTCCGTGTGTATCGCAGAGATTCGAGGTGCCTGAATCCCTGTTGCTCTTTGTCTGCTACTCTCGCCGCCTTGAGGGTCGGTTGACTGCATGCTGCTTAGCGTCGAGGCGTAGTGTTGTATGCTGTGTGTAGCTAGCGTGGCTCTATAGCGTTGAAAGGTTGTAATAATAAGTGACTTGGTCCGGAATCACTCTTCCGTAGAGGTGTGAAAAGGTAAGGCGGTAGTATAAGTAAGCGACTTGGTTCGGAATCGCTCTTCCGTAGTAAGGGAAAGCTATCGAGGTGTAAGAAAGCGACTTGGTTCGGAATCGCTCTTCGTAGTGGTGAGGAAAGGTATTCGGTATTTGAGTAGTATAGTGATTTCACTGCGGTTGCAGCTTTCTTCTAGCGCAAACTCACCACGCCTACACTCTTCGAGGAAGCAGAAGTAACGTCCCAACTCTTCGATCGATCCTAGCTTCTCTGTGATTGAGTAATGCTATTGGCGATTAAACAATCACTGATCCGTGTTGGATTGCCTCTAGCGATCGGAGAATATATATATATTCGTAACTTCGTAAGGGGTCGTCAAGGTACTTGCAATTGCAAAACACTCGGTTAAAATGGTATCTGATTTTTGTCTTTTCCTTAAGGATCAAAGGAGCTGATTCCTTTTATACGATTAGGAGGAATCACGTGCACTAGCTAAATACTAGGTTTATAATCAAGTTGGGAGTCCCTTGACTTGTGACATGCTAAGCGAAGCATGGCAAGTGACCCGTGAACCTTGGTTCACGAGTAAACCTTGCCACACCCCGCCTCAACTACTACTGATTGACTTAGGTCGATATGGAGATACCGACAATAGCTTTATTCGTTGCTAAGTTATTTCTAATACAAGTTGAAATAATTGAGATAGGACACTTGCTTGACCTGGGACGCTTGCTTGCCCTGACTGTGACCGAGAGCCCGCAGGTTACACCGTCAGTGCACTGACTATTAGCCGCCGTCTTCGAATTTTTAAATCGTTTTTTGGAAGGACTTGGATTAGTAAGCAAGCAAATAATAAAATAAATATTGAATGGATGAATGAACACACATATATAAAAGCTTAAATATAGATTAGATTGGATTAGATTAGATATAAGCGAATTAGATATAAGCGAATTAACCCCCCCCCCCCTTTTTTTTTATATTTTTTTTTTTGATAGAGATAGAGGTAGGGGTAGAGGTAGAGATAAAGATAAAGAGAGAGAGAGGGCTTGGGTAGAGGAGAGCTGAAGAGATTATTTGTTTGCTTTTGGAGGAGCTTTATTTTATTTTACTTTATTTTATTTTACTTTACTTTATTTGGTTAGTTAGTTAGTTAGTTAGTTAGTTGGTTGGTTAGCTAGTTAGTTAGTTAGTTAGTTAGGTAATTAGTTAGTTAGTTAGTTAGTTGGTTAGTTAGTTAGGTAATTAATTAATTAATTACTACTTTACGTGTATACACATACACATACACATACACACACATATATATATATATACGGCGTTGCAAGCGAGAGGTGCGAGGCGGGTGTGGGGGGGGGGGGAGAGGGGGGAGGGGGCAAATATATACATATATACATACGGTAGGTACCTATCCAATATATATATATATATATATTTATATATATATAAATCTAATATTATCCAATATATAGCTACTATATAAAGTCATAATATAAATGATACCTAAAAACGGAGACGGGAACAAAATTAGAAACCCAACAACAACACATGCTAAAGAAACACAATAAAAAGATGTATGTAATCGGCATGTATTCAACCAGCAAATAGATAAAAAAAATAAATAGGTAATAGATATATAATTGCAGCAGAGCCGGCGGCAGCAGCAGCAGCAAGCAGCAGCAGCAGCAATTCTTCTTCCGTACCCGTACACCGAACGATCCAACCAACCAGCAGACGCGCCACCAACAATGAAAAGAAAAAAAAAAAAAAAAAAAAAAATTTACACCGTAAATGATTCCCCAAGGTCTCCATCGAGACGAGCCAAGCCAAGCCGCCCTCAAAATTTCAAATTCCCAGCCAGCCAGATGTATGTATGCCAAGGACGAGTCTTGTCTTGTCTCTCTCTCTCTCTCTCTCTCTCTCCTCTCTCCTCTCTCCTCTCTCCTCTCTCCTCTCTCCTCTCTCCTCTCTCATTTGCTCTACCCCCAGCGGAGGATGGAGAGCGGGGAACAAACCGGTTATTAAAAGCCAACCCGTATCACTCCGGTAGATGGAATAGTGGAGGATGATTGATATTCGGTTGGGACGGGGGGTACGAATTTAACTCCCTCGCTCAATTTTGACGCGACGCGGAAGTGGTGTAAAGAGTATATGTGGGACGAATTCTATTTTGTTGGTTTGGTTGCGTTTCATGAATTGATGGGGTGAAGGGAATGGCAGGGTGGGTATCTACTTTGGAGTGGAGAGTTGATCTCGGAGCGCGCCCCCTTTTTGGTTTTGTTTGACGATGATGGTGGTGATGATGGAGTGGATCGCTCGGAATGCATCTCGTGTATCACCACCGCCGTCCTCGCGATCAGGATCCGGTCAGAGAGTCAGGAGGAAGGGAGGGGGTCTTTGGTCCCTCGCTTAATCGTTTTGATCCAAGGACTCCCGAATAGCCGGTGGGGTGGGCGACTTCGGAGTTCTGCTTGCGCTGCTGTTCCGCCTCCTAGTTCACGGGATTCAGGTACGAGGATGCTTCTCTGCCTCCAGGTGGCGGCGGCGGTTGGGATGGCTGCCGCTGCTGCTCGTCCTGGCTATGCGGGCTGTCTCCCCGCGCGTGACCGGGGCTCAGGCTGTTGGAGTTGTACGAGTTGTTGGAGTAGTCCTGGGACGGAGGCATGAGCGCGCTTGCGTAGCCGCTTGCTTGGTAAGAGTGGGCGAAGGTGCTGGTCCGCGGAGTCACGCCGTGCGGAGAGTTCGGGTTCGGAGGCGCGGGGCGGAATTGATTTCGCAGATCCAGGCTAGCGGGGAAAGCGCCGGACGAGGACGCTCTCATCGGTGGCGGCGGCATCGACGACGAGCCTCCAGCGCCGTGCGACGGAGGGTATGTCATGTGAGAGTGAGTCGACGGGCTGTGGTTGACGTTCGCATTCGCATTCGCATTCGCATTCGCACCCGCAGTGGGACTCGTGTTCGCATTGGCATCTGTTCCATTGTCAGCACCGAAACGTGTTTGAGCTCTTGGAACTGGAATCGGAGTTTGGGGACGAACTTGAGTAGGAGTTCGCATCGTACTGGTGCGCATGAACGCCGCTGTTCCCCATCTGCTCCGGCTGATACGCAGACTGCTGGCGGCCATTCACGGCAGGACTGGGCTGCCCTGTTTGGTAGCTGTCGTAGTCGAGCGTCTCGCCCTTCCACGACATGCTTGACCTCAACGGCGAGTTCATATCCGATCGAGACCTCGTCAACGTTTCGCGGAGCTGCAGAGGCTGCAGGGGCCGGGCGTGCTGCCGTGGGTGGGAGAGTTGCTGATAGCTGCCCTGGCGATCGAACGGGTTCGAGCTCCGAGGGCCGCTGCTCATCGGGCTGGGCATCTGACTGGAGTAGTACCGCTCCGACGAGTTCATTGATACCGGCGACAGGCCTTCTGGCGTTCCCATCCCCCCGGAGAATCCGACATGGCTGAAGGCAGGGCTGAGCCCCGTAGGCGACATGTGCTCATCAGCCTCACTCCTCCGCATGGTGTCCACCATCATTGGCCGGATCATGTGCTCTCCATATCCTGGCGAATACTCAATCGGGGACTGCATTGGTGTTCCGACTCCGTGTACGGCTCCATACGGGGAGTGTAAGGCTTGCACATTATCGAAATCGTCTGGCACGGCCCTCATCTTCATCATGCGGTCCCGGTCATCCGCTGTGAGTCGCTTTATCTTGGCCCGTCTGTTTTTTTCTTATATCAGTTTCTCGCCCCGTCTCATAATCTGGGCAGGATGCATACCGGTTCTGAAACCATACCTGAACCTGGCGGGGACTCAAGCCGGGTATTTCCCGGGAGAGCCGTTCCCTATGCGCGGCGTCCGGGTGCGCCTGTTTTGCGAACTCGCTCATCAAGAATCGAGTCTGTTGGTGAGTGAGACTGGCATCATGTTAGAACAGTTCGTCTGGACAGGGGGGCGAGAGGGGTCGCACCGGAACCTCTTCATCTTTCTTCGCTCAGCCCGACGCTCAGCAGCAGTCTGCGCGGAAGTTCCATCGTCCGCCTCCCCGTCAAGCATCTCGTCATCATCATCGAGATCATCGTCTTCGTCTTTGATGTCTCCCTCCACATCCGGGCTTCTATTAGTGACTCGTGGCGGCTGCTGGGAGGGTGCACTTGATGCAGAGCTTAGCGAGTTCGATCCAATCGATCCCAGTGATAAGGATGTAGATTCGGGGGAGACAATGGAGTCGTCGCTGGGGAGGTTGTCGGGATGGCCACATTCTCTGGGTGCCGAGTCGGGCCTCTCGGTTGTGGGGAGTGGTTGAGCGTCATGTTCTCTCGGCCCATTGCTGTGCTTCCGCTCCAGCGTTGGTCTCTCACCGGCGGATTGCTGATGTGGCTCATGGCCCGCTGTGTTGGGGGCGCTCGCTTGTTGGAAGGCCGGCTGGAGATGGCCATTTGCACCAGGGTTAGGGAAGCCCGAGTACTGTTCTCGCCAGTCTGGCTGTGGAGGCAGTTGGTCAAAGTTCGCCATGCGTGGGGACGCCACGTTCTGATACAAGGCCTCAAGCTTGCTGGAAGTCCAAGTATTCCGTCCTGAATCGAATGAGCGTGTGACAAGCATTGAGAAGTGCGTGGGCGGCTGCTGCAGATTTTACAACGCGGGGACTGTTATCTAGTGTAGTTGGTGATGGTGGTTGGTGATGGTAGTGGTGGTGGTGGTGGTGGTGGTGAAGTAGCTGAGATAGCTCCGTGTATATCAAGTCGGAAAACGGCAGGTGGGTTGGTGATCTCGCGGCTGGAGGAGGCAGAAGAAGCAGAAGAAGAAGAAGAAGTAGAAGTAGAAGTAAAAGTAGAAGTAGAACGAGAGTGAAGACTGTTGTTGGTCGAGAGAAGAGTCGCTGATCACTGACCAGAAAGAATGTAAGGCCTGTCGAAGGCTTCGTCGAGAGTGGATGCGTGGTTGATGAAGCACGCTGAAAGAAAGATATCCTCGAGAGGCTCGGAAATGGGATGGAGAGAAAGTAGTAGCTCGTCCGGAGGTAATAATGTGGAGCGATCCCAGAGTAGATAAGGCTCTCCACGATCCCTTCACGGTGGATCCGACTGACTTGGGCTTGCGGACTCTGGGCGTGCTTCAGAAAGTACAAGAAGCCCAAACGGTCGAGACGTTCAGGTGACAGAGTTCACCGACCAGGCAGGCCCGTCCAGGATACTCGCGCTAAGGGCTTGTTGTTTTTCCCGGGCAAGGATGACATGGACTCTTTCAAACCGCTGGAGTCGCGATGGCCCTGGCTCGTCCGAATGGACGGGAGATTGGCTTGCCGGCTGCCCTCGAGCGACAGCGACGGATACGGCAAAGACGGCGTTGGGGGGGGATCGTGAAATCTCCTTCCTGGGACCAAGAAGCCGATGATCCACTCTGGCCGGCTTTGGCTTGTTCGATCGACGCGGATCGAATGATGGGTATCGCGAATAGGGGGCAGGAGGTAGGACGGCCGCGGTGGAGGGAGTTGTAGTGGGAGATGTAGCGGTAGATGTCGTGGTAGATGTCGTGGTAGATGTAGTTGTACCGGTACCGGTAGTTGTAGTTATATAAAAGCAAAGGGACTGACTGGCTGACTGACTGACTGACTGACTGACTCTGACTGACTAGCTAATGAACTGACTAACTGACTAACTAACTAACTGACTAACTAACTAACTGACTGACTGACTAACTAACTAACTGACTGACTGACTGACTGACTGACTGACTGAATGACGGAGGAGGACCCGAGGAGGGGCCATGCCATGAGCCCTCGTCGAGATTCTGATGCAGCACCGTACCGCGGAGGCAGATGATTGGAGGACTGGTTACCAAGTCAAGCGGGCGTTCCACACCCGGGGGAAAAAAATAAAGTACTACAACTAGTCGTAGTAGTCGCACAGTAGTCAGTTGTGGTAAGTAGTACTAGTCCTAGTCCTAATACTAGTACGTAGTAGTAGTACTACTAGTACCTAGTAGTAGTATCTGGGGACTAGGGTTCAGGGACCAGGCACCAGGGACCAGGGGCCAGGGACCAGGGACCAGAGCCTGGCCGGGCCTGGTCTCGACTGCACGGCGACCTACCCTACCCTACCCTGGCTGGGACTTGAGGTGAGAGTTCAGATCTCAAACTCCAGACGACCAGGGAGGTGTCGAGTGTCGAGTGTCGAGTGTCGAGTGTCGAGTGTTGTCGTTTGTACGTAGTATGATTTCGCACCTCGGCCCCGGAGAGACACATCGTGGCCGTGTGTGTACATTCCGAGGGGGAAAGGAAGCATTGGGGGAAAGTGATGACTGGCGGCAGTGGTAGCAGTCGGGAGCGAGTTGAGGGCGAATGGATCCTGACGGAGAATAGGCGAGGCGAGGCGAGGCGAGAGCGACCCGGCTGAAGTCCGCTTACTACTAGTACTACTACAATTACTACTACTACGACTACTACCACTACTACCGGTATTACTACTATTACGACTAATACTACTACCGGTACTACTACTACCAACTCGTCGCAGTTGTACTTGTACTGACCGTAGCGGCCAGCCCTTCTTCCTGGCCACGCGGAAGTGTACCTTCGCCGGCCTTGCAGGGAGTGGGAGTCAGTACCTAGTAGTGTGACCAGGGGAAATGCGCTTTTTGCTACCTCGTCGTCCGATGCTCAGACGAGGCCACCACCAGCCAGACCAGGCGGGGACCGGGACAGAAAGGAATCTTGCAGCAACAACTACCGACCTCGCTCCATCGGGCACCTCCTCCACCTCGTCCCCCTCCCCCTCCTCCTCCTCCCCCTCCTCCTCCGCCTCCTCCTCCTCCTCCTCCTCCGTATGGGACCGTAGGTAAGCGTAGGTAGGGAAAGCCGAATACTGGACTCGGTCCGGTCGAGGAGGAGGGACGGCTTCCTTCCAATACCGTACGTGTAACCCGGGAAGAAAGATCAAGCAAGTAAGCATGCTTGGGACGTTTCGATGGGAACGACTCATTGGCCCTCAGGGTCTACGAAGCGAAGTGGAAGTGCTTCTTCTGCGGGTCCACGCATACCGTACGGAGGGATAGGGATCCAGTAGGGATAGGGATAGGTTACCCTCGCCCTTGTCAGGAGCGCAAGAGTCAGGAGTCAGGAGTCAGGAGTCAGGACCGAGGGCATCAATGCCAAGCAGCACTTTTGAGAGACTGTCGTTGTTGTCGTTGTTGTCGTTGTTGTTGTTGTTTTTAGTCTTGTTCTTGTTCGGTGGGGAGTTGAAGCTCCGTACCGAGTACCATGACGGAGTCGAACGTGACGCGGGTCACTTGTGGTGGTGGTGGTGGGGATGGTCGAGGAGAGCAGGCAGGGGGAACGCCCGGGCGGATGCTCTTTGAGAGTTCGAGAACCTCTTCCAGATCGATCAGACCGCAGTTACACAACGCGATGTCCCTACCGGAGCGGAGCAAGTCTGAACGGTGGTGGTCCTTTGAAGGTTTGGGAGGTTCACTTGGCTGACACAGGCCGGAGTGGACAGGTGCAGGAGCAGGTGCAGGAGCAGGTGCAGGTGCAGGTGCAGGTGCAGGTGCAGGTGCAGGTGCAGGTGCAGGTGCAGGTACAGACAGGTATGGGTACAGGCAGGAAGGACACTTTACCGAGTCGCGACCGTCATAGCATGAATGGATGGATGGATGGATGGATGGATGACGAAAATGCATAATTAATGCCCTCTCAACTCTCCATCATCAGCGACACCGACACGGGAAGGACCTAGAGGGGCTCCCCTCCTGAGTTGAGGCCATAATCATCTAGGGAAAATGTGATGGAAGTCCCAGCCAGGCAAGCGCGCCTCCGTTCTCGCAAGATGGGCCGCATGGGGGGTGGATGGTGAATGGTCCCTTCTTGACCCTTTCGGTGCTTTCCGGTCGGAAGTGGTGTGAAATGGTCGGGCGGCAGTGCTGTTGTTTCAGAGCAGGCAGGCAGCAGGCAAGGCAGGACTGGAACATGCTTAAAAAGCAAGTCGAAGCAAGGAGCTAGGATTAGTCATATAATACTGTACTAACGGTACCTGCTACCGGTACTCCATACCACTACGGAGTAACTTCTCTCTGTAGTAGTACTAGGTACTAGGTACTAGGTACGTACGTAGTACTAGGGCATGTACATGTACAAATATAGTACTAAGTACCGTGCGGAGCTAAAGGACACACCGTAGAAATCGAGATGGAAATAGATTTAGACTCGGGCACGCACGCTAGCCGCTGCTAAGTACTTAAGTAGACGTTGCAACCGTTGGCACTAAGTACCGGTACTACTCCGGACACCTGGACACTTGGACACTTGGACACCTCGCTGGCTTCTTCTGGAAGGAAATCAACCTTTCACTACTAGATGCAGGAGGTGCAAGGTGCAAGGTGCAGGTGCTAGTACCTAGTACTACTGTACTACTACGTACTACGTACTACTACCTACCACCCGCCCCGCCCCGCCCCGCCTCGCCCCGCACCGTTTCTGGTGGCTCGCTCGCTCGCTCGCTCGCTCGCAACCTCGTCCGACTGGGTCAGAGGGAACGAAACATCCATCCCTTCATAACGGGGTGGAGTTGAGTCCTCGAAACAACAGTGAAGTCAGTCGTGCTACACTGTACTGTACGATACTACACGATCCTGTGCTCGCAAGTACCAGGACAGCCGGTCATCCAAATTCTACGCATTAACGCGGCATTCATCATCGCTGCTGCAAAAACCGCCCAGCAATAGCCACGACAGGGAGATAAGAAAAGCCCGGATGCTTGTCTCCATCCTCGCATGACCATTGACCACACAGTTACTAGGGACACTACCGGTCCCGACCACAACTGCAATACCATCCATCCATCAACAATCCCATCCCCGCTTCCGTCATGAATCGAGCCAGCGAGACTCGACTCGGCCAGGTGAGAACGAACGGATGGACGGCCGGTCAATCTACGGCAGATCTGGGTTGCACAACGCTTCCAACAGGCCCGGTCTACTGCCCCGGGGCCCCTTTCCGGCTTCCTGCTGCTGCTGCGGTGCACTGTCAGTCTACGGTACGACGCGGTAAACTACTACGTAACTACCTAGCCAGCGGCCTTGAGCTGCGGAGGTGACTCGACTCGACTCAGGCTCGGCTCGACTCGGCTCGACTCGGCTCGACTCGGCTGAGACTGGCCATGATGACCATCGAATCGCCGCTCGCGACCAGAGGCATCCTATCCGGTTCGCCTCGTGAGGTGACATCCGTTGCCATGGCCTCATCTTGTACTGCTCTGGTAAGTAGGGTGCACTCTCTGTCCTCGAGTCTGACGCACGGAACCCTCAATTAAGCCTCGTCTTAATCAAAATATGCAAGGCTGACGGAGTGGACTGACTCTGGATACCCCTCCCTCCCCCTTTCGCAGGATCAGATGCCGGATCTCGACGACAGCACCGGCGTCAAGCGGAGAATTCCAACCGGAGCTCATCTTCTCTGCGCCGCTCCAACATAAATAACGACTTTGGATATCTCCAGGACGCCAAGGCTCATGCATAGAAATATGAAAGGATAGGGCAGGGCTGTACTAGCGATTAGCGCCCCTAGGTATTTGTTAGCAAGTCCCATTTGCACTGCAGCCCCGTGTAGCCCAGTGGCCCAACCCTATCATCGCCGTGATCATGGAAGCTATTCTCACCTTTATATGCTCGCTTTTCGCAAACCTTAAAATGGCCACCCTCTCTAATAAGCGCTCTCAAGCACGCGATGACGCCTCTCGCCGACAAGAGTTTGAACCTCCCCCCTTATTTGATATCTCTTTCGAAGGGTCGTACTAGCGTGATCTTGATGGTGACAGCTTCGATGTTAAGGAGATTTTAAGAGCAATACAAACTTTACCATTAGAAGCTTCGCAAGCTGAATCTCCAATGGGGACATAAGACGAGCCTAACGAGCTTAAGTACCTTGATCTTTGCAATAATAACGAGGACGGCGCTAATCCTAATCAGATTCTATGACACCATCACTTAGCTAAATCGCAATTGACCGATCAAGATGCTCTTGGAAAAAAAATGATACGCAAGCAATAGCCAATAGAGATCAGGAGACGCAAGAAGAGGGGCTTCGCGTATAGCATTTGGAGAGGAAGCGACCTATGGACTTGGATATAAAAGCAATCGAGGCAGAAAAGCGATTGTGATAATATATCTTCATCTTTTGTTTCTCATTGATCATTCAAGTCGACGCTCTTCGACATCACGCTTTTGCTGTGATCCTGCTACTTAAGATAGCCCCGCCATACAAAATACGTAGTAATACTGGTCGCTTATCTGGCCCCGCAAGGGTCCGCCCCCCCGCCCCCGCCCCTTTGTGCACAAGATTATGCATTAGCCTTGGCGTCCTTGACATACCTATCTAAAGGTATCCTCAAGATTTCAAAACTCTAAATAATTTGCCTATATCGAGAGAACGGTCTTCGTCCCACCATGTCGTCCCAAGTCAGGTACAAGTTGCTCCCGTCTAGTGTCCCGATATACCTCGAGATCGACGTATACGGTAGGGCTGAGAGCCCCTTGAGACGAGGCGGTGGCCCTGGAGGACTCGAGAGAAGGTTGGCTGTTGACATCGGGGTCAGCTGAGCTGAGCTGAGCTGAGCTGAGCAGGATCGAGGAGATGCATTCACACAGCAGATTTTGCTCCTGAATTCCGGCAGTCGCAGCAGGGACTATCCTGAAGACCAAGATCCCCTCCGATGCGGGAGACCACTTGGAGCAAGGATGCACAGGTCAGATCCGCTGTGCTACCACTACGGAGCGCCGTATTGCAGGTGTTTGCTGGCCGCTGGCTGCGCGACGACACGGCGGAGCGAGATGTGCAGGCAATGCAGGAACACACAGGCACCGGAACCTCTTGAAACTCGGACCGCTGCTGTATTTCTTCCGGGAGGACGGGCGGGGGGGGGGGGGGGTGGGGTGGTACGCGGGCAAGCAAGCCATGGATCGGCTAAACCTGGAGCGAGGGAAACAAATACATACGGTATAACATCCTCAACTTTGGTCTTGGTAGCCTGCCTGCCCGCTCGCCACGCCGACGTCCCACCAGCAGCATCTCTACGTGGCCGCTTATCGGACGGAAATCTTGTGGGACTACTTCTACGTACCTCCATGACAGCGGCGGCATCCTCACTCAGGCACCATGCTTGCTCTCTCGCATCCGTGAGGTGATGGACCTCCCCCCAGAGATTTACCGGCATTTCACAGGTGTGATACTGTGTACGGCGCTTCTCCGAGCCAACTGCGGCCTCCCAAGTCCAATTAGGTACAGAAGAAGCTGTGGCGGGCGAGGAGATCTGTTCCCCGCTCCGAATGTCTTGCGGCCCCGTCTTTCGAAATCGCAACGGCTTCTTATCACCATCTCGGTCCTTGCCTTTCCGTTCCTTTCCGTTCCGTCCAACTTATTGCTTCGGTAGTCACCACATGACTTTTGTCCAAGCGCGGATGAGAAGGCCAAGCGAGGGAAGTCCTACTCTGCGGTTTTTGTACCACGCAACGGTCGAACGGAGGCCTGTTCATCCGCGGAGCACTTTCGCTGTCGTGATAATTCCGTGCAAGTACAAGTACTACTAGTACAGTACAGTACGGACAGCCAATGCTCTCGCTATTGGGTGTATCCTTGCCCGACTCCATGTTCCGGGCTGGCCCACCTGCGTCGATCAGCGCCCTCAAGAGCCACGTCGCCAGTCGCTTCGGCATTACGGGATTGGGACCCTTCTACAACTAGGGGAAGGACCCGAACCTGGAGGGGTCAACTGCTCTGCATACAGAGCACACGGGTTGAACGATACCCCATTCAACTCATTGGGCAGTAACACCAGCAGCAAGACTCTGTATCGGTCGACCCTCTGTATCTATCACTGAACGTACTACGGATAGATGTATGTCGGTGCCGGCGGCTCCTCCTGATGCGCTTTGCTTTCGAGATCTCGGGGCATCTGCTTACGTGGAGGGCGGCTCGAAGCACGAGTGCTGCTCCGGAGAGAACGTGTGTGAGCCGGTCCCTTGGGGCTTTTAATCTATCTGAACGCCACTGGCGCCGCTGGCGATGGGCGGAGATTAAGCACCATGATACACACCTGGCAACAAGCTTATCTACAACTACTACGTACAACAACCGAATAGTAGATGTCTGGCTCCGGCACTGCCAGGCCATTCTGGTACAACATCTAGTCCCGACTGAATGTCAGAGACGTAAGTAAGTTCCCAGGGTTCGGCTCCGAACTCGGCTCCAAAACTAGTTGTACACAACTACTCCGTACAGGACCGGTACAAGACTACAAGTACTAGTACTCCGTACGAGTCATCCGGATCATCAGATGAAGCGCCCACCCGACGTTATCCTCGTTGTGGTTAAAGTTGCGAGATGAGGGGTCAAAAGTACGGATTGTACGTAGTAGTGCGGCTGCAGAAGAAAGGGAGAAGCTATGCCTTTCCACGTGTTTCAAGTCTTTACGACAGGCCCAGGGGCAGGCTCAGGCTCAGGGGCAGGCTCAGGGGCAGGGGCAGGGGCAGGGGCAAGGGTAAGGAAGGGCCAGAGCAAGGGCAGACCGGACGGAGCGTGAGTAAGAAGACCAAGGGGGGAGGGGTACACAAGTACACTGAACCCCCACCGTTCCATGCTTCAACAACACGCTTTCTTTCACGATGCACGAACTCAAAATCCGAACCCAAAATCAGTTCATACGTACGGAGCTTCACTCTCCCTTCCCTAAGAATCGATAGCTCGGTCTCGAGGCGCTCTTGGCTTTTGCTTTTTTTCCCACTCTCCTGATGCTTCACCGGCTCCTAAAAATAAAATTAAGGGATGAGAAGAAAAAAAAAGGTTTCTTCCGCGGTTTTTCTCCTAGCCGCCGCCGGCATCGCAGGATTGGATAGGAGAAGCGATTTAACCTTTTGTGTGTAAGTTAACCTTTTTCCCTTCCACGATCAAGATCAAGATCTAGATCTCGATCGAGATTTCAAATTAAGCAAATTAAATAAAATAAAATAAAACCCCTTCGACGACCCTCTCCTAGCATACCTAGCACGGCTCATCTCTCTTTTTCTCGAATCGACGACAGAAGAACCTTGTCTGGTTGATAATCGATACTGGTTTTTGGGTTTTACTTACTTGGTATAGTGTTGTAGTGTAGTAGTGTAGTAGTGTAGTAGTGTAGTAGTCTCGTAAGTAGAGGAGGAACCTCCGTCATTCGGCCTCGGCCTCTGTGGGGAAAATAAAAAGAGAAAAAAATGAGGATCGTTCCTCCCTTTAATTTTTTTTTTTTTTTTTTTTTTTTGGAATGTGTCCCTGCGATCACGGCTGAACACCTACGTACATACATGCGAAACACCTCTTGGAGATGTCCCAAAATTACAAAATACTATCGTGGCGGAAATGTTATGTAGATAGAGCAGAGCTCGCAACATTGCTTGCCCCGGCGGACTCTTGTTTGGTGTCTGGTGACTCGAGGTTTATGATAGTATGATGCCTAGCAGATGCTATTTGCCTTGTGTTGTGCAAAAGCAGACTTGCAATTGCACAGTGCAGTTGTCAGTGTGATAGACCTATTTACCGCACGGCACCTTGTATTTCGGGGAGAGGCAGTTGAGGCTCGTTCTGAGTCGAGGCATGGTAGCCCCTCATGAATTCGCAATAGACATGCATATTGCGTCGGCGTTGGATAGAAACGGCGAGGAAGCTGAAGATGCATGGCCACACAGTCTCAGCGGCTGATTTGGTAGACTTGTAGCGAGCCATAAGGGGGGCTTTGTGAATGATCAACGAAGAGTCTCGCTTGCCATCCTTGTCGATTTTTTTTTGTTTTTGACCTAAGAGACTCCAAAGGATTATGAATGCTTCTCCCCCCCCCTTGTACAGAATGCTCAGATACCCCTTTGGTGCTTTTCTTTCTCTCGATCTTCTAGTAAAATTTCTACCTCAAGGCGACAAAGCCACAAGGCTTCGTTATTTTTCTCTTCCCACTCTCCCAACAATGTCATCCTCAAACTCAGACTTCAAACAGCCTCAGCCATCGCCCACATCAAGGCAACAAAGTATCAACATGGCGCAACCTTGCCTTGACCTTCCTCCAGAGCGTCTCTCAGCAGAGGTACTTGTCAAGTAAGTTTCTTAGGTCTTTTTTCTGCCTGCCCGCCATTCGAACTGACTTCTTCTGCAGGATGTTTGACGGTCCCAGAGTTACAATCATCGTTGGTGAAGAGAAGAAAGTACACAAACTTCCAAAGCTTCTCCTCTGCCACTTTTCGCCTTATTTTAACTCCTGTTTCAATATGCGATCCAAGAAACTTAGCGAGAAGGAGCTCGAGCTACCAGACGATAAACCCGAGGACTTCTGGATGTTGATCGAGTTCATGCTTCGCGGAGCCGTCTCTGACAAATTCCTTATGAGAAAGGCTGGAGACGATGAGAACGTTCTGAAGGCAACGGTCTCTGAATGCATGGACTTCCTCGAATATGCAGACAAGTACTCCATGTAAGTGCTGAGAAACCACACTTCTCTATTTAGGATTCCAATAGTTGTTCGTTGGACATAGCTTCCCACTTCCTGATTGAGCGGTGGCTGATGTGTCTGCCATGAAGGACCTACGCTGCAGAGATTCTGATCACAGAGCCGCTCAAAGCAGCATTACCTCTGTTGAAAAACTTGGGAGTAACCGGAATCACAGACACCTACGTTGAGCTCGTTTATCGTGCCACTCGGCATGATAGTGCTCTACGGAGACTGGTTGTCGAGAACATCGTGTCTAGTTTAGGAGCAACGACTCTCGAGTTTGCAAAGCAAGAGGAACAGATTCCCGCGTTTGCTCTGGAAATGCTGAATCAGATTAGAGAACTATTCCGCAGAAATCAGATCAACCCAGGGAAGGGACGAAAGGGCATTCACTGAATGGGTAGGGAGACTCATCTTCTTAGCAAGCTACAAAAATATCACTGCTCCCTGGGAAAGATAATCATGCGGGTAAAGGAGTAGTTTGCGGAGAGTGTTGGCTTCAGGCTGACTGAGGCCCGGTTGATGGATCGGTCTCTCAATCTTCTCATACACTGTCATACCTGGACATCTCCATGATAGACATGAAATGAGAATCATGATCACAAGCAGCCTTCTCAGTCCCGTGATCCAATACGTTTATGATATGAACATAAGAACGTGATCTAGAACTTGGGTCAATCAGGAAGAAAACACAGGAGAAACTTCAGCAAGACTTCGCTCGCGCTGAATCTGGAGCTGTGAGGGTGTTCCCGGACATATCATAAGTGGATTTGAGTGAATGTAGGTCTAGCTTGCTGCCTCACACTCGATCTACCTGAAGATTGGAGAGCTTCTCAAGTCTGTTGTCGAGACTGTCTCATCGTCTCAGCAAACCAAACTCTTCCCCTCCTCACCCCAAAAGAATGTATCCGGTACCTCCAGCTCAAAACTTGTCAAGTAGCTGTGAACGTGACCTCGCAATAACCAGCAGCCCATCAGATCGTCCCTGCCAAACCGGGCAGTAGGAGCGATGATGATGTAAGCAAGGCGCTAAGAGACATACCCCAGTAGAACTTCTTCCACAACTTCGCAACACTGCGACTCCTGTCTTTCGTCACACGCTTCATCCCAAAAAAAAGTGCTCTACACTTGCTATAGCTCAGATAGTAGTAAGTAGGACTGTTTAACATCTCACCCGTCCTTCATTTTCTTTCGACACCAGTCTAAACATTCTTCTGCAAATCTCAACACAGTCTCATCGCACACTGCCGACTCCTATTGGTGTAAGAACCTAGATTCCCATTTCTCCTACTCCCGCCTGGGAGATTCGACAAAGCGCAGCACCACGCCGCGTTGATACTCTTCGCGTGCATGACAACCATTCTCACATCTCAAGTTCCACCCCGCCAAAAATGACCGTCGCAGCCACACCCGGTACCGCGGCACCGAATTCGCCGAGGCGGGCTTCTCCGCGCTGGTGCCAGACTCCCAGAAAGCTCACTACCGAAGAGTAAGAGTGTGTCACGCAAAGCCCTCTCTCTACATCACCCCCCGGTACCAGCTCTAACAGATGAGCCAAAGTTCGATAGTCGCCATCTGGGCTGGCCCCGGACAGCAGACACTTCAGCCTGTCGAAGAATCTGCTCTATCACCATGTTACCGTTCTCTAACAGAGCCCTCAACGGCGGCTTCGAGGAAGGAGAGACGCAGCCTCTTGACTGGAACTTCCGCGAGGTTGACGTTGGTGATTTCGAGGTTTGGCATGTCTCTACTATCAAAGGCAGGCAGGCAGACTTATAAACGTCCCGTCTCTCGAAAAATGCGGTACCGAGGGGGGCCGGGCAGTGTATCAATTCTCTACGTTCGTGCGGACAAGTACGGCCTAGCTTGGCGATGGTATAGGTAGATAGCATCATCTATCCGCACCTCGAAACTGCCTTCAGGAAAGCATGAAACTCGTGATCTCGAGATGATCCTCGCAAACGCAGCAAAGGGCAACCCTCTGCGTACCCTGATCGCCGAGGCTGCTCTATCGATGGGTGGCGCGCATGCACGATAAACAAGCTTCAATCTCGGTTTGCGCAGCAAGAAGAGAAATGCGACGGATTTGCATCAGGAGCCTTGTGAAGGGTCTGCAACGCTCAATCACTGGAATTATTTTGGCAGGATCGATTGTCCCTTCGGCAACCCATGCGTTTCGGTTGGGTGCTAGCCATCGACCTGGCGATTGTATGCTCAGCCGGTGAACGATAGAAGGCTGGTCGGCCTAAGAGTGAAGGACTGCAAGGTGTATTCGCTACTCGTCGGTTGTCTGAGTATTTTCGAAAAATTTCCCGACTTGTTGGCAAGCGGGTAAAACATCTCGAACTAACAGCTGGCAACCGACGAGTAGCCTTGACCAGTGTATTAGAAAGAAAACAAGTCACATTCAACCCTATTGAAGTCGACCTCCGTCTCAGCGGCTTTTCAGAGAGCATCAAAGTCTAGAGGGTACTTTTGATTGGGTGGTATGATAAGAAGGATTGCAGAAGATGCACGCTACATGCGATGCCTCCACCTAGCCTAAGGAAGCGCAGAAAACGAAAAGAACCCAACGCAATCCAGCTAGTCCCCTTTAGACCTTCATCTCGACCAAACCGTGCTTCCACACAGTGACGAAAGGAGTGCACCCATCCTCACGGTAGTTCATGAGAATGACCCTGTGCATATTAGCGGGTGCAATTCTGTTCCAGAGCTAATGCCGACTTACATTCCATCCGGGTCCATCGACTCGCCAATGTAGAAGTCGTAGTCCTTGAAGTTGGCGACGATCTTCTTGGCGTAGGCTTGAGCGCCCTTCTCGAATTCCGCGATGGTCTCCTCAGGGGCGTTCTTCGCCTTCAAGGCATCCTTGACCTTCTTCATGTAGGCTGTGCACAGATCGATCAGTTCTATGCGCCCCGAGAAAATGGGATGGGTATCGTTGATGCGTGCGACCTACTCTTGAGATGGCTCAGGTAGGACTTCTTGTCGAACGAAGTGGATTGCAGGCGAAACGAGTTGACGACGTTGTTGACCTGGACGGCACCGTCCTCGACGCCCTCCTCGGCCTCCTCAGCAGATGCGTTGGCTCCCGTGTCTATTATGCCCGTATCAGCTTTTTGGTTCCGTAGCGTTTCGCAGCTGTTTCCCATTCTTGCTCTACCCCTCCAGGCAGGGTTCCGGTATGCAGATAGATGGATAGGTCTGCGGGTAGGTATACATACTGACTTCGACGGCGCCGAGGGTGATCATGGCGCAGTCGACCTCGTAGACGGCCCCATCGACCTCCTTCAGGTCATAGGAGTCGGAGATGATCTCGTCACCAGTGATGATATCCTGTGTGGTTGCGATGCGCGGTCAGTGGAATTGTTCCCCCGGCATGCTCGCATGTTTCTCATCTTCTCCTCTCTCTCCTTCGAATTATTCCAAAATCGAGTTCGGAGGTGCGGGGTCAAGTCGATGTTCGGGGATTGTGTTAAAGGAGTTGAAGGGCACTGCGTACCTTGTAAATGATCATTATGGCGGGATGTGTGGAATGTAGTTGGAGATGTAGACAGGGACGAGAAAGCGAGAGAGAGGAGAGGATCTGGCGGAAGGGAAGAAAATTTGGTGGTGGTGGGCTGAATGGGACTTGCGAGACGGACTTGGACTTGGACGTGGACTTGGCCCTTTGGGGGGAAAAAATCGCGGGAGGGGCTTGGTGGAGGGGCTCCGACTTGGCTCGATTGGGGCTAGCGTCAATATCGGGACGGAGTTTTGGTCTGGCAGCCTCAGGCCAATATCCAGGCATCTATTCTCCTCAAGGCATCCACCAGGCACACATCAGGCAGGCAAGGCATTCAGGCCCGTTTCGCCACCACAGCTCAAAATCTCAAACCTCACCTCGACGCAATGCATGACTGTGAACCGACACGGTAAAACCAACAACTTCCCGCGACGTTTTACTTAACTAGTACGTAGAACTGCGATCATAACAACGTCCGAGTTCCGACGTCCGACATCCGAGTGCCGACCCGTCAACAGCCTCTTCCCTCCCTCGCTCTTGTGGCTAAGCTAAACACACTTAACTCTGACCAACTCAGCTCAACCCCACCCATCTCAACTCAAATCTTTCTCCCCATATCAAACGGATCATCAACTACTACCTATCCTCGTCGCCTCTTCTCTCCCCTTCTCTACCCCTATCTCAGTGAAGGCAGAAGGCGGATACAAGAGCTATACTACCCCAGCTAAGCGAGATTTGATAGCTGGCGTGGCGTGGCCTGGGACAAGAGCGAGAACGAGGACCAGCCAGCCCAGACCCAAAATATAACCCAAATTGCCCTCCTCGATCCTACGCTCCCTCGTCCACCCATCACAACTCTCCTTCGTGTGCACCACGATAACTGCCTGTTGATATATCCCAACTCCCAACTCCCCACTCCCAACTTCCCAACTTCCCAACTTCCTGCTTCCGTCAACATCGCCGCCGGCATGGCCAATATCACTTTGGCTGCCGCGCACGATCTGCCGCCCCTGCCCTCATATACGCTCTCTCCGGTCCAGCCGCTCATCCCTTACATGTCCGACTTTACGCTTTCCCTCGTCCTGCTGCCCCTCATATACTGGATAGCCTCGTTTTTCTTCCACATCATCGACGTCTACGATATATGGCCGCAGTACCGACTCCACACGCCCGCCGAGATACTCAAGAGGAACCATGTCTCGCGATATGAAGTGGCACGCGACGTGATCATACAGCAGGTCATCCAGACCATCGTTGCCGCGATCCTGGGCTTGACGGAGGAGCCGGATATGACGGGGAAGGACGATTACAACATCGCATGCTGGGCGACGAGGTTACGGATCGCGCAAAGGGCTCTGCCGCAGCTCCTTGGCCTGATCGGGCTCAACGCAGCCGCAATCTCCAAGAACATGTCCGGTACACACCCAATGCTAGCCGCAGTGCTCGCCGGTGGGAAGTACCCTTCCTTGACCGTCGGACTGGACGTCGTGGGCGGATCCTCAGCGCCGGCGTTTGCGGCTTGGGAGATGGCTGTCGCAAAGGCTTTGTACTGGTACATGGTCCCCGCTCTGCAGTTCTTCGTCGCCGTCGTCATTGTGGATACCTGGCAGTACTTCCTGCATCGCGCCATGCATGTCAACAAGTGGCTCTACAGTACGTTGCAACTCTACACATTCACCTCCACCTCTACTAACAGGAGATAGCACAATTCCACTCCCGCCACCACCGGCTCTACGTCCCCTACGCCTACGGCGCTCTGTATAACCACCCCTTCGAAGGCTTCCTCCTTGATACCCTCGGCGCCAGCATTGCCTACAAAGTCGCCGGCCTGACCCCGCGACAAGGCATGATCTTCTTTTCGCTATCTACGTTGAAGACCGTGGATGACCATTGCGGCTATGCGCTGCCCTGGGACCCGATCCAACACCTCACCAGCAATAATGCCGGATACCACGATATCCATCACCAGAGTTGGGGCATCAAGACGAATTTCTCGCAGCCCTTCTTTACGTTCTGGGACGGGCTACTGGGCACGATGTGGAAGGGCGACACGACGTCGCGGTATGCACGAGATCGCAAGGCGGCACAGCTCAAAGTCGATGCCGACAACGTCAAATTGTCATAGGACCCCCCAGATCGCTGATTGGTGTTTTGCAGATAGAGATGTGGGGGGTAATTGAATGTAGCATATTGACCGGAGCCATGTTATTTTGCCTTCTCTTTTTTTTCTTCCTTTTTCGATTGCGACATCCGCTCGTTCATGTCGCTTGGTGTTTGGGGGACTTATACGTCTTGGATGTGTTTGGAAGGCAAGCAGGCTGGCGCTCTGGAGATCGGGATTGGAGCAGCTTGATTTGATTGATTGATTGATTGACAGTGTACACATACATGTCCATACAACGGAGACGAGAGGAAGAATTAGACGTGGATAACTTCTTCCTTGTATTTGTCTCGGGCAGGGCAGAGGTGTAGGATAACCTGCCTCAGTAATCTTGACACTGTCCATCTCTATTTTTGTTTTTCCTGTTTCCCCTCCATGTCATTTATACACTAGAGTGTACTTGCGTGCGTATATCATGTGCGTAGCAGACGCAGCAGCAGCAGCAGCAGCAGCATCACCAACCAAGTGTTGAATGAAAGTAAAACAAAAGCAAGCGAGCGAGCGAACCTGACTTGGGGTCCAGAGAAGAAGGCCACGCACAACTGCGGCAGTCCTGCTAACATTAGTATTGTCTCCTCTCTCTTGTCTCTTTTTTTTTCTGTTTCTTCTCTCTCTTTTTTCTTTTTCTTCTCTCTCCCCCCTCTCTTCTCTCTCTACTTTTCTCCTTCTCCTCTCTTCCCCTCTTCCTCCCCTCCTCTCCCCTCCTCTCCTCTGCGCCCGCCTAGCTATTCACTATCATTCATCATCCTTACCCTCATCAGCTTCAACTTCGTTCCCGATTCCGATTTCCATTTCCAATCCCATTTCCATTTCCACCTCCATCTCCACTCCCAATCCCACTCCCA